TCGAGCTAGACACCTCTAAACTGGGCGCTTTTTGGACAGTTTGCTCCTCATGCCCAGAGGTTTCCAGGGACGTATGCTGGCTGGGGATAACCTGGGAAAAATGTGTTATTTTCGGGATACTGTTGTAAGGCACCCTAGTGTCTAATAATTCATTGTCCCTCCTAATCCAGGGCAATTTGTAGGTAAGGCTATAGGATGCAGTGAGAGTTTGTAGTCGTTAAGCTGAGTGAGTTAGTAACTGAATCTAACCTTGTTATAAATTTGTACTATTTATCATGGAAACAAAGTATTCCATAAGTTTTAATGTCTCCCAAAGAGATGAATGGAGTACACTAATGGAAGCTACTAACTTCTAGGCACAGGACGTGACTTACTGATGCACAGATATGGCTACGAGTCACTAACTGGATTGAACCTTAGAGATGGTTGATAAATTGATGGTAACTAATTGTCAGAAGTAAATTTCATTGCTTAACATGATACCATGTTTTTCTGCACAGTTAAAGGGACACTATAGTCACCTGAACAACTTTAGCTTAATGAAGCAGTTTTGGTGTATAGAACATGCCCCTGCAGCTTCACTGCTCAATCCTCTGCCATTTAGGAGTTAAATCCCTTTGTTTACTAACCCTAGTCACACCTCCCTGCATGTGACTTGCACAGCCTTCCATAAACACTTCCTGTAAAGAGAGCCCTATTTAGGCTTTCTTTATTGCAAGTTCTGTTTAATTAAGATTTTCTTATCCCCTGCTATGTTAATAGCTTGCTAGACCCTGCAAGAGCCTCCTGTATGTGATTAAAGTTCAATTTAGAGATTGAGATACAATTATTTTAAGGTGAATTACATCTGTTTGAAAGTGAAACCAGTTTTTTTTTTGTCATTCAGGCTCTGTCAATCATAGCCAGGGGAGGTGTGGCTAGGGCTGCATAAACAGAAACAAAGTGATTTAACTCCTAAATGGCGGTGAATTAAGCAGTGAAATTGCAGGGGAAAGATCTATACACTAAAATTGCTTTATTTAGCTAAAGTAATTTAGGTGACTATAGTGTTCCTTTAAGCGATTCCATTTTGTAAAGTTCACTATTAATTCCTATTGTGGCCCCCCATCTGTTCGTTTATAGCTAATTACTTTGCCCAAATGAATCTCACTGTTTGAAAAATAACAATTAGGTGCTTTCCTGAGTTAAATTTAACAAGAAAAACATTTGACAAGTGATCCAGTACATACTTTATCTGGTAACATGTAATTCTACACTGTATGTTTACCTGAAAGTTATTTACAATGTGTTCGTATATCTGTTGCAATGAAAATTAAAGGGACACTGTAGGCACCCAGACCATGTCCCCTTAGTCCTGCAATGTAAAACATGTTTTAGAGAAACTACACTATTTAAATTGCAGGGTTAAAACTGCCTCTAGTGGCTGTCTACAACACAGCAACACAGCCACTAGAGGCACTTTCTGCGGTTTCACAGAGTTTCAAATATATTAAAAAAAAACCTCAGTGTTTAGATGTAATGAGCCCCACCAAAAACACAAAGTGCAAGTGTGTAGCGAAACCGACCTCGCCACTGGGCATTGGAGAAGACTGATTGCCAGCCTCCTGCCATGTGACTATGGCCCCTGGGACATTATTTGGGCTTATTGGATTTTGAAACACTTTTTCTGCCCCTTTGAATACGTGAGAAGGTGTGCCCCTCCCCCGTTTCCTGTCTATTGTTCTCCAGCAGGGCGTTGTCCCAGGGACACTGCCAGACCAGTTGGAACTTGTTGCTATGGTTTAACCCCATGGCGATTTGACTGTGTTTGTGGTATCTGAGCGCTGTTCGGATATAGTAAGCGCTGAGATCCAAGCTATCTGGGGTTCTGTTAAGTATAATAGGAATTATGTATTTTTATGTGTTTTTTACTGTTGTTGTGAATAGAGCTATTTTCTGTATGCTGGAGGTAATTGGCTTATCACACCCAAGCCATGCTTGCAGGCGGTCACAAAGGGATTTCCAACTAACTTTTGACCCACTGGACCAATTTGTATGATTTTGACATATTTGGAGTATGCTTATTCTGAATATGTAAGATTGAATGTGATGTATACTTTTAGAGTTATGAATATTGGCAGTATTTTCCTACCTGTGATAATTACATTAGACCATTGTGTTCAGTAATTATATCACAGGCAGAGGGGAGGATTTTGTGTGGGAGTGTCTGAGTGTATTGTATGTGTTGATTGGTTGTTCTTCAAAACCCTGTGGGCAGTACTATGTTTGTAGAATGTGAATAAAAGAGGTTGTATGTGCCAGTACAGTCAGTTCTACTTCACCCTCAATTTGGAGTGCCGTCTCTTATTGGGGGAATCTGCTACAAGGGATTTCTATGCTCTGCATATTCCCTTGCTATATTCACTGCTAAGCTCTTGTAAGAGCTTGTTCCTGTCTTGCTCTCTGAAGGAGTCTACGGTGGTTATGGTGTTGGCTGTAGTGCTTGGAGCCCTCAGGAAGCGCTAGGAGCATCCTTCAACGGAAGTACCCAGTCGGGGTGCCAGGTGATCCATTACAAAGTGCAAGGCTAAAATTTATGTAGCATAACACTTATCCCCTGAAGCACGTACCGGGACACCATGTAGACATAAAAAAGGACATACAAAACAAATAATAGTACAATTCTGTGTGGTAAGTACTTATTAGTATTAAAAGTGAGTGAGTAAAAATGCACATTTAAAGGAGCCTTTTAAAGAGATAAAGGCTCCAAACGTGTAGATTTATGTGCCCTTAAGGTGGCAGCAAAACCTTCTTTAATGATGGTGTAATAAAACACTTTCAGAAGCTGATATAAAATAGATATTAAATGTAATACAAAAAAAGGAGAGTCAAATAGTGCAGTATTGTTTGGTTTAAAACCACTTAACACACATATCCCCAATAAATTCCTGCTCACCTTAGTTAGGAGCCCATAAATGGCTGGCTCCAAGTTTGTAGACGTATTGTCAGATGTAGGGTGACGATGCCCTCTGACGATGAACCCAGGGTGCAGTTTCCAGGAAGGAATCACTGTTAGGTGTTTTTGATTTCAGCAAAGATTTATTAACAAATAATTAAAAATGAAAAAATAGAACTATATTAAGTAAATAAAATCAATATTTAAATACTGGGAACCTTCCTCCGAGACTCGTTTCATTTGTCCACCAGACTTTCTCAAGAGTTTAACTCGGTGAAATGACACTGGGCGACCTCATAATTTGTATGAGGATGTCCAGAGTCTTGAAAAACGTTATCGGAAAGCACTGATTCAATGCTTTCCTATGGGGAAAGCCTAATGCGCGAGTGGCTCATAGAATCATGAAATATAGGTGTTGGAATCCGGTAAGTAAATAAAAGTGTTTTTAACCCTCTCATGGCTGGGAGCTGGGGGGGCGGGGGGGGAGGCAGAGGGACACTATTGAGTTAGGAACACAGTTATAGTGTTCTTTTAATACAAACCTCGTAAAACTTGAAAAAAAGAAAAAGCCAGACATGCATTCATTGTTTAAATAAACACAGTGAGAAAATAAACAGTTTATTTACTCAGCAGAAGTTTCTGCATCGTAGGCTATAATAAGCAAGCTATGACTTTGGCAGTGTTGCAGAATTTTTCCTGATCAATTGTTGTTGCCTTAAAGGACCACTATAGTGCCAGGAAAACAAACTTGTTTTCCTGGCACTATAGGGTCATTAGGTCCCCCCCATCCTCAGGGCCTCCTCCCGCTGGGCTGAAGGGGTTAGAACCCCTTCAGCCACTTACCTTTCTCCAGTGCCGGGCTCCCTTGGTGCTGGGGAACTCTCCTCCCTCTGCCGACATCAGATCCGAATGCGCATGTGCAGCAAGAGCCGCGCGCGCATTCAAACCGCCCATAGGAAAGCATTACTCAATGCTTTCCTATGGACGTTGAGCGTCTTCTCACTGTGAGAATCGAGGAAGCGCCGCTAGCGGCTGTCAGTGAGACAGCCACTAGAGGCTGGATTAACCCTCAGTGAAACATAGTAGTTTCTCTGAAACTGCTATGTTTTCAGCTGCAGGGTTAACACTAGAGGGACCTGGCACCCAGACCACTTCATTAAGCTGAAGTGGTCTGGGTGGCTATAGTGGTCCTTTAAGTGTGCAATTCAATTCTCACTACAGTTGAATAAATACAATTCACAGTCTTGTTGGTGTTTATTTATTTATAGTCATCAGTGACAATCCTTAATTCCGAGGTCAGGGCCCAAAACAGGTTCCTCGTGTTATTGGGGTGGAGGGTGCCAGTATCAGACACCGGGTACCAGCCCATAACACTCTACTGCAGCAGTTCTGCTCTTCCTAGTACAACAGAGACAGCAGAGAGACCCCTCTGACACTGAGTAGAGAGAGAGCGTGCATGTGTGCATATACAATGTACACCCCTGTATTGGACATTTTCTCCTAGGGGTGTGCTCACTTTTGTTGCCAACGGTTTCGACATTAATGGCTGTGTGTTGAGTTATTTTGAGGGGACAGCAAATTTACACTGTTATACAGGCTGTACACTTACTACTTTACATTGCAGCAGAGTGTCATTTCTTCAGTGTCACATGTAAAGATATAAAATATTTACAATATTGTGAGGGGCGTACTCACTTTTGTGAGATCCTGTATATACATATATGTAATTTTTTTCTCTTTATTTTACGATTAAGGACTGCATCTCTGAGCTAATGGTATCCATTTCATTTTGTCTCCGTGTGAGACGGATGTACTACTCCTGCTCTGTAAAAACTAACAGAGAATCTGAAACAGTCACTAGTTTAAAAAAGAAAACTAATTTAAAAAAAAGAGAATCATTTTAATGATCCTATATTAACCTCCTAATCACATTGTAACAATGCAGCTTTGAGTCATACGGTGCTGTCACGCTGAAGTCATGTTATCAGTCGGAATCCCAGGCAGCGACAGACAGGGATCCATGACACAGTGTGTACGAAATTGCTGCCTTGGCTTGTCTGACCAGCTGTAGCAGCAGAGCTTTACCCAGCTCAAACCTGTCTCTCAGTCTATTCTTTCCTCTCCCCTTGTCTTCTTTCAAAGTAAACCGGGCTAATAAGATTCAAGGCTGGAGGAGGAGCTGAGCTGAATGAACAGAAACAGCAGTACACACAGAGCAGCCAGGAGAGCTGATAGAGGCAGACAGCACAGGGAGAATGTCTTGCCACCTCACCTCCGCCAGTCAGGGAAGGTAAGGCTTATCGAGGGGACTCACTCAAAGGAATGACGGAATGGAATGTCCGTAGACTTTAACAGGGCACCGGAATGCCCATCGACAATAATGGAACAGAATGGAATGTTCACAGAGAATAATGGAAACAAAATATTTGAATTAGAGACAAATACATTAGACACCTTGAATAAAACTTTAGCAGACATACTCTCCGAGATCCGTGGAATTGTTTAGCTATGGGGGTTGCTGGGTTACCCCCCGTGACGAGGCAATGCTGGCCACAGTAGAATGTATTTTCGAAGTGTGACTGCGAATGCCACCGAGAAGGTATTCTTCTTCCTGGTCAGGTGGCAAAGAGGCTGCGGAATTTTTGCATACGGCAGCAGGTAGATCACAGCCATAGCTAAACATGGATGAACCCAAGGCAGCTACGAAGGCGGCCAAGGAAACGTCCCAGGGATCGCGGAAGCTGTTTAGGAGTCGGTCCCTGAAATCGGTTGGGAATTTTATGCAGAGGATACTAAAGACTTTAAACAGTTTGTCTCACCTGGGAGACAGGGACCAGGACGTGGAAGATGATGACGGAGGCTTTAAGCCAAAATCTCGCCAAAGAGATGGGAAAGGGTCTGCACAGGAGGATTTTAGACTTGTTCAAGGAGGGGACAGCAACAACAACTTGGGCAAAACTCAGGTGCCAGCGAGATGCCAGGATAGGCTCTCCTGGAGCTCGGACGACAAGGTGCCTGGAGTACAGGGTTTAAAAAACCATGGGAATACCTGCTTTATGAACGCCGTAGTCCAATGTTTGAGCAACACGGACCTGCTGGCAGAATTCTTGGGAATGGGCCAGTACCGATCAGAATTTGATAGGATTAAAATGAATGGAGAGGTAATAAGGGAACAAGCACCCAAACCTTTACCAACTAACAGGGGGGAAGTCACGGAGACATTGGCATCACTGGTGAGGGGACTGTGGACCCTGGAATATACCCCGAACCTGTCCGTGGAATTTAAGGTATGTGGTCATCCCCATAAGCAACCAATACTTGTAGTCCAAAGGTTTGAGGTTCTGGTAATCTTCCCAATCTTTATAAACAGAATAAAAGTTCTGGTGATATCCCACACTGTCTATTATAATTTGAAAAGAGGGCTTCAGTACTGGCGAGTTACTTAACACAAACAGCACCAGCACAACTATAATTTAATATTTTTTTTTTTGTAAATGATATCACCCTAGGCCCCCCAAAAAAACAAAAAAAAACGGTAACAGCTATAGTTAATAGCTACGTTTTGTTACAGTGTAACGGGAGTTAGTTTCCCCATTGGGAATATTTAATCCTAAAAAAGTTTTCAGTAAATAACGTAAATATATATCTTAATAAAGCAGCCTTCAAATATCTTATATCAATGTGGAATGCACTCATGCACTCATGCAGGGCTGTATAGAGCTGCAAATCAGCTTGGTGCTTTAAGGGGTTAAATATTTGGCGCAAAGTAAGCAATCTTACAAGTCAATGGAAGTTCAAAGCTTGAGAAATAGCCAAGTGATATAAACAGATAGCACAATTAAATTAAAGGTGTCTAGGTCTCCTGAAGGGGAAGCCTTTAATAGCCCCAGAGACTGATTTCTGTTCACTAACTCACCTTCTGAAAACCTGCTTAACCCTTTCCCTGTAGGAATATCTGCTAAAACAGACCTTTTACAGCACACTGAAAATAAAATCCAGAATTTGACACATTTTAGAATAATCTATGTCGCCCAATGAGCCACACTGACCTGAGATCTGAGAGCATGTGTTAACGTCTATGTATAAAAACATCTGAGTAAAAATCCACCTGTCCTCAGTGAGTTACATGATCAGATCTATGCATATGAAAGTATAGTTTTTCACAATAAATAATATTCCCACTAAAGACTAGCATGTATGTGTGTACATATGTATGCGTGTGTATGTGTGTGTGTATATATATATATATATATATACATATATATATGTGTGTGTTTATATCTATGTGTGTATGTATGTATATATGTATGTATACATGTGTGTGTATATGTGTATATATATATATATATATATATGAGTATGTATATGTGTGTGTGTGTGTGTATGTATGTATATGTGTATGTGTCTATATATATATATATATAAATATATATATATATAAATAAATATATATATATATATACAAATGTGTATGTTTATGTGTGTGTGTGTATGTATATATTTGTGTGTATATGTATATATATATATATATATGTGTGTGTGTGTGTGTGTGTGTGTGTGTGTATGTATATATACATACACAGACGTACCCTAACCAGGATTAATTGGTTTGGGTGATGACAGTGTGTTTAAGTAAACATATTTACATACTACTCAGCTGGCCTGTATCTACCTGCGCAGTCCCTCTTTAGAACCCTATACTTTGTATCATGGGTTGTTTTCCCAATATCATGCTTTTCTAAGTAAGCACTTTCAAGCACAGTGTTCAACCTCAGCCCTTTCCAAGCCACAACCCTTACCACCAAGAAAACCACCTCATTATTACCAATATTAACATTATTTTGGATCCTGCAGGTAAGCAGCAATGTAAAAACGCATTTACATGGCCGGCACCAAATATAGACCCATTTTGGGCTCATAAAAATGTCTACCCTCCTCTTAATTTGTAGATACATTATAAGTGCCTATTGCACATGTTTACTGAACATTGCTTAGTGCTGTATATCTATTTACCAATACTGCCCAGTCATGTAAATGCTTTGTTTTTATAAACACTGGCCAGTCAGGTGTATGTGATTACCAATATTGCCCAGTCCTGTAAATGCATTGTTTATATAAACACTGGCCAGTCAGGTGTATGTGACTACCAATACTGCCCAGTCCTGTAAATGCATTGTTTATATAAACACTGGCCAGTCAGGTGTATGTGTTTACCAATACTGCCCAGTCCTATAAACATGTTGTTTATATAAAACTGCCCAGTCCTGTTAACATGTTTATATAAATACTGACCAGCCAGGTGTATGTGTTTACACATTGCCTAGTCCTATATATAAGAGGTTTTTATTTTTTAACATATAAACAATGACCAGCCATTTGTACATTTATAACCAAGATTGTCCAGTCCTGCAACACGCCTGTTTAAATATTTGTCAAAATCATGTTTTGCATGGAGGTATTTGTCCTGAAAATGTATACACAGGATTAAGTTTCCTGTAATTGCAAGGTATCCAGTTACCCTTATCGGTGGCTAAAATGCCAATTTATCCAACACCCAGTAATCCACTCAGTTCCAATCCGTAATGCCACATTCTGGGAATGTAATAGAATACTGGTTTGGCAAATAGTTTCCCCGCTAAAATTATTACATCTCACGTTACTAGTACTGCTTCAGGTAAGAGAGGTTGCTTGCCAGACGTACACTTTTCCAGTTTAACCAAGGGGCGATATGGCGCTCCCCTACTTTAATCGAACATTGACTCTATCAAGGCAAGAAAGAATTGAGAGTACATGGTCATTTAGGTGCAGCACTTGCCTTAATTACACGCTTTGCCTGGTAGTGTGTTCACATTCCAATGACATCAGCTGTCATCGCCAACTGTGTGGCCATTAACTCCATAGTATTCTAGGGTTATTTAATGTAGCTCTTAAAGGGTTAGTTGACAGTCTGATACTGTCAGGGTTATTTACCAAAGTAAGAATTTAAAGAGAATTTCAAATTTAAGACAAGAGAATTGTTCATGCAGATGAAGTTGTTTTGGTGCCTGGAGTGTCCCTCTAAGTACATTAGTGCTAAAATTACCCAAAAGCAAAAATGTGGTTACTTTAAATCTGTGTTAGCTGTGTTACCGAGAAGCATGTGCATCCATGTAGCTACTAGCAAGGAAGAACCAAAAGCTGTGCATATGGAAATCTCTGCTACAGAAACCTTGACTGACACAGGATAAAGTGCTACAGCAATTATTAAAGTTAATGTAAACAAAGCCCTGGGGCCAGATGGCATACATACTCAGGTACTTAGGAAGCTTAAACTGACATATTCAAACCACTGCTTTTAATCTTCCAGGACTCGTTCCTTTCAGGAATTGTACCAAAGAACTGAAATAAAGCAGATATTGTGTCTGTATTTAAAAAAATAAATAAGAATCAGAATCTCAGCCTGACATAAAGACTTTTGAACTCAACTTCTGTGGTTGGTAAATTTTATTTGAAGGGTTATTAAAAGGATAATATTCAGGAACTAATTGTGAACTTAATTAGTAGCAATTAATGTGGTTTTATAAAACACAGCTCAAACTAAATTACCCCCTTAAGGACACATGACATGCGTGACATGTCATGATTCCCTTTTATTCCAGAAGTTTGGTCCTTAAGGGGTTCAAGGAACACTACAAACCTGTATGGTTGACGCTACAGTATACCCGTCCCTAATTCTTTAGAGATCCCCACCATGTGACATAAAAATTAATAAAATCAAAGTTTGACTTACCTTTTTCCAGCGCCGAGGCTCCCACGATGCTGCTCACCTCTCCACCTCTTGTGACATCATCAAGGAGGCATGGCCTCCTCTATAGTCCAATCTAGTGCTCCACATAGTGGACCTGATGCACATGTGCGACAACCACATTAAAGCTTCCCCAATGTATTCAATGCTTTACTATGGGCTTTCCCGTCACATGAAGTTTTATTCAGTCAGTGTTGTGTAAGCGTGAACAGGTGTTATACAAGTATTAAAACATATATGTATTAGTGGAGGGCTTGTAAAAATAATGAAAACATGCAATTTGTGCTTACCCTTTTGAAGTGGGGGTATAAATCAATGGGATATATCCAAAACAAAAATAAAAACAAATATAGTGTAGTTGGTATTAAATAATATGATTTGTGGATAATAACTTAACCACTCACGTGTAAGAGCCTGACAATACTGGCTCAATAGATTGTGCGTTTATGCTCTTTATGCAGCATAACACCTCCCCTCTGGCAGAAATGTAGATCTCAGGATAAAAAAAATATATAGAGAGAAACAGAACAATGGTGTAATATGTATGGGCTTATCTACTTAACAAGTGATTCAATATTAAGCTCACCTTGAATAGAGCCTTAAAATCCTGGCTCTGAGGTTTGGAGGCTTAGTGTCACTTTACGGGGTGACACATCACCTATGGATGAATTGGAAGCGGTAGAACCAGGTTGGACACAGAGTGAATTTCATAAAAGCTATTTATTTCAAACTTAAAACAATAAATAGTTAAACACAAAAACGGATTTTATACTTTGCCACAATATCCCAGATGGTGTGTATCAAGTGCCAAGACGTGTTTCGCTTGTAGAGGCTTTTCAGTCGGCGATGTGTAGTACAAGCTTCCATCCTGTTTTTAAACCCTTGCGCCGGGCCTCCTCTCCCAGTCACGTGGGTCCGTGATAACCAATTACGAATTGTATGGGGCATCCCGCCCCCTTAATTGAATCCTCCTGTGTTGTTGTTAATGCGGACTGTGACGTCACACTTTCCGCGACACGTCACGTCCGTTTTTAGGTCCATCAGGGATGATGCATCCGTCCTTTCCCATTCTTATAACTGGTGAAAGTCATGCCGCAAACCTTTTTGTTTTCGTGAATGTCAGGAAGACATCCACTAAAGGTGAATTTTACCCTGCAAGGTAAACATTGCAGTTTCTAAAATATAAAAAAAAGCAATGTTTTACATTGCAGGGTTAAAAGGACAGGGACAGTGCACCCAGATCACTTAATTGAGATGAAATTACGTAAGACTACCTTTAATTGCATTCAGTGAAGTGAGCAGTAGAAGTAACGATCAGGGTGTCACAGTGGATGTGATCAATTTGGATTTTGCCAAGGCATTTGCTACGGTTCCACACAGACAACCTGACAGAAATTGGTTTAGATTTAAACGCTTGTTCTGGATTGCACAACGGCGTAGAGAGTAGATAATAGAAATTTTCAATCTGACCGAAAGTGGTAAGTGGAATACTCGAGTGTTCTGCTCTGTGTAACTTTAAACACTGTAACAACGCAGAATCATTACAGGGTTATGTTGACTGTTGAATCCAGCACCCACTCTTAGCGCTGAGAGCGGCTGATAACTGTAACAATTTGGCAATGATTATAGTCCTATTAGGCAACAAAATGCAATGTCAGTCAGCAGTTGTCATTTATAATAAGTGGACATTATGATTTAAAAAAATAACTTTTGCCTTTAGATAAGTCAGCGGTAAGGCTCCACGTGATATATATGATTACATTTTTGACTCTGGTTTTAAAGGAGGATATTATCAAAAAATGTAACCATGCAGCGATGGCTGTAAAAAAATGAATAGGGCTAAAATTGCGGGATTAGTTTACATGATAAAAAAAATAACAGGGTTATTCACTAAATTGAGAATTTAAGGTGAATTCAAAGCGAATTTCGAAGTTAAGGTCAAAGTAGCCGAAATGGATATAATTCTGTAAGTCAGAAATAACTTCATTTTGGCTACTCTGACCTTAAATGAGAAATTCACTTTGAATTGAAACTTTTTAGTAAATAGTCCTGAAGCTGTTATATCCAAATATCCATTTTCTCTTCCATATTATGCTTCCAACCACGGATGGCAAAGACAGCCGTCCATCACTTGCAGCCTAACATAATACCATGATGGGACAAGAGTTACCGAAGTAACCCACACTCATTATCAGAGCTAAATCAGAGGCGACGTACCTCACAAGTGTCCCTATTTAGGAGGGACAGTCCCAATTTGGATCCAAATCCCTCTGTCCCTCTTTTCTATCCTAATGTCCCTCTTTTCTAGGAGCTCCATGTTGTTGGTGTGTCTGTGTGTATAACAGATCTCCATAGTGATAATACTCCCAGTAATGTGTCTTTAATCTATAATAAAAGTGTTTAGGATTCAGTGAGTGTAGATAAGATACATTGTTCTCGTTCTAAATTACATTTTAGTTCTGTAAATTGTTATCAGTAAGTCACCTAACATTTAGTTTCTGAGATTTGTAATTCAATAAGAGTCGGACCGCTATATATAGCCTACTTCTCATGGATTTATACTGTTCAACATAGAATAATGATCACACCCTACTCAATCCCATATAAATAAATGGCCCCTCTTTATCCATTTAAAACGTTAGGAGGTATGGCAGAATGGTTTAGTTTTTTATTAAAATGGTTTGACGGAAAATGAGGAGATGGCACCAAAAGAATGCTTGCACCATAACCACTGCAATCGTTTTAATTGTGCCTAAATGGTCTCTTTAGGCGACAGTATAGTAACAAGAGGTAATATATTGAGATTTGAAAAACAAAGGAAATGATTCTGTAGGCCAAGAACAATAAAGATGTGGAATTTTGTGCCTTGAGAGACTGTTTTATCAGATTATGTTACATTCCTTTAAAAAGGGTTGTGATGATTTATGTCAAAATGTCATATTCTGCGCTTTCTAAGCGGGTGCTGACAGTCGGTTAATCCAAGGAGAAATATGATCGACCGCCATTCTAAGGTCAAGGGTTTTTGTCACAGCTTAATTCCAAAACGAATTCAAATTTGGGATTTTCACCTGTATTGTAGATTGGCATCAAAAGCAAAATGTGGGAAAGGATGGACTCAACTGTTTTGTTTCTGCGTATATATCTATGGAACGAGATATGGCATATCATATATATCAATGGAATTAAATAGTGAGATGACTTTCGCAACTCTAACTTTCGCAATGCAACGTGATTGTGAAATTGCTGTTTAGTCAATACACCCCACAGGTGTCCATTATTATTATTATTATTGCCATTTATATAGCGCCAACAGATATTGTAGCGCTTGACAATATTCTTTTTTTTTGTTTAATTCTTTAATTTGGTGGTGCATAGCAAGAACATGGTATCACATTACAGTGTAGCCATACATTGGCCGTAATATTGTACATTAGTATTGCTATAACAAGGCACCCTTTTTTTTATATACATAGAATAACAAGATTGAACAGTAGATTCGGGTTAAAGGTAGAGAATTAAAACAAGTAGTAGAGGCATGTCAGTGGTGCGGTATCGGGAGTGTTTTCATAATATGTTGCTTAGACTGACTTTATGAGTGATCGTAATAAGAGATGTGATCATACTTAAAAAGTTAGTGACATGCTGCCATGTGAGGTTACATTAAACTCGCTTAAAGTGCTGCATGGCATGCTAATCCTTGTACACGTGCTTTCAATAATATAGAGATAAACTTGCACGTTTTATAATATTAGATAGTGACGACGTTAGCTGTACCAGGCTAGCAGACAATAATTAAATCGACAAGCTTAAGACAGAGCCTATTCACCGAGATTACGTTTAGCTATATGGATTGGTTTGATAGTAAGACATTTAGTTTAATATATAGCCGGTATTGGAAGGTGACCGCTGGTCCCAAACAAGCTAGCAAAACTCTTTACTGCCCAAGGTTAAGATGGAGCATTGTTAAATCCCCATATTCCCATCATTGAGCAAGCTAAAACGGCTTATGTGCCAAACAGCATTTATATGCTAGACAACATTTATGTGTATGTTCTGCTGGTTGCTTCAGTAGAGATGCCGAAGCAGGCAAGGAGTAAGGTAACTCTGTAGTGCCCTATAGAGGCTGTCAGCCCACACCACATAATGGCTTTGATGGAGAGTCCATCTCTTTGGGGCATACTGCCGATAGCAGGACGGTAAGGTAATGTAGCAAAATGTTCTCTTGAGTCTCTGCTGAGCAGATGCCGTCTGTGGGCTTAGCATGGTCCCACTGCAAGCCGGCTGTCAGTATGCGGCGTGGTTCCGTCAGGGCTGGCTGGGATGTGTCGTATTGCAAACCAGGAGTAGGGTGCGACACCTTGCATGGGAGACCGGTTCCCGGGCACGTCTGGAGAGGAGGTTTTTGCATGCAGAGTTTCAGTAGCCATGGCTGTGTTGCGAGTGCTGGCCTGCTGTGCCTCCATCTCTTGCGCCTGCTTCTGGCCTGCCCCTGAACCTGAAGTCCTGTGTTGCGTCTCAGGGGGTAAGCATCTTGCCAGGGTGCTATGATGTGTGCTTATAGCTGGCTGCTGTAGGTATCAGGCCAGCTTGTGGCTGGAAGCCGCGCTGATTGCTGTGAGTGCGGGGAGACAGCAGTCCTTCCCTCTAACTTCGGCGCACATGGCATCCGCCATTGTAGATGAAGCATCCCGGGCCACAGATCGGGGTGGTAGTGTCGCTGGACCTTGGTTGCATTGCAGCAGTCAGGGCCACAGGGTGAGGACCGGGATCACCCCCACCGGTCCGGGGGGGTGGGGGTGGAACAGGGCCAGGTGCACACGGGTTTGGGCCTTTGGCTGGGCACTGTTAGGCAGGATAGCATGGCAGCGGCTGTCCGCCCCACTCACTGCCAGAGAGGCCACATCTGGGACATCGAAGATTTCTCCTCCAGGGGACTAAAACTTAAGGAGCCAGCCTCACCCTGGATTCAGTGTCCCCTTTGCACTGAGGACCATCGCTGTTGGTCTGCATTTAGGTCAAAAATCATGTTTTAGAGGCTTAGAGAGTGGTAAGTTGCAGGAGCTGATCTTACTTGCGACTGTCCAGCTCGGCGGTCTGGCCCCCTGCTTTACAATATTATGAGAGGGGGGATGTAACTATAAATAGGACAATTACAAGAAAACTTACAGGAACAATAGGTTGAAGAGGACCCTGCTCAAATGAGCTTACAGTTTATAGACATGTCTGTTTTATGCAACTTTTATCTACAGTAGGCAGGGTTGCTCTCCGACTTTTGTAAGCTTAGACTTATGAGATTTGTTGTTCAATAGGAGTTGGACAATTATATATAGCGTATTCCTCGTGGATTTATACTGTTTAACATAGAATAATAGATTCATTTCGTAATCTAAATGATTTAACTTTTCAGTTTTTATATGTGAGAAGACACTGAATAATTGAAATTAAAGAAACCATTCGAAAACGATTTTACTCCTTACAGTAGTGGCAGGGGGACACTACCAGGGAACTCTTGGTACAATAACCACTACAATGAGTAGTACTGATTTGGGATTTTTTGGGTGAAATCTATCGTTGTGCACCTTTCCAGCAGTTGGTATTTCTTTACTGTCAGCTTTTATGAATTAATGGGCAGAACACTTCAACTGTGACAGTGCTTTCTGTGCTAATTTGCATGCATTTGTATTGCATCCTGGGAGTACAGTTGAACACAATTTTTCAGAGTTTCAATTTTTGAGTTTGTACAAAGGGCAGATGTCTTTTGATGGCGTGCCTGGTGTAGACCCCCAGCCATTGGGAGTATTTACTCCAAATATATTTAGGCATGGTAAATTCATCTTGCTGGCCTGCATCAACGTGTATAAATCCATATATGTTGTAAAATGTTCGTTTACAATTCAACGGAATATATTTGCGCTTAATTAGCAGTGTATGTTGTCTGAGCCCTGCTGACGCACACCTGTATATGAACATATCTAGAAGTTTTGCTTGGTTGGGCTACTTGTGGCGTGAAAGCCGGTTAGTCTGTCATACTATGCGTTTCTATGTTTACAGACGTCTCACAGTGATCTCGACCTTTGAACCAAGTTTCTAAGCTACAGAACAATTAAGATTTTCAGATCAAACAATGTGTTGTCGAGCAACATCTAAGGAGAGGCTTAAAAGAACACTCCTGTGTTCACGTTGCAATCACGTTGCAAAGGGAATGAATTAGATAAAGAAGATCTTGGGAATAGGGGGTATAGGGGACAGGAGATTGTGGCACTGGGTGACTAGAGGGCAAAGATAATAGGCAAAATGGGCTTTAGGGATCATGCCATAGAAGATTGCGGAACTATATGAAACTAGGCAGCAGGGGATTAAACAAAACATGAGTAAAAGGGATTACATAATGTGGTGTAAGGTGACTGGGGAACAGGGGGATGTTCTAAGGAATCTTGAGAAAAAGGGGAAATGAAAGAGTGGGGCATCAGATTAACAAGGAGGCAAGAAAATAAGACAACGAGGATGTAGAGCACTGTTTGACAACTGACTGAGAATACACTACAATTCACAGTTTAGTGAATAAGTCCCATTAATGTGTTAGCTTGGAACAGAACACATTCGATCACTCTGTGCACCTGTCTCTCTCACGGCTGAAGAATGCGTACACCTCACGAGCTTACAATGTGTAGTGTGATTTGAGCCATCAGCCCGTACTTGCGTCATGGGAAGCAATTTGTTTTGCCTGCGTACACGCTGGAGGCCTTTAAGTCAGACAATGCCTCTTTGTACCGCAGAGGGCACAGCGAGAAGCAAACCACCACGCTAGTTACCCTCCTTGGCACGCATATCTCTTTAAAGCTTTGCCCTTTACTTTGAGATGCTGCTTCCTGGGACTGGGAGAAATGTTAATTACAGATTTTAGGGTTTAAGGCAGGCATAGGCAACCTTCGGCATGCCAGATGTTTTGAACTACACCTCCCATGATGCTTTGTCAGCATTATGCGTGTAAGAGCATTATGGGGGATGTAGTCCACAACATCTGGAGTGCCGAAGGTTGCCTATCCCTGGTTTCAGGGTTTTTTAAAAACGAAACAGATGCATGCAAGTCTCTGCCTAAAATATAGGGATTTACGTTTCAACGAGCATGGCATCTTCTGCAATGCCAGCTGCTTCGAGTCATTTTTTTTTTACAGCTCCCATAACATCCTCTGGATGGAAAAAGTCAGCTATTTTTTCAGTTTGGCTGCTCTGGCCTTAAATCTGAAATTAATTTTGAATTCTCACTTTAGTAAATAGCTCTGTATTGTCGGCATGAAATTGCTTAGATATTCTGACAGTTTTGTGTCTATTCACTAAATTATATGGGTTATAAGCTAACAACTCTGGGTGACTTTAGTATCAGCTTGCAAAGTTTGCAGGGTTATTCATAAATTGTGCAGCTGTGCAGGATGCAATGAGCAATATAGGGTATTCTGACGCTGCTACTGCGCATGCCCTGGTCCAGCGCATATGCAGTAGCAACATCAGAATTCCCTACCCTTTAGTGAGCATGCATCCTGCACAGCTGATTCTGGTGCGTGTGCGCTCATAGCATTAGAATACTCTGCCCCGATACCACATATGTGCATCAGTGACGTCATGTGCACATTCCCCTGGAAGGACCCCCTTCAGCGCAAGTCCACACACAATGTACCCACACCATAGCATGTGCTGTGCACATTCATGGCTCCCCGTAAGAATCTCATACCCCCCTCCTGATGCGGCGCAAGTGCCCCACATAGGTAAGCTGACCTCCATCTGATTCAGCCTCACTTTTGGAAGTGACAGGGATAGAAAATTCTAACAAAGTAGGGGATTTTAATAAAACATCGGCACTCACTAATGAGTCAAAGCGCAGGCTGGGAATACTTGCAGCTGTGCTGACTCCTGTGCTGACTCACTGAGTGTCTGACCATGAGAGAACAATTACTGTGGTCTGCACCTGACAAAGGTGCAGACCACACTCTCCCCACTGGACCATCAGGGACCTAACAAACAGAAAATAAAACAGGGATCATAGCGTCTCTTACTGCATAAAGCTATGGAGGAGGGGAGGAAAAAAGGGCACACAACACACAGCGCAAACATCACACACAACCAGTAAACTTCATAAACTCATTTGTTACACACAGCCAACAAACATCACATACTTTGTAAAAAGTCAGCAATCAACACACACATTACACAGAAACAGAAAAGACATTACACACAGCCAAAATACATCACATAGACACATTATGTACAACCAGCAAATATCACACACAGATATTGCACGTAGTCACTAAACCTCACACATTACACACAGCCAGCAAACATCACACACATTACACAAAGCCTGCACACACCATGGACAAATTACAACCAACCGGAGAATACCATAGATACACTGCACATAAGCAGCGCACACTCCACACATCCACAGATTGCACACATTACACACAGTCGGTGCACACCACACACCGCATATACAGAGGGAGAAATTACGGGGGAGGAGGGGCAGGATGAGACACTCACAAATTAAATCTGAATTAAAAGATAAAAAGTTTGTGACTGTAGCCAAACTGGAGATTTTTTTCAGATTAGCTTATTTTTTTCTTCTTCTTCTCAGTTTTTCCATTTGGATTTCATTTGCAAAAATTCTGAATTTAATTAATATTTCTGTCCATGTCCAGGATTCTAGGCAGGGGCCGCAATCTGAAATGACTTTGTGCGTCAGGAAAAGTTGATTGTCATGACGAACAAGTTTATTGTTTAGTCCCTCAGACAAGTATGTGTATACATATATATATTTACAATGGTTTGGGTTTTTTTTGGGGGGTGGAGGGAGGTTAATTTCCACGCCCCTGTTTCTAGATTGGCTATGTTGGCTTTGAAATCCCAACAATTCTCAGTTTTGTGAATAACCCTGTTAGACCATCACTGCAGAGTTGGAAAAGCCAAATCAATTGATAATTCACTAAAATGTGTTTTTTTTTTTCATTAATTGGTATAATCTGTAGATACAGGTTTCCATTCACCACAATATACTGTTTCACAAATAGAACCCCAATAGTTTTTTTTTTTTATGAACTTTCTTCCCAAATAAAAAGCTTCAGAATGGACTGAAGCCCTGGTTTAGAGCTGATCTAGCAGTGCGTGGGTTAACTGGCATGCTTTTTCCTCAGTGGGATTTGGATACAGACAAACTGGTTTCTCACACACAATAAGGCCATGTCACAGAACAGGACGGACCGGTGCACCTATTCATGTCACTTTACATTGGCTGCATTCCCCTCGATACTCTGGCACCTGCTCTGCCAGCAGGTACTCTGTGTAACAGAGAGGGGAAAACCAGATCATTCAGGAAGGTCCCAAAATTTAAACAATGCAGCCTGTCTGAGTGGAGGGTTAAAGGTTAACCAGTGAGGTCAGACGCAAAGCATACATGGTATTCATTCAGTAATCTGAAAATTTGAGGAGAATTTACCAGGGAATACTAACTGAAGGCAAAAAAATGGCCATGTTGGGAAATTTGCTAACGAGGAAGGAACATGTTTACAATTTCCAGTTATTTTGGTAAGGTTTATATGTTGGCATTGGTTTTAATATATTTAAACAGAACTGGATTGCCCATAAGGTGGCAGAGGCGGCTGCCTATGTACCATAGACCCCAGTCTGGGCCAAGAGCTACAGCTCTGAGCCAGCAGAGATCTTTACCTGGTTGGCTCTGGACCCCCTCACTATCTGGAGGGAGTGTTGTGTTCAGCACCTCTATCAGGTGAAGATCACTATAAAAGAACACTATAGGGCCAGGAATATAAATGTGTATTCCTGACACTATACGTTAAAAACACTATTTAGGTGGCCCTCCTTGCCCCCTTAATTTATAGACACTTTACCATTATCCCAGCGCTACGTGCGTCCGCCAGTGCTGCCTCTGCCCCTGATCTGTCTCCTGGCTGAGATTGCCAGAATTAATTATCTCAGCCAGCCCAATGCTTTCCCATAGGAAAGCAATGGAAGGCTATTGCGCATGCCTGCAAAATGCCACGCTGGCCAATCGGCATTGCCTCGTAGAGATGCATTGACTCATTGCATCTCTATGGGGAAATTTCAGCGTCTCCATGCTGAAGGTGTAAACACTAAACGTCAGTGCTGGACAATGTGCAGCACTGAACCAGGAAGCACCTCTAGTGGCCATCTGAGTGACTGCCACTGGAGGTGTCCGTAATCAACAATGTAAATACTGCCTTTTCTCTGAAAAGGCAGTGTTTACATGAAAATGACTGCAGGAGCTAACTATACAAACCAGAACAACTACATTGAGCTGTAGTTGTTCAGGTGACTATAGTGTCCCTTTAAGTGTTCCCTTAATGTCCCTTGTGCGTCACAATGACTCAGAGCGTCACAGCCAGCGTTCCTGGCCATTCATTGAGTGCCGGACTATTGGTGTTAGTATTCTGCCTTGAGCCCTGAGCATTTAAAAAAGGGTTACCAGGTCACCATGTGATGTTGTAATAAGGAAAAACAGATATGAGCATAGGAATATAAATCTGCAAATAGAAATCAAGTCTTTAATCAACACGGAATTATGTAAACAGGGGTAGGCAAACTTCAGCACTCCAGGTGATGTGGACTACATCTAACATGATGCTTTGCCAGAATTATGGCTGTAAGAGCATTATGTCAGATATAGTGAACAACATCTGGAATGCCAAAGTTTGCATACCCCTACTAAAGAATATGAATCCCACATACCATAAGGCATAACTACTCACATGCTTTCCATTAGCATGAAGAAGTGATATGTGTGTAGGGGTGAAATGCGTTGGGAAGATTATAGTTGATCTGGTAATGCTGGCACTGACCAACTTATTCACTAAAGAGAGAATTGTTAAGAGTTCAAAATGAATTTCAAATATAATTTGACACAAAAACAGAAAATATGAGAACATTGAAAATGGGCAAAAGCTCAGAAACTCAGTAGCTTGCCCTTCGATTAGTCCCCGCTCGGGTCTCAAAAATGTTTTTGCTTTCTTGTACCAATACAAAGAGACCCTGAGCAACTTTCATTTCAGACTGATCTCACCCATAAGAGCAGTCGAAGTGCTGGCAAGTCCTCTCTGCACAAGAGATACAGCAATCCTGACCATTATTTTGGCCTTTTTTGTCTTCGTCAGCTTGTCAGCACAATAAGTATGGGGTCCACTTCTGGATGACTTTTTTACCTTACAGGGAGCCCAAGCAAATGTATTGTAACAAAAAGAAATTTAAGGCCAAAGTAGGCTTAGGTTTTGGTTATTTGACCTTAAATTTAAAAAAAATACTTTGGATTTAGTGAATTAGTGATATTTGCAATTTTTTTTAAATGGTCATTTTACCAGTGACTCTTCAGATTGACAGGTTTATTATTTCTAAACGCCAGTTACATTTTTTCAGTTTTGCTTTTTCTAGCCTACAATTTGGCATTCACATGGTTCCTCGCACTTTAGCAGAGTCACGTGCAATCATATGGAGTTATTCGCTAATCTATGCAAATATGAGCTACTAAAACGATCCATAAATCCATAATTTGTTTATTTAAAGTATTTTTGTTTTTTTATTTGTCAGGCCATGGCTTGTCTTATTTAAATATTTTCCCAAATATGTGTTGCATTGTTTGTGTGTAATTAAAGCGATTTGGAAATCCGAGGGAGCTGGAAGCCCTGTTCTATTTGTAGCGACGTGTCAGAGGCTACAGCATTACTGTGCATTTCCAAGTTGGGTTTAATGACCTGTCTCTGCTATTAGGCCTGCTGTTTGGAGTATTCCTTTAATCACTTAGGTTAATTTGGCTTACAGGCAGTCACAATGTGAAGTGTTGTGTCCTGTAAAAATCTGGCAATTTAGTAACCATAATTTCATGGATACATCTGTACGACCGGGAGCAAGTTAAACATTGAAAAAAATGACTAGTTTGAAAAAGTTTACATAAATATATTTTTAGTATTTATTAAATAGTGTTACTTTATAGGAAGTAGAATTGTCCCGGTTAAAATATCCCCGTCATTTACATGCGCCCACTTCACTGGCATAAAACTAGTATTTTTATTATATTTTAATTATCAAAGAAGAAAATTTCAATAATTAAGATATCTAAGGACTTTTTTATGTTGCCTTATTGGCCCAAATTATACAAGCTGGAAATATGGTTGGACTATTTTTCCTTTTTTGGGGGGCCTGAAATGTAGAATCTCACCACAATTTGTGGATTAGTTAATACTAACAAATAAAACAAAACAGCATTCAACATAGATGGTACATGCCTTTTAATCAGTTGGTGTATGTTGTAAAAGAAACAAGTCATTGTTTTGAGTTGAGTGGTTCTTTAATATTCTGTTTATTTTGGACGAGAACAGGGCGGCGTGGATATGATATAAATGTTATGCATGTTGACTTGGAATTCAAAAAATGTAGATTAAGGAAATCCTCCACCAAGAATTAGACTGGAAAAACAGGTTGGCTCAGCAGTAAGCAGACGGCAAATGTGAGGAACACAGAAAGCGTAGTGGATTCATGGAACAGCCTTCGGGCAGAGGCTAACAATGATCTAGTGTTGAGTTTAACCGAGTTTCTTAATTACAGGGTAATGAGGTAATGGAACAGTGCTGATATCAGTGTGAAAATTGGACTAGGTTGTTGTTCTAGGACTTTATGCACTAAACAGAGAGTTTTATTATTTTAATTAGCATTTATATAGTGCCTACATATTGTGCACTGCTTTGCAATGATAGAATAAGGATATTTGACAACAAGTAATTGACATACAGAATAGTAACCAAGAGAAGAGGTAATGAAGGTCTTGCTCAAACGAATTATGACTAATATCAAACGCATAACCGTAGAATTTAATAGGCTGGTGATTAATCAGATCTACATGTTCTCTTTTTTCAGAATGTTGTCTCTAAGTATGGCTCACAGTTTCGGGGTAATTCTCAACATGATGCCCTGGAATTTCTGCTCTGGCTGTTGGACAAAGTCAACGAGGATCTTAATTCTTCCAATGGTGAGAACTCAAAAACGCAGGCCAAGGTTAGTTATCCACATACATTCCCACCATGTACCTAAATCCCTTGTTTATCCAGTTCCCAATGGCATAATTGAAAACATACATAAGTTACTTTTTCAGTTCTGTTACTTTTGCCAAAAATTTTAATTCTCAACAATTCTGAATAAAGTTTAAGTGACACTTGTAAGAAATATCCCTATATATGCACTTATTATTGAGCCAATCAGAATGCTTATTTTTAGGATGGCACAACTAGACAATTGGTTTGAGCGGTGGTCAAGGCTAAAACATGGGATTAGTATCTAGCTTTCGCCTGCAGAGCTAGCAATCTAAACCAGGGAAATACTAAGCGGCAGAGGGAATCACACAGTGGCTTTGATGTTGAATGAGCAGTTGCTGGCAATATGTTACCATGATTGGGGGATGAAGATCAGATTATCAACTGGTTGAGAATATAAAGCGCGCAAAATAATCTTGCAAGCTATCCTAACTCTTTATCCCTTTGCATCAGATGGCATTTAACGGTCATAGCAGCATCTGGGGCAAAGGTTCATATGTCACATGTCACATCTAATCAGGACATAAAGGGATGCATGGACAGACTGTCCCTTACATCCCATACTGTGTTTCTGGTTACTAACATGGAGATAACCACAATGTCCCTGACTACAAAAATCCTGCATAAAATCATATATATTTTGTATGGCTCTTCAATTATTCTGCAAGGCTGTGGTGGTGAAATAAGGATTAAAATAAAATTATACTGCTTTTTTTTTTCTCCCCTGTTTATCTCGCTCTGAATACAGATAAAAACAACAGGTTTTTTTCCCAGCCTTGCAATGTGTGCGCTCTCCACATCCTAATCCCCTCTTAATTATAAATCGAGATGTGCTGAGTCCTTCTTAATTTGCTCCTTCAAATCCATTCAGCCAGATCTGGTAATTAACAGAAAACACTCGTCAGGAGCTAAAAAGGCTGTAATTGTGGTTTGGAAACGGTGGGAAAAAAATTAAAGTTTTAAAAGGGAAATGTCCTATAAGGGTTTTTGGGACCCCCCTGTAGCTAACTAAAAGCTACTTAACTGTATGGAAATTTTCCTCTTCTACATTGATGAACAATTTAAAAAAAAAATTATTTCTTTTTAAACTTCCTTCGATTGCATGGCTGTCATTGCACAACCAATGGTTATCGTGTAAAATATTCACTGGACTAGATTATTCACTAGAGTGCAAATTATTAAAAGTAAATGAAATAACCCATAAAATATTGGAACACATTTGAGACAGGACCCATAACATTCCACTGACCCTAAGAGGTTAATCTGTCTATTTTCCAGGTCACCAATAAAGAATAGTTTGCCAAACTGGCAGTGTCCTGTTCGGGGAAATGCTGATTGCATCTCTGGCAGTAAAGGGTTAACACTTTAAAGAAACATACTGAATTATTTAATATCCTGCTGAGTGTTCATACAGAGAGCCAGACTTATGCGCATTTATTTTGACATCTCCGTCTTTCTACCTCGTACCCTTCACACCCGTCTCTTCAGTATCACAGCTTCTTTAATGGTATTACCTAGTACTAGCCGTCATCTCAGTATCTTCATCAGTGCTAAAACTCTATACATCTTGCCCTACATCCAACCAAGTATATAACCACCCTGTTCATGAGTACTCTCGCTGACATTCTGTTCATACTGTTCAAATTTCACAGCATCATATTCCTTCATTTCATGCCCCATATACCAGCTCATCTATGGAACCTCATGCAGACTCCCAAGCAGGGCTGGACTGGGAACTAAAAGAAGCGCTGGCAACAATTCTATACCAGCCCAATAATGTGTCGCGCCAGCATAGTGTGCTGATATAGAGGTGGAAAAGATAACTTAAAATTGAAAACTATTACTCCAACGATAGGGCTTCAAAATAAACAAAATAGCGCCTTTATTTTAAGCAGAAGTACATTTGCATGTAATCAATGTTTCAGTGCAACTACCTTGACATATTAAAGGACCACTATAGGCACCCAGACCACTTCAGCTTAATGAAGTGGTCTGGGTGCCAGGTCCAGCTAGGCTTAACCCTTTTTTCTATAAACATAGCAGTTTCAGAGAAACTGCTATGTTTATAAATGGGTTAATCCAGCCTCTAGTGGCTGTCTCATTGACAGCCGCTAGAGGGCTTCCGCGCTTCTCACTGTGATTTTTACAGTGAGAAGACGCTTGCGTCCATAGGAAAGCATTGTGAATGCTTTCCTATGGACTGGCTGAATGCGCGCGTGGCTCCTGCCGCGCATGCGCATTCAGCCGAAGAGGAGGAGAGGAGGCGGAGAGGAGGAGGAGAGCTTCCCGCCCGCACTGGAGAAAGAGGTAAATTTAACCCCTTCCTCCCCCCAGAGCCTGGCGGGAGGGGGACCCTGAGGGTGGGGGCACCCTCAGGGCACTATAGTGCCAGGAAAACGAGTATGTTTTCCTGGCACTATAGCGGTCCTTTAAGGACATTTTAGTAATGGGACTGAAATGGTGAATGTATGCTGTTGCAACGCTGTAAAAAAGTTCTCTTGTTTATTTTGAAGTCCTATGAGTGCGCTCTTCACTTTGAACATGTGATTGTGCTGGAGTGTGCCAATACGTGCTCATTACATATATGTTATATATTAATGACATTTATGTGTGTATTATGCATATATAAATGTATATTAATATATGTGTAAATATTATAGGCATAATTATATATGTTACTAATATACACAATATACGTGTCATATCTATATATATATGTGTGTGTATTACTGTCAGAATTACATCAATTACGTCTATCTGTACATTGTGTTAGCAAGTTCTCTAGCAAAATGCATATATTGGAAGGAAAATCTATTTAATAAGAGGTCTTTCTCTCACCTGTCAATTAGCTCTTCGGCCTAAACTCCCAATGCCGAAGAACTGAGTTACAGGGAGAGCAGGAGACACAGGCGAAAATGCATCGCCCTCTAAACACACAAAAAAATGTATCTTCTCTTGTGTTTCTCTTAACTCCCTTATGAATTTCTTGGTTTTTTTTTGTGTTTCTTATTCCCTCCTTTGATTTTTTTTTTTACCTTGTTGAGTGTATTTTGTCTCCACTTTTCTCCTTTGTGTCTCTTACATCCACCCTTGTATCTCTTTCTTGTATCTCTCCCCCTCTATCTCTTTCTCCCCCTATTTCCCTGTGTCTCTCTATTCCCCCACTGTTTCTTTCTCCTCCCTTTTCCTGTGTCACTGTATCCACCCTCTGTCTCTCTCTTCCCCGTGTCTCTTTCTCCCTGTGTCTCTCTCTTTCCCCCTCTGTTTCTTTCTCCACCCCCCGTGTGTCTCTCTATCCCCTCTGTCTCTTTGCCCCCCTACCCCTGTGTCTCTCTCTTCCCCCTCTGTATTTGACTCCCCTCCCTTGTATCTCTCTATTACCCCTCTGTCTCTTTGCCCTCCCTACCCCTGTGTCTCTCTCTTCCCCCTCTGTCTCTTTCTCCCCCTTTGTCTTTCTCTTACCCCTCTGTCTCTTTGTCCCCCCTCCCCCTGTGTCTATGTCTACCCTTCACCACCCCCTGATGCTGACGTTGTCACAGGAGGACTGAGGGAGGGGGCAGAGCTGACTATCATGCTCCCTCATAGTTCCCATAATTCCCAGCATGGACAAATCATAGTGTAATCACTACTCTATAATGTGGGTGTGCTGGGAATTGTGGGAAGCGCGAGGGAGCATGATAGTCAGCTCTGCCCCCTCCCTCAGTCCTCATGTGCTGACAGCTGCAGGGCTGTCAGCATTAGTGAGTGTGCCGCTGGACCGGCTAGACAGCCAGCCGGCGTGACGGCACCTCCATACACAACATGAGATGCGGCCACCTTCTGCAAGGTAACTATCGGACGTGGCCATCCCCCTCAGAGTGTGCCACCGGACTGGCCCGGTATCCCGGTGGGCCAGTACGGCCCTGCTCCCAAGTGACAGTAATTCTAGTCCTCTTCTTCTGTGCCCCCACTGAGTGGGCAAGTTCCGTATCTCACCCATCTTTGTCTCGCCTTGGCCAGAGTCTCCCCTCTCTAACCTACTTTCAATAGTCCTATTTTTCCCCCAATCCCATATATATCTCTTTCCCTTCATGCATCACATCACTTTTATCTGGGATATTTACAAAAGTGAGAATTCAAATTAAATCTAAAGTGAACTGCAAAACAAGCTTACAACAAAAAGGAGACAGTGGACGCGGAGACAAAAAATCTAGCGGGCCAATTTTAGGTCATCAGTAAAATACTGCTGGTTGAGAACAATTAAGGCATTCATTATTGTTTAAGGCATAATTAAAGGTTTAATACTGGTGGTGAGTCATTGTTTATAAGTCTACAGTGAAGCAAACAGTGTGGAGTAGGGCTTGCTGGTTGGGAAGCTGTCTCCGGATGAAGTGGAGATGCAGGGAGATGCACCTGGGAGGCAGGAGACTGGGAGAAAGATGACTTCATGTTAGGAACAGGAAACATAGAAGGATGTTAAATATGAGAGACAATGGAAGGTTCAGCCTTTGCAGCAGTCACGAGGCATAGCTGTTGCATATAGCATGCCGAGAGTTGAGTAGAGTGGAAGTAGTCACAGGACAAAGTTGGAAGTATGGACATGCGAACCTTGAGATGTTGCTTAGGTGCCTTAAAGAAACACTCAAATAAAAAAAAAATACATATGTAAGAGAAGCACTAAACCTAATGCACATCCAATGACCGGCATCGGAATTCTTTCAACTAAAATAGATTAAATCCTCTGGCTGTCTGTCTGTTTTTTTTGAGTGTTCCTTTAAGTTTGTTTTTTTCTTGTGTCTTATTCTCTTTGTAAAATGTGTGTAGGTACAGTGAATAGCCTGCCGGCAGAGGTGGTTTATGCAATATAGAAAACATGACCTGTATTTCAGGTTGAGGTTTGTTTTTTTGAGTGGAGGTGCGATTGTTATTTTTTCGGATGTGAGGTCACATTTAAAATTCTGGTGCCAGTGCCACGTTAAAAATAACTCAGAGTTCATTGACAGCGACAACTTCAGCATGTGCATTTGCACATATTTCTGCATCAGAAAAGGTCAGGACAAACCGGATGGGTAGCAGATTCTTATCTCTTACTCCAGCCGGCTTTCAAAGGCGGAATACTGCTGAGTAGACATGGGCCAGTCTACCCGATGAATGGAGGAGCTGACGGCTTGCGTAGTGTGACACTAAGCCCGGCAGCTGGCTTTGCACATACACTCTCATCCCAGGATTAGAGAAGCAGATCAGACTAATAGCGAATCTTCCAAGCGTGAAACAATGTCCGTATTCCAGTCACCTACTCGCCTGAGGTCACTTCCTCGTAATCGGATGGGCGCAGCAGGATGCAAAAAAGGCGATAGGTGTAATTTCTTAATGCCAGATATATACGCTGCCAGTATACTGTTACATTGAGATATTAGCCTATTTAAGTTAATTTTTCAATTAAAATCTCCAGTTGATACTTTTATAAAAAAAAAACACTTTTTTTTTGTACATAATTTTTTTTTGGGGGGGGGCACTCATCGTATCCCAGGCAAGTTTTGTGATAAACTAAATGTTGCATATTCACAAAGAAATGTGTCATGGCCTTAAAGAATCAGTGCATGCCTGGTTAAGCTCAATGCAGAGAGCTTCTGGTTTTAACAAAGTCTGAAACTGGTGTCTGTCAGACCCCAGGTAAGTGGTCAAACCATTGTACAGTGCTACGGAATATGATGGCGCTATATAAATAATAAAATAAAAATAATAATAATAAGCAAACGATTTGACTACCCTGGGGAAGATTTTGAACGAGGTTTTGGTGACTGGATTATTCCTTTTAGCACTGGAAGGCTAAATTTATATGTCAGTAACCAATCACTTCTTTGTTATTTATAGTTTTTTAATTCAGATGATAGCATATGACGAGTGAATAACATCGCCAGCAAGCATCTGCATAACAAAAAATTATACATCATTGGCATAAGCTGAGCTGGCCCTAGATAGAAAAAAAAATCAAATTTTCTGAGTAAAATAGAGAAATGCAGGATATGCAAGTAGTGGAATGTTATTACACATCATGAACTCTCAGCAGTAAATACACTAGTTGAGAGTATAGACATTAAGATTAATATAGATTGAGACAAAATGATTGCTTAAAGCACAAAACTTAAAAACACAATGTAAAACAAAAGCAAATATTCATGTCATGGCAACTTGTATGTGGCCCAGTGGAGACAGGTTCCAGCATTGTGGTGCCTGAGATTCAGACCTGGGCACGGATCTATGGCTAACTGATTCCCGTCAAAGGCATAGCACTGTCCTTCACAGTAGTAAGGCGCCATATGACCATAGGCTCGTGTATAGGTAATTGTCCAGTCAGACAGGGCTGTTGGTAGAGACTCACAGGCCACCGTGGCAGCTGCTGCACTGGTAAGACCCTGGTTGCCCGGTATGTACAAAGCCGTGGCCTTTTCAGACCATGTTGGTAGCAACGTGGGGGCTCAGACCAGGTTGGTAGCAACGTGGGGGCAACATGGGGGTAGGCGCAATGATTTCCTTAGCCTTCAGGTCTTGAAATATGCTCCCTCACCATCGGGTGGTTAGAACTCTTAGTTTGCGCAGGAGAGGCCTCCAGTACTGGAGTCGCAGGAGGGGTAGGTATCAGTGATGGAGCTTAGTCCAAAAGTCTGCAAATAGCCAGTCCAGCCTGGTCAGTACGAGAGACTGCTGGCCTCTGGGTCTAGGATGCATTTGTCCGCCATGTTGGAGGACATGCCACTTCTGCAGCTTGGTTGATGAGACGTACCACCGGGCACAACAACACCAGCAACAGGTGCCAGGATAACCCCCACTGGCAGGGGGGGAGAGTGTAAGCTGAAGTGGGCTCTGCAGATAACAGGGAGTCCAAGGGCAGAGAGATCAGCCGCCTCTTTTCGCCCGCGCTGAGTAGTTTGCAGACCTGCCGCCAAAGATTTTCCAAACACTAGCAGAGCTGCTTCAAAAGTACGAATGCTGGGTCTCTCAATACTGCAGTAAAGCTGCAAGAGGTGGCTGATCACTTTTGCGTGGTATAAGTTGATAAAAAGGTGAATTTCTCTCTGAGAAACGTCCAATCAGCTCGAAAGTTAGCCTCCGCCACCAGAGACCTATAATTTAATCAGATTTCCGTACACTCCAACAAAAACACTTTAAAAAAAATTGTTCTTAATATTAACCCCTTAAGGACACATGACATGTGTGACATGTCATGATTCCCTTTTATTCCAGAAGTTTGGACTTTAAGGGGTTAAAGCGAACAAAAATCAGTTAAAAATATGTCTTAATTCTACAGTTATCATTTTCTTCAACTTTTCCTTATTCAATCATTGCAAATGAAGATTTATATCAAGTCTATATCACCGTTTAGTGACCAGGGGCCATTGTCTCTGGCTGTCATGACGTGAGACTGAGCCGGCTGTTGAACAGGTATTTACAATGCAAATGTCACATCCTTCCAGAGTCATGTGGCCGTATCATCCAGCTCTTTAGAATGCCTATTAAACAGTAAGGCCACTTTACAACTGCTAATGATACGGATTTACTGATGATTGATATGCAACATAATATCACTACTCACATTTGTCTTCAGAGTGAAAGAAATGTCATTTCCTCTTACTTGAGCAAATTTTTATGTTTAACCCCTTAAGGACCAAACTTCTGGAATAAAAGGGAATCATGACATGTCACACATGTCATGTGTCCTTAAGGGGTTAAAGGACCACTATAGTGCCAGGAAAACATACTTGTTTTCCTGGCACTATAGTGCACTGAGGGTGCCCCCACCCTCAGGGACCCCCTCCCGCTCGGCTCTGGGGAGAGCAAGGGGTTAAAACTTACCTTTCTCCAGCGCTGGGCGGGGAGCTCTCCTCCTTCTTTCCTCCTCCTCTCCTCCCATTCGGCTGAATGCGCAAGCGCGGCAAGAGCTGCGCGTGCATTCAGCCGGTCTCATAGGAAAGCATTTATAATGCTTTCCTATGGATGCTTGCGTGCTCTCACTGTGATTTTCCCAGTGAGAATCACGCAAGCGCCTCTAGCGGCTGTCAATGAGACAGCCACTAGAGGATTTGAGGGCTGGATTAACCCATTTATAAACATAGCAGTTAACCCTAGCTGGACCTGGCACCCAGACCACTTCATTAAGCTGAAGTGGTCTGGGTGCCTAGAGTGGTCCTTTAACTGATAGAAAGTACACAATTAATTACATAGTTATATAGGCTGAAATAAGACATGGATCATTCCTCTGTTTTTGCTGAAACAAAACTTTAGTTTAATGAAGCAGTTTTGGTGTATAGAACATGCCCCTGCAGTCTCACTGCTCAATCCTCTGCCATTTAGGAGTTAAATCACTTATAGGGAAGTATTAGATTGGCTGAGATCATCAGGATTGATGATCTCAGCCATGGAGACATTGAAAACCATATTTCTCCACTCTGAGGGAGGTCTGGAACCCTAATAGGTTTGTATGCTTAACACTATATAGCGTTCTTTAAAGTTCAATCTACACAAAAGGAGAAAAAAATTTCAGTCACAGCACAGCTACTGGAGGTGTGGCTAAGGCTGCGTGAACAGACACAAAGGTGATTAAACTCCTAAATAGCAGATAATTGAGACTGCAGGGGCATGATCTATACACCAAAACTGCTTCATTAAACTAAAGTTTAACTATAATGTCCCTTTAAGCATAATATTAAAAAAATGTTGTTTCTATTTTTCATTTGACTATAATGTCTCTTTAAGCATAATATTAAAAAAATGTTGTTTCTATTTTCTTTGGACATACAACTATTTGTATAGTGTGCACCCACTGTCACATTTCTATATGCCCTCTCAACGCTGTACAGCTCTGCACTGCTTGTTGGAGCAAACACTAATTAGTGATATTTTTGAGATGCATTTAAAACGTGTATTTTACCCTCTGCTTCTTTTCTGTTTTATTGTACATTATCCTTTTTAGATTGTAAGCTCACAGGTTTATCCTGCATAGTACTTTAAAAGCGTGTGCCACAAATCCTGGATTTAAGCCCAATGGGCTGGGTTCCCTGTTGATATCCTATCAGCTTGTCTAGTTATACATCTCTCTGTAACCGTACCCTTTTTTCAGGCTTGGTTTATTTACTTTGCTTAGTGCACTGTCTGCTCAGTTTTATGGTTAAATGATCTGGAGTGTGCAGTAGGAATAATGCTATTCTCTTTCATACACCGTTAATATAAAGCTATAAAAATGTAGATAATATGTCTAACTATTATTATTACTGACACTGGCATTTATAAAGTGCTAAACTCAAGAGAAGGCAATTGCGCAGAGCACCTGCCATGCAAAGACTTCTCATTGAGCTGCATTGCGAAGTCTGTGATTGGACAGCCACAGAAAGTCTGGGCGGGGTTAAAAGGGGAGGGCTTGCAAAGGCTGCAGGCAAGAGGTATGCAGCTTTTGCAAACTGTTTTTAGATATATCCCCAATGTTAAAAAAAGTATCATTTAAATTCATAAATCATTTAATTGTTAGTATATCTACCAAACACAGATTTATTTTTTGTATTTAGGCAGTGGAGTGTTCCTTTAAGATACATTTACCTGTACATAGAAATACACAATGATATTCATGCATACACACTGGGATAAATAGCTAGCAGTTTCTGGACTGTCCGACACAGACGGCTCCCTCCCTGGAACAACCATGAAATAATATGTTAAGTAAGCTATAACAAGACTGCTACGGACGTTTTGAAACTTTCTGACTTCATGGGCTAAAAATGCACTATCTTCAGTCACTTCCTGTCTTGTTAATTGTTAACTAACCCTTGAGCCATTATCAATAAATCACATAAAAATAAAGCTGTTACCATGTTTCTTTGAGAATGACGCACCACAATCACTGCATAGTGTTCAGCAGATGGGACAAGTGTATTTTTTTTTTTTCCAATAAATCTGTATGCAATACCCTGTGCTTGGCAAGAGCCCCAAGCATCTGTGTTAACAGATTCAATGTGCTCCTTTTAATCATTATACCCGTTAATGAAGTATATCTCTGCGCTTTAGTGCCACTTTTTGCTACAACAACACTAATATTTTTCCTTTAAAGTAGAGTTAAAAAAGAAAGGCAAAGTTTTTATAATAGCAGATCTGGCAATTACCTATTAACCCTTTTTGGGCAAAATCTACTATTAAAGTATCTTCGTTTTGTATAGAACCCCCTACGGGCAGCTGCCATATTCTCCCGGGAAGCTGGCTTGTTTTTCACAATTTGGCTGGTATCCCAGCTTCTTCTTACAAGAAAACACTTAAAATCTGTAGCAGGCGGCATTAACTCTCTATGGCTACTATGGTGGGTGCTTACCCAATTTGCAGTAATATAGAGAAGTCCAAAACTCTGACCTTCCCTCCCTATCCGTGAGATATGGCCATCTCTATTACGATTGTCATCTAGTTGGTTTTTGGCTGGCAAGCTGGATAAAAAGGCAACTTCGTTAGAAGTTTTCATAGGTAGTCTAACAGTTATAATAATTCTATAAGAATATTCTATAAGATATTTTTCTGAATAGGTCATTGCCCGAATTACTTTAACTTCTAGTAATTCCACATGCTTCATAACATCATGATGCGTACTTTTTAAATTATATAGGCCTCAATTTAACAAGCTGTTCAAATATAGTAAGAAAAATGTTCCAAATGATTTATCTTTAAAAATTCCAATAGTTAATGTGACTTCTCCGGATAACGTGGAATGTTTTTATAATAGTGTCTAATAATTTGGAAAGCTTATTAAATCGAGGCCTATATACCTAAACCTTATCCTTATCAACAAGTCGTTTCTAAGAATTGAAAGGTCTGCAGTTCAACGTTAAACTTTTTTGACCAGAAATCTTACTGAATAATTTTATAAAAATGTAGTCTCACGAAATTAATGCAAAGAGAAAAAAAATAATTTTTAAAAATAATTTATTTAAAAAAAAAACCCCCAAAAAAACTGTTCTTGAAGTATATACATATATTCTGCTCGTTTATCAGACAAATTTATTCCATGGATTGGTTCCCATATTGCACCAACACCTCACAACAGCTCCATGTTCCGCAGGATAGTCCAGCCGTCCTAAGATTATTCTCTGGTGTCATTATTCATCTTGTTCTCAGCATGCGCAGCACAGGTGCCTCATTAGACCTACTAGCACTGTACAAACTGCATATTGGGTATTCAACTCATTGCACAGCGCACTGCGCATGTGCAGCCCTGAGCGGCCATTATGATGGCCAGTAAGCCTGACTTACTTTAACACCAAGCTGCCATGCCACTTCTTCAGTCAGAACCTGCCCGCTTGGGTATCACCAGTGATGTAAGCGTGTCACTGGTATATGTAACCCCTATAAACTCACCCTCTTCTGTCCTGATTTCATTCTTCTCAATGTTGGGAGGTATTATTATTATTTATAAGGCACCAACAAATTCCGCAGCGCGGTAATGTTCACCTCCTATTATGAATTTGACTAGTACTGTCTATTTGTATCCAGGACAGCTGGTAGGTATGTTATTCACCTTTTCTTAAAAAACACCTGTATGTAAAGTCAGCATCTATATCTTTTTATAAATTGACAAGCTGCAGGTCAGAGAGTTTTGGGAGTTGTAGTCCAGCTGTCTGCTCTCTACAGAAACCTCTTCTGTGCAAGGGTTTATGGAATACATTTACAGCCCATATTGTAAATTATATGCTAACGTCTGCAATGAGTAGGCCACATCCTGGTTTCAGCAGAGCTCACTGCAGACGCTGCAAAGCCTAAATGTTTGCAGCAAATGCATACATTTCAAATGTGATTACTTCATTTTTGTCTTAATGTGTATATTTTAAAGCATTATATATACAATCCCTTAAATTTGAGAAAACTCTATATTTAACGTTCCTCAATGCTCCAGTAACCTGTATACATGTTATATTTCTGACAATAACCAATATATATATTTTATTAAATTTACAGCCTCCACCTGCTTCTGAGCAGAGACCAACCAGCCCCTCACACTCCCTGCCTACAGCTGGGGCACAGAGCTTTGTGGAGGAACACTTCCAAGCACAGTACAGGTAGGTACACTAACAGCTGAGTGATACATATTGATACATATATCAGGTTGGTTGGAGCCACAGTCTACCTCCAGATCGGTTATGGTACAGACCAGATATTGTAAAGACTGTTCCTATATTTATATGGAGCACACCATTTACTGAAAAAAGGGATATCTGTAAGTGCATGGACCAGGCCATTTGATGTAAAAAGATATTGCACCCCATTTGATTTAAATGGCCAGTGTTGTCTCAACAGGGTTTTTAGAATTCTATGAGGACTATCTAGTTAATTTAGGAGGAGGTTCCTTAAATATTTCTGAAGCCATTTTAATACACCACATTCTGTGGCAAATGTCAAAGGTCAGTTTCCTGAGGGGTAAAAAAAGGTCTAATAAATAAAATAGGCGAATGTAGGGAAAAAAATCATATAAATAATACCAGCAACTATCAACACATTTAAAGTGCAAGTTTTTGGGAATTCAAATGTTTAGGCCAGGATAACTGAATTTAGAGCATACATGACTTCTAAAACATTTCCATGCAATGTTCCAGATGATTACATTAGTTTCCACGGTAACTGCTCAACTTGTAGAACGTTGCCGCCCCCTATTCCCACCTCTTTTAGAGTTATTCACTAAAACTCGGTTTGTTGGAAACTCAGAGTGAAAAAAAAAATTTTAGGTCCAGAAAATCCCCAATTCATTTGAATTCCTGACACTTTACTGAATAACCATCTCTCTGTATTACTGACCCAACTGGTTATAAGGATGATTGTTATTAAGATTAAGATTCCTGAGGTCTCAGTTGACCTCACTGTCCCCTCGCTGCACAGCAATGCCCAGACCATAACTGTCTCGTACACCTATAATTACTCATCACAAGACACCTCGGCTCGCCTACCGACATGTTCTCTATAAATAGTGTTCCTCTATTTACTTGTTTACCTACCAAGAGCCCATCTGCATGGGTGTACAGGTCATGGTTTAAATAAACGTATTATAAGCACCCACCCATCAACAAATGGTCAGCTAAATAAGTTTCCCAAACCGGCTATTGTGGCTGTGGCGAAACCAACCTCGCCACTGTGAACTGGAGAAGCCTGGTTGCTCGCCTGCTCCCTTTGGACTATGGCCCTGCAGGTTAAACCGTTTATTTCCCCTGCAGAAAGGCTTATTTGTGTGATCTGAGTGCCATTCATCTAATAATGTGCACTCAGATCCCAGCTATCTGGGGATATGTGAAATGTCTGTGTGTTATGTGTAAATGTGACTTTATGTATTTTAAAGTGTTTTGTGTCTTTTTGCAACCATGTGCTTAATGGAGTCTTGTGTCTATCCTGGGAGATAATTGAATTACTTATCTCCAGGATAGAAGACTCTGAAACTGGTTTGGGCCAGAAAGCCATGCTTCATTTAGTCACAAAGGACTTTTACTAACTTTTGAACCCCTTGTCTGATTTGTGCCATTTTTGAATATGTTGTTCCCCTGAATGGATTGATTGTGAATATGTAATTTTATGTGAATGTGATGTATGGTTTTGGAGTTATGAAAGTTGGGTAGAAAGTATGTTTTAACTGTATGTATAATTGAGTTTCCTCTCAGGATAAGGGGAGGGAATATGTGGGATGTAACTGTGATATGATTGGTTGTTTTATCCCTCCCTGTGGGTGGTCCTGTATTTGAAACACTGTAATAAAAACCAGGCTGGGTGTGCCAGCACCTCAGACCACTGCTTGACCCTCAACACGGAGCCTTGTCTCGTTCTTGGGGGGATTCACTGTATGCTGTTAGAGACTGATTGCCAGGAGTGTAAGCTGATTGTCTGCTTTTCCTGTTCGTCTGCTAGCAGCTATTTGGGAGGTTCCAGTTCGGGAGTTGGAGTGCTATTTTGTATCCAGTTCGTGAGTTTTGGTGTTCTGCAGTAGCTGTGCCTGTATCTCTGGGAAGGGGGCCGATCGCCTAAACGGTTTTTACCTCTTGTGTGCAAAACGGTCCGTTACATTGGTGGCAAGCGGTGGGATGGCGTCCTAGTGCGAGGTAAAGCAGCTCGGAGACACAGTTCGTGGATTTACAAATTGAGGGCAACGCTAGTACCCGTACAGCGACCCTATCTACAAAAGAACTAACTTCAGCAGAGCAAGCATGGCGTATGACTACACTCAGGAGGAGTTTGACAGAGAGGTTAATGAGGTGCTGTCTACCTTTGGACCCAACCCCCCAGAGAGAGCCGTGCAGCTCGCCAGGAAACTAGTAGGAGAATACCTGCAATCTCTAGTAGATTTGGCCAAAAAGGAGTCCCAGGGAGCTGAAGGTGTCGTCCTTCCTCCCCAGCGGCAGTGTGTGTCCCAGGGAGCTGAAGGTGCCGTCCTTCCTCCCCAGCGGCAGTGTGTAACCCAGGGAGCTGAAGGTGCCGTCCTTCCTCCCCAGCGGCAGTGTATATCCCAGGGAGCTGAAGGTGCAGTCCTTCCTCCCCAGCAGCAGTGTGTACCCCAGGGAGCTGAAGGTGCCGTCCTTCCTCCCCAGCGGCAGTGTGTACCCCAGGGAGCTGAAGGTGCAGTCCTTCCTCCCCAGCGGCAGTGTGTACCCCAGGGAGCTGAAGGTGCAGTCCTTCCTCCCCAGCGGCAGTGTGTACCCCAGGGAGCTGAAGGTGCCGTCCTTCCTCCCCAGCGGCAGAGTGTCCTGCAGGGAGCAGAGACCGTCAGTCTCGCACCCCAACCACAGGACAAAATAATGAAAGGGGAGACAGCTGGTCCCCCTCTCCACCAGCAGAGAGAGTGTCAGGGAGAGGAGCCTGATACCCCTTCTCCCCAGCGGCAGTTTACAGTTCAGAGAGAGGAGCTTGTTACACCCTCTCTCCAGCGGCAGCCTAACCCAGCAAGGGGAGATGTTACACCCCCCAACAGTGCAGATGGGACTGTAGTCTCTGCACTTACAGCACAAGGGATAGGGACAGTCGGTCCTGTTCCCCAGCCACAGAGCGGTGTATCCAGAGGGGAGACAGTCGGTCTCTCCCTCCCACAACCAGGCTCCCACCAGGCTACTTCCGTGGTAGCACTGGCATCAGGGCAGAGTACCGCTGGTCTCTGCCCACTCAGCAACCCACCAAGGCAGCCTAACAGTTGCCCACACAGTCGTGGTGAGGCACCTGGACATGGACAAAGTTCTCCTCTACCCAGGTGTAGTAACCAGTTATTGTGGGTGGGCTGTACTGCTGTTTCTGTTTTGTGGGTGGGTTGCTGGACTAACCAGGGCACTGACCGGCAGGAGGTCAGATACCCTGTTAGTCTAGTTGGTAAAGGGGAGAAGTGTGGCGAAACCAACCTCGCCACTGTGAACTGGAGAAGCCTGGTTGCTCGCCTGCTCCCTTTGGACTATGGCCCTGCAGGTTAAACCGTTTATTTCCCCTGCAGAAAGGCTTATTTGTGTGATCTGAGTGCCATTCATCTAATAATGTGCACTCAGATCCCAGCTATCTGGGGATATGTGAAATGTCTGTGTGTTATGTGTAAATGTGACTTTATGTATTTTAAAGTGTTTTGTGTCTTTTGCAACCATGTGCTTAATGGAGTCTTGTGTCTGTCCTGGGAGATAATTGAATTACTTATCTCCAGGATAGAAGACTCTGAAACTGGTTTGGGCCAGAAAGCCATGCTTCATTTAGTCACAAAGGACTTTTTACTAACTTTTGAACCCCTGTCTGATTTGTGCCATTTTTTAATATGTTGTTCCCCTGAATGGATTGATTGTGAATATGTAATTTTATGTGAATGTGATGTATGGTTTTAGAGTTATGAAAGTTGGGTAGAAAGTATGTTTTAACTGTATGTATAATTGAGTTTCCTCTCAGGATAAGGGGAGGGAATATGTGGGATGTAACTGTGATGTGATTGGTTGTTTTGTAACGCCCTGTGGGCTGTACTATGTTTGTGGATTGGGAATAAAAGAGACTGTATGTGACAGTACAGGAGTTCCTGTTTTAACCCTCAAAGTGAAGTGTCGTCTCATTATTGGGGGAAGGATTCATTGTATGCTGTTCCAGTTTGACTGCTAGGAGAGTAAACCTATTCGTATGGTTCCTATTCAACTGTCTACAGCATTCATATGCTTGGGAGAATTTATTTGTTTCTCCGGTTCGGTGATTGTGGTGTCTGCCAGAGTGCTTGGAGTCCTCAGGAAGCGCTAGGAGCATCCTTCAACGGAGGTACCCAGTCGGGGTGCCAGGTGATCCGTTACAGTGGCCAAAAATATTAAATTTCTTTCCCCGTTCTCCATACCACTCAACGGTCCTACATATATGGCAGGATAATATTTTCAGGTCCCTGTAGTCATTACTTTTCTTGGTTGTTGTGTTACCATCTGCCCCCATTCTGCATTTATACCTCCCAATATAGGAAAATGTATAATATGTAGCTCTTGCAGTAGAAAGAGGGAAGTGCTCATGCCATTGTACAGAACACTGGTGAGACCTCACTTGGAGTATTGTACACAGTACTGGAGACCGTATCTTCAGAAGGATATTGATACCTTAGAGAGGGTTCAGAGAAGGGCTACTAAACTGGTTCATGGATTGCGGGATAAAACTTACCAGGAAAGGTTAAAGGATCTTAACATGTATAGCTTTGAGGAAAGACGAGACAGGGGGGATATGATAGAAACATTTAAATACATAAAGGGAATCAACACAGTAAAGGAGGAGAATATATTTAAAAGAAGAAAAACTACCACAACAAGAGGACATAGTCTTAAATTAGAGGGACAAAGGTTTAAAAATAATATCTGGAAGTATTACTTTACTGAGAGGGTAGTGGATGCATGGAATAGCCTTCCAGCTGAAGTGGTAGAGGTTAACACAGTAAAGGAGTTTAAGCATGCGTGGGATAGGCATAAGGCTATCCTAACTATAAGATAAGGCCAGGGACTAATGAAAGTATTTAGAAAATTGGGCAGACTAGATGGGCCGAATGGTTCTTATCTGCCGTCACATTCTAGGTTTCTGGAATTCACTGTTATAAGAGGGAATGTTTTATCATTAATTGAATTCCCCATAATGTATGTATTTTATATACTGTATGTACTGTTTGTATTTTAGGGTTACTGTATTATTTCAGTGATGCAGATGTAAAAGAGTACTACGGTATAAATGTGATATCGGGGATGGGAGGCTGTTACATCACTGACAAAGCAACAAGGGCACTCTCCTGAAAATGTGATGGCCGTTGGGGAGTGACTGGTGGCCATTTTGTCAAGTCCTACGCAGGGCTGATTGAGCACAGTATGATTTGTATGGCACTGGTGCATCTGATGGTATGTTCATGCTGTTGTAAGCACTAGAGACCAAAATGAGGATAGCGTGACAGGACCACGAAATCAGGATTGCACTGGTTGAATACAGGAACATTTTGGAAGCATGATTAATGGTGTTTCTTAAAAAAATATTATCATATGGCTCAGGGCCGTCTTTAACAAGGGGCAAACGGGGCAGCTGCCCCGGGCCCAGTTGCTCCTGGGGGGCCCAAAGCAACTGTCCCGTGGGCCCCCTGCCCGCAGCCAGGACTGAACAGCCCACCGGGATACTGAGAAATATCCCAGTGGGCTGCGGCAAGTGAAGTAATCAGGGCCCCCCGGCCCTTTAATTGAGCACCCGACCGGGCCCCTGTCTGTATGCCTGCTGGGAGGAAGTGAGGTGAGATCACTTCCTCACAAATAACAGAGTGCCGCTGGGGAGGAGGAGACACACATGGAAGTGGAGGAGAGGGAGGATGCACACACAGGAGGAGGAGGTAAAGGAGAGGGACTGAGGTAAACATGTTCATCAGACTCCCATCAACCTCAGCCATCCAGCTTCCACTGGACCCCAGGGAAGCCACCCTTCTCTAAAGGTAAGGAGACAAGAGGGTGGCTAGACTTAAATTGATATAAATGTGTGTATATCTGACTGTATGTGTATATCTGACTATGTATGTGTGTATCTGACTATGTATGTGTGTATCTGACTATGTATGTGTGTATCTGACTATGTATGTGTGTATCTGACTATGTATGTGTATATCTGACTATGTATGTGTATATCTGACTATGTATGTGTGTATCTGACTGTATGTATGTGTATATCTGACTGTATGTGTATATCTGACTGTATGTGTGTATCTGACTGTATGTGTATATCTGACTATGTATGTGTGTATCTGACTATGTATGTGTATATCTGACTATGTATGTGTATATCTGACTATGTATGTGTGTATCTGACTGTATGTATGTGTATATCTGACTGTATGTGTGTATCTGACTGTATGTGTATATCTGACTGTGTGTGTGTATATCTGACTGTGTGTGTGTATATCTGACTGTGTGTGTATCTGACTGTGTGTGCGTATCTGACTGTGTGTGTGTATCTGACTATGTATTTGTGTATCTGACTATGTATTTGTGTATCTGACTATGTGTGTATCTGACTATGTGTGTGTGTGTATCTGACTATGTGTGTATATCTGACTGTATGTGTGTATCTGACTATGTGTGTATCTGACTGTGTGTGTGTATCTGACTATGTATGTGTGTGTATCTGACTATGTATGTGTGTGTGTATCTGACTATGTGTGTATCTGACTATGTGTGTATCTGACTATGCGTGTGTGTCTGACTATGCGTGTGTGTCTGACTATGCGTGTGTATCTGACTTTATGCGTGTGTATCTGTATGTGTGTGCGTTTGTATCTGGCTGTGTGTGTGTATCTGGCTGTGTTTGTGTCAGTGTATGTGTACCTTTGTGTCAGTGTTTATGTGTATCTATGTGGATGTATACCTGTGTCCGTGTACTTGTGTGTCAGTTTGTATGTGTACCTGCGTGTCTGTGTATGTATGTGAGTGTCAGGTTGTGTAAGTGTGTATCTATGCGTGTGGCAATGCATACGTTCCATCATTCCAGTACCAACACTGCACACATATACACTACTACATTCCAACGCTAACACTGCACACAAATACACCACTGCATGTGTATCTGTGTGTATCTCAGTGTTTGTGTAAGTGTGCATCTGTGTGGCAATGCATACATCCAAGCATTCATTTGCCAACACTGCACACAAATACACCCCTGCATGTGTACCCGTGTGTCTGTGTGCATCTTAATGTGTGTCTATATCTGTGTCAGTGTGTGTAAGTGTGTATCTCTGTGTGTGGATGTGCCAGTGTTTTTATCTTTGTATCTGTGTGTGTGTGTGTGTATGTATGTATGTGTCTGTGTGTGTATACGCCAGTCTGTTTGTATCAGTCTGTGCATGTGTCCAGATGTGTGCATGTATCAGTGTGCTAATGTGTATGGATATCTGTGAATGTATGTCATACATCCAAGCAATCAAACACAACATGCAAACACACCCCTGCAAACACAAACATTACATACAAACACGCCCCTGAATTCAAACTCAAAAAGTATATAGAAACACACCCCTTCACTCTAACACCAATACTACACCGTACATGCACACACATACTCTATACAACAACATGCTCACAAATACAGCCCTGCAAGAATGACCAAATGGTAGATCCCCAACTGGCATAGCATCGTGGGAATTGTACAACAGATGAGGATCTATCTTTTCTCCATTATTGTGCTAGATGGGAGGCCCAAAAAAATGTCTTGCACCTGGGCCTTCTCTACATTAGTTATGCCACTGTATTGGGGTGGAGGGCATGACTGCATGCCAGGGGGTGGAAATGTGTGGAGGGGAAGGGCAGGATCCAGGGGGCCCAAGCAAATGCTTGCCCAGGGTCCAATCAATGTTAAAGACAGCCCTGATATGGCTACTTCAAGCACCATGTCCATGTCAGCGATTTGAAGTGGTTATGGTGCCTGGAGTCTGTATGTGCAACATTTTGCTATGAAATGCTACACATACAGAGTTTAACCTCGTTGCTGCCGGAGGTGTAACTTTACTTCCGGACACATCATTGGGACGGCATTAGCCAGCTAATGCTTTCACCCAATGAAGGGGATTGCCATCTGGCCCTGCAGCTATGCAGCAGCCACATGCAGCTCACAGCCCTCAGGAGAGGAGCCTCAAGCCCCGGCAGAACCAGGTAAGAGGACAAACCATTGCAAAACCGCATGCCCCACTACTGGCAAATGGTGCCAGTGTGCTCCTACCATCAGCAGGCTTTAGTGGTTATAATACTTAGAGTAATCCTTTAACTGTAACTTAAAATTTAAAAAAACATACGTGCATATCCACATGTTTATTAATGCTATTGTATATTACAGATCATCACTCACCTGCCCTCACTGCCATAAACAGAGTGACACATTTGACCCCTTCTTGTGTGTCTCATTGCCCATCCCCCTACGTCAAACCAGGTAAGAGGCTTTATTCTTTTTCACGTGAATGACTTAACTCCTTTAGTAAACACTTTACATTTATTGTTATATGAAATTCCTGTATTTTCTGCAAAACACCAGGTTTTGCAGCATCTGCAGTGAGCTCTTAACAAACCAGAAAGTGACTGACAATAAACTTGTTCACTTAAATTTCTTTAGCAAGGAGTTCTGAGAGCTATAGTTCGTTGGTCAACTTACTTCTGTGGAAACCTAAGTGTTGGCATTATGTAGGGCAGTATTTTTGGAGCAAAAGGGGCAGTTTTGGTTAAAGGGGCAGAAAGGGCACTGACCATAAAAACCTACCTTGCACATTCAATCTAACTCACAGACACAGACACACACACACTGTAACGGAACTTGGCATTTGATGATCTTAAATAAAGTACATTGATCTGTGGTTAGTAAATCACAGTATCTCATTAGCCTTAATAGAATATCTACAGATGAAAATACGTGTTTTATCTCAGATAGTTAAATCCTAGCCCGAGGAGTCTATTCACTAAATAATGAGTAGAGGTGAGTTGACAACAGAGTTACGAGATTTAGGCCTGAATAACAGAGCATTGAAAAACTGATTTATTTATTTCACCTAGTTATTGTAACTCATTTATCAAGTCATGTTTAGTGAATATATTTCTTGCTGTTTTGTACTTATAGTGGTAGAACATTGGCTTAAGGACAGAGTACAACGAGTTGTAATTAATGGTAAATTTTCAGGCTGGACAAAAGTGGTAAGTGGTGTCCCTCAGGGTTCTGTTTTGGGACCACTTCTATTTAACATATTTATAAATGATCTTGAAATAGGCATTGAAAGCCATGTATTAGTGTTTGCAGATGACACAAAACTTTGTAAAGTAATAATATGTGAGCAGGATATTGCTTTGCTGCAGAGAGATTTGGATAGATTGGGGGACTGGGCACTAAAATGGCAGATGAAATTTAACATAGAGAAATGCAAAGTTATGCACTTCGGGGTTAAGAATGCACAAGCAATTTACACACTAAATGGCAGTGAATTAGGAATAACCACACACGAGAAGGATTTGGGAATTGTTATAGACAACAAATTAAGCAGCAATATGCAATTTCAATCTGCAGTTGCTAAGGCCAGTAAGATTTTGTCATGTATAAATAGGGGCATAAATTCTCGGGATGAAAATATAATTTTGCCTCTTTATAAATCGCTGGTAAGACCACACCTTGAATATGCTGTGCAATTTTGGGCGCCTGTTCTAAAGAAGGATATCATGGCACTGGAGAGGGTCCAGAGGTGAGTAACAAAATTGATAAAAGGAATGGAGCATTTTAGTTATGAAGAAAGGTTAAAAAAATTAAATCTGTTTAGTTTGGAAAAACGGCGCCTGAGAGGGGATATGATAACTTTATACAAATATATTCGGGGCCAGTACAAACCTTTATCTGGAAATCTATACATAAACAGGGCTATACATAGGACACAAGGTCACACATTTAGGCTGGAAGAAAGGAGATTTCATCTAAGGCAAAGAAAAGGTTTTTTTACAGTAAGAACAATAAGGATATGGAATTCTCTGCCTGAAGAGGTGGTTTTGTCAGAGTCCATACAGATGTTTAAACTGAAATTGGATAAATACTTACAAAACATAACATACAGGGATATAATTTCTAATTAGTGGGGTAATAGCTGCTTGATCCAAGGAGACATCTGACTGCTATTTTGGGGTCAAGAAGGAATTTTTTCCTAGTTTGTGGCAAAATTGGAAGTGCTTCAGACCAGGTTTTTTGCCTTCTTTTGGATCAACAGCAACAACATTTGTGAGGAAGGCTGAACTTGATGGACGCAAGTCTCTTTTCAGCTATGTAACTATGTAACTATGTTTGGTGCATATTTATTTATACAAGGCCAGATAACACCCACCTTTATTGAACTCAGAGACAAAGAACCACTACTACTTCATCTCAAAGTGGTATGGGTGAAGTGGTCCTGTCCTTTTATTATTATTTTATTATTTATATAGCGCCAGCAAGTTCCATAGCGCTGTACAATAGAAAACATTGCTGGTTTGCAGAAACTGCATTATCAGTGTTAAATCCACCACTGGTAGCTGTCTTTCTGAACCGCACTAGAGGCACTTGCTGCTCCAGATCGATTAAAACTTGGTCTGGTTATCAAATGCAACTGAAAGCAACGTTTAGCAGCGCATGCATATCTCCAATCCATTGATGATTTTTTTTTGAGACTATAGATTCTCTTTAACCCCTTCACGACCAAGGACGTATCAGGTACGTCTGACAAAAAAAAGGTCCTTAAGGACCGCGGACGTACCTGATACGTACGCAGGAAATTAGAGCACTGGAAGCGAACATGATCGCTTCCAGCAGCTCTAATGGTATTGCTGCGATGCCTCATAAAAAAAAATTATATATATATATCTTTTATATAATGTCATGCTAAGTGTATTTTTTTAAATTAATATATACATATATTATTAATATAAAAATACACTTAGAGAAAATCAAATTTCTAGCACTATATTTAACCCTGTAACTTTCCATGACACCCTAAAACCTGTACATGGGGGGTGCTGTTTTACTCGGGAGACTTCGCTGAACACAAATATTAGTGTTTCAAAACAGTAAAACATATCACAGCGATGATATTGTCAGTGAAAGTTTTTTGCATTTTTCACACACAAATGGTACTTTCACTGATGATATCATTGTTGTAATACATTTTACTGAAACACTAATATTTGTGTTCAGCAAAGTCTCCCGAGTATAACAGTAACCCCCATGTACAGGTTTTATTGTACTTTTGAAAGTTACAGGGTTAAATATAAGGCCATTTTTTGAAAATGGCCAGGTTGGTTATGTTGCCTTTGAGAGCGTATGGTAGCCCAGGAATGAGAATTACCCCCATGATGGCATACCATTTGCAAAAGAAGACAACCCAAGGTATTGCAAATGGGGTATGTCCAGTTCTCAGTACATGTATTCTTAAATTGCTATGTGTGTCAAAAAAATCACCAATTATAATAATTTTTTTAAATTTGGCATAGATTGGTGGTAAAATTGTTGCATGAAAAGAGTCAAAATACCCCAAGTTTAATACCTTTGGTTGTCTTCTTTTAAAAAATATATACCTGTACATGTGATGGTTATTCGGGGATTCCTGACAGATATCAGTGTTACAATGTAACCCGCATTCATTTTGAAAAAAATGGTTTGGAAATAGCAAAGTGCTACTTGTACTTATGGTCCTACAACTTTCCAAAAAAAAGCTAAGAACAGGTTAACATTGGGTATTTCTAAACTCAATACAAAATTTAGAAACTATTTAGCACGGGTGTTTTTTGGCGGTTGTAGATCGGGGGTCAAAGTTTGAAAAAGTGTGTTCTTTTAAATTTTTTCATCATATTTATAATTGTTTTTATATTAAAATATATGATGTGATGAAAATAATGGTATCTTTAGAAAGACAATTTAATGGCGAGGAAAACGGTGTATAATATGTGGGGGTATAGTAAATGAGTAAGAGGAAAATTACAGCTAAACACAAACACTGCAGAAATGTAAAAAGAGCCCTGGTCCTTAACGGTAAGAAAATTGAAATATGGTCTGGTCACTAAGGGGTTAAGTATTTTTGGCAGACAAAGTTTTGCTTTTTTTCCCCACATTTAGTGACATGACTTCTGTTTAATTCATTTTTTAGATGTTAAATCTGTATCTGAACCATTTCTTCATTGTCATTATCTGATTCACCTGTATACATGGCTCTGTATTCGATTTCAGACAGTTCCGTCATTGAGAGAGAGGGTCTGATATTATGGGCAATCAGAGAAGGACTTGCTAATAGCGCTCCCTGCAGAATAAGTTGGGTTTGCAGCTTAGAAAGAGGCTTTAAAAGGGACGGAAAAGTCGGAAATAGATATTTCAGTAGACAGGAAAAAGGAGTAGGGGAAGGATGTATGGACAGGGCTTCCTCGTATACTTGTAAAGAGGAAAACACAAGTTGGTGATTGCAAACTCATTATAAATCTTCTCTTAAAATGTATTTAGTTCTATATATAAGTACATTTAAGCACATGGGGTGGGTGGCAGCAATGTGACTTGGCTGTATAATACAAATGCAAATACATTCACAATTTAAGCCCTACGCTCAAACTCTTACTACTCATCGGTGGCAGCAATGACTATAACACACATTAGCCCCAATACATAAAATAAAAAAATGGCCATTAAAGTGAAAGCTCACTTGCCCCGTATTGGGGCTGATTGTGTTTTATGTTTTTTTTAATTCTTTATTTTTGGAGTGCATAAGCGAATAACAAACAGGTGTGAGGTACCCCAAAGGCATTCCTCCAACGCGGTATTGACATTTGAACATCAAGCACAAATTGTATCTGTAGATTGATGAATAAACAATAGAGGGGCTTCTCACTAGTTCTGTCACTTATCCGAAATTAACATCACTGAGTTATCTGGATATGTAAGGTTTATGCTTTGCTTTGGTGTAGCTAGATCTGTTCCCTAGCTAAAAATAACATCGCTGGGTAGCCTAAACATGCAACCAGGTTTAGCTAGATCTGTCACATAACTGCAGACAATATCGCTGGGTCACCTAGTCCTGCGACTGAAAATAACATCGCAGGGTTATCTAGACATGCAAGGTGTAGGCTTTGCAGGGTTTAGCTAGATCTCTCACTTAGCTGAAGGTTACATTGCTGGGTTATCTAGACATGTAAGGTTTCGTGCTTTGCAAGTGTGAACTATATATTGTGAGGTAGACCACTGGGATCTATTCACGATTAACTGAACCTTAAACCAACAGGAGCTCTTTTCTTCATATGTAGCGTTGTCATGGCAAGTCCGCAATGGCCTGGGGGGTGTTATCAATGTGGGGTCAGTATTTGACTCTCAAATCTGGTTGTGCTGCTGGTGCCAAGTCTCGGAACAGTCTAGGCCAGTGGAGCACCTGTGAGGTGACGTGGTAGGCGCCTCAGCCCCCACCCTGTGGTGGTAAGGTCCGTGTGTTGTTTCCCTTAGTCCCTTCATCTTGGTGGTCAGCTCCAGTAATTCCCTCTGTGCTGTGCAGCCGCATTGACTCTTACGCTGTTGTGGTGAGTGGGAAGGAGTGTCTCGTGCTGCGCTGGCCGCCAGTGTTTTGATCCTGGAAGAGGTTTGTGTGCTTTGCTCGTTTTATAGTCCCTGCGTCACTTGTATGCTGAAGGTAGCTTTTGCTTGAGGGGTTTGGCGCCGCGTCCTGCCTCGAGGCCCGGCAGTGTCTGGTTTGCTGGACGGCCCGGGGTACATGCGTGTAGTAGCTTTGCCTCGCTGCTAGCCGTATCCATGAGGCCACCGTTAGTTCAGCTTGGCGGTGAGTTGCCCCTAGGCTGAGCTTCCCTGAGGCCTGCGCATAGCCCGTCAAAGATTTCTATAGGGGACGCGTTTTTTGTTGCGGGTGCTCCGCTGTCGAGGCGCCCGCTGGGCGGCCATTTTGGCTGACCTTGTTGGGTCTGTTGCACTGCCTTTGGTGTCGTTGGGTTCTGTGGGGCACTCCTGACGTGGGTGGTGCACCCTCGGGTGGGTTTGGGCTTGGTAGCCGCCGTTTTTGCCCCAGGTTCTGTCCGTCGGGCCAGAGCTCGTGTCAGGTGCGACCGCACGGCTCGGCAGTTAGACTCCACCCCCAGGGCTGATTGTGTTTTATACCCAACCTCCTCTAGACTGTAAGCTCCTTTGAGCAGGGTCCTCTTCAACCTATTGTTCCTGTAAGTTTATGTAATTGTCTCATCTATTGTTAAATCTCCCCCTCTGATAATATTGTAAAGCGCTAAGGAATATGCTGGCGCTATATAAATACCAATAATAACAATAATAATAAAGTGTACAAATTTTCTGAAATTTAACATCGCTATGTAGGACTCACCTAAGACATCTACCTTGACATGGCAGGTAATACTTTAATGGCCATAATTTGGAATGATACTAAAACCCTTCAGTTACTTAAATGTGCATATGGATTTGGGATAGTGCGCAAGTAACTTATTTATTTATTTTTGTTTTTTATTAAGTGGAAAGTGTCTGCTACTGAATGTTTGTGTCGGCATGGCCTGGTAATGTGCCGTGGGCAGCCGTTCTCCATGCAGAGAGGGTTGGAGCTCTGTAATTAGAACAATGACGGATAATTACACAGGACGCACTTTAGGGAATCGAAGCTGATAATTACAGTATACTGATTCCTATTATATCGCAGTATTCAAAGGACTCCTACACACTCGCCATTAACTCTAAGCTTGCTAAGAAAAGGTTTGAAGGTGTAACAGCTCAGTTAGTTAGTCCGTATCATTGACGTAGGTAATACCAAACTCTATTATGCTGCTGCCTACATGGTTAAAATTGAAACGTATATTCTAAAGTGTAGAAGAGCCTTATATGTAAAATCTAGTATCAGTGAAAGGATACACATTGTAACCAGATTGTGCCTACACCTGCTATCAGGTGAAGTGTTGGTTTCTGTATTTTTGTTGTGTTTTTTTATTTTTATTTTTTTTCTGATGATTAAAACAGCAGCATTGATGGTACCAAACACACCATAGCTACAGTGCATTTTCATATCGTGTGCATTTTGTGTGTTCTGTGAAAGTGGCGAGAAGTTCCTGAAATCCTAGTGTTACCTGAGACAACATTGTTTATTGCTAAATATGTCCTGTGCCCCTTTAAAAAAGTCCTGTAAATGAAATGATCAGATCGTGCCATCAGACTATCTACAATGTTTCTGTTTTGATGCCAGGGCCCTGAATGTCACGCTAGTCTTCCAAACCAAACAACAAAGATTCCTTCGCATTGGCTTGGCCGTGCCGCTCTTTGGGACCATGGCATCTCTGAGAAAGATGGTAGCAGATGAAGGAAAGGTGCCACCCAACCAGGTAATATTTTTATCTGCCTTTCTGTGCCCACTTGATTTTTATGGGGAACGTTCTTGGGGAAAGATTTAAAAAGAAGTCAGTATTCGATACGATATATCCTGTCCCACTTTAGAGAACTCTGGGTTTTTAATCACTGCGCTCTCTGTCTGTGTCCCCAGGTGATCCTGGTCGAGCTATTTTCTAGTGGTTTCCAGCGATCCTTCTCTGATGACGAAGATCTGAACACTATCGCGGAGGGTGACCCGGTCTATGCCTTCCAGGCTCCTGTCCCTTTACCCAAAACAGGAGGCAATTCTCGTCCCTCAGGTTGGTCCTTCTCCATCAGCGAGATGCGTTTTGACATCATAGAAATGGAAAACGTATTCCTAATGCTATAATGTTACCCTACCCATTTCAGTGTCCAGGATGGTAGATTGCAAACTGATAGATATACCTCAATCTGTTTGACATAATCTGCAATCTCAGGTACCTATATAATCCAACAGGTATGATTTGGGGAGGGGGCAGCTAATTAAAGAAGAGTAATCTGCGCTGCTCCATTATTGGAATTTTAATTTTTTTTAATGCAGCCCTGGTGTATCTGTTTTCCAAAACGCTACCCAGCGCGGTGCATTCTTCATAATCATCCACAGTAATGGATAAACTACCATTCCCACAATGCATAGCCAGCCATAAGGGCATCATAGTTAAAAAAATATTAACCTATAAACTCTGAACCCAAAAAAAAAAACATCACTGCACTAGATGATCTCTCTTCATGGGGTATATTCGCTAAGTGGAAAATTGAAGGTAGATTGTAAAATAAACCCTAACATGACCTATTCAAAAATATATCTTCGCTATTTTATCTTCAATTTTGCAATTATGTTTTCAGTTCGCTGTTTAATGAGTAAACCCCCTATGCCTCTGTGCCCCTTTTTATTTGCTCATACTCCCCCCCCCCCCGTTACAATATGTTCTTTCTCTTTATTACCTGCGTTCTCTGTATCACATTGTCTCCATCTCTGTCCCTGTTCGCTACGTCTTTTAATGCATACCACACGACACAGATGCATTTGACACAAGAGTGCAGGACCCAGTGGAGCAGTTTCAATTTAATTTGAATCTGGGGAAAATAAATAAATAAGCCAAACGCACGCTGACAAGCACATTAAAATGAGAAACATATCAGCACTGTGCTCCACTTGGCAATCACCCATCTTCAATCTGTTTCTACTATGGTTACCCGTGACGTCTGTTTTGCAATTCATCCCGGTGTGTCTTTGATGTGCAGGTGCTTAAAGGGACAGAAACAACTGAAAAAAATGTTTTAATTGGTTAATGAACATTAACAGTCAGTAGTAATATTTCCTTTGTTTGTTTTGGAATGGTAGGCATGCTAATTTTGGTTATTATAAGAACTGGTAGATCTTGGTGAATGCAGGCATTGCATGTACATTTCTCCATCAGCTGATCTACAAGTGCCATCAGCTATCTAGGTACAAAGTAGTATAACAAGGATGGGCACATTTATTCATGCTTAATGCAAAATCTAAATTTAATGGAACACTATAGGGTCAGGAACATAAACATGTATTCCTGACCTTATAGTATTAAAAACACTATCTAGCCCCATCTCAATATAGTCAAATCTTACCATTGTGCATTTCTGCTGCTGCTGTCTCTGCTCCTGATCTGCCTGATTGGCTGACATAATCAGAAGTGATTATCTGAGCCAATCACAATGCTTTCCTATAGGACTGTCAAGGAGGCAGATCAGGGGCAGAGCCAGCACAAGTCAAACACAGCCCTGGCCAATCAACAGCTCCTCATAGAGATGTATTGAATTAATGCATCTCTATGAGGAAAGTTTAGTGTCTGCTTGCAGAGGCAGGGCCGGCCTTAGGGGTGTGCGAGCTGTGCGGCTGCACAGGGCGCCATGGAGCAGGGGGCGCCGTGTGGCCAACACAGCTCACACGTGGCAGGCCGGAATTTAAAAATAAAAAAATTTGTGGCAGGGTGCGGAGCTTCCCGTGCGGTGGGGGCGGAGCTTCTGTGTGACATGGGCGGAGCTAAAGGTGCTGGATAACTGCTGCAGGGGAAGCAGGAAGGAGTCCCTGCTTCCCCAACAAACAGTCTCCAGGAGCTGGCTCAAAACTCTAAGATCCTCATTCACTGCGTGTCTGCCTCCACAATGAACAGAGGTATCTATGTGTGATTGTCAGTGTGAGTGTGACTGTGTGTGTGTGTCTGTCTGCCTGTGTCTGTGTGACTGTGTGTGTGTGTGACTGCCTCTGTGTGTGTGACTGTCTGTCTGTGTGTGTGTGTGTGTGTATGACTGTCTGCCTGTGTGTGCATGACTGTGTGTGTGTATGACTGTCTGCCTGTGTGTGCATGACTGTGTGTGTGTATGACTGTCTGCCTGTGTGTGCATGACTGTGTGTGTGTGTGTATGACTGTCTGCCTGTGTGTGTGTCTGTGTGTGTGTCTGTGTGTGTGTGTATATGACTGCCTGTGTGTGTGTGTGTATGACTGCCTGTGTGTGTGTGACTGTGTGTATGACTGCCTGTGTTTGTGTGTGTCTGTGACTGTCTGCCTGTGTGTGTGCATGACTGTCTGCATATAAGTATGTGTGTGCAGCACTGTGTGTGTGTGTGTGTGTGTGTAAAACTGTGTGTGTGGCTGTCTGCCTGTATGTGTGTGTGTGTGGCTGTCTGCCTGTAATTGTGTGTGTGTTTATCTACCTGTAACTATATGTGTGTTACTGCCTGTACCTGTGTGTTTTTGCCTAATCCTGTGGATGTGACTAGCTGCCTGCGACTATGTGCATGTGATGGATTTGATAGTGTATACGTATAGCTGTGTGCATCTGACTGTGGGACTGTGTGCACATAAAAAAATATACACCTGCATTCACACACAGGCCTAAATGCATGTTTTTATCTCAATTAAATAACCATCACACACACAGACAATAAACCCAGCACAAATATCACATACAACTAATACACGCATATCACACACTGTTAATACACCCATTACAAGTATCACACACATTCAACACAACTATCACATACACAGACAACACAAACATTACACAAACAATACACGCATATCACACACTGTTAATACACCCATTACAAGTATCACACACATTCAACACAACTATCACATACACAGACAACACAAACATTACATCATACATGGATGAGGGGGTGTGGGGGTGCTGTGAAGAGGAGACACTGAATGGCAGTGCTGCTCACTGTGCAGCACTGCCCCAGGAAGCACCTCTAGCAGCCATATGAGGAGTGGCCAGTGGAGTTATCACTAGGCTGTAATGTAAATGTTTTCTCTGAAAATACAGTGTTTGCTGCAAAAAGCCTCAAGGGAATAATTATACTCACCAGAACAAAAACAATAAACTATAGTTGTTCTTGTGACTATAGTGTCCCTTTTAAATTTGTATAGTCCCTGTCTAATTGATGCAGTAATGGAACTACTGCAGGTGCAGTGGCACTGGAGCCCAGCAGAGTTTAGAGGCCCTTTCTTGGTGAACCATCTCACCCGTAAAATGAAAGTGTCTCTCTTTGTCCATTAGAAATGTTGAGAAGTATGCCGCAGCTTTTGTAGAATTAAAGGTAGAAGGTTTTCCTATTAAAGTCCCAAATGAGCCATCAGTGGCTCTATCAAAATCGTTAGAACTGCATCCTTAGAAGGTGTTATTTATTTTTCTTTCTCTCCATAGGGTATCCCCAAAGCCTCCCATCCTCCCCACGTTACCCCGATGCAGGAGCACAGAAATTACCTGGAGGGGGTTCTGTTTCTTCTGAGTTCCTGGGTCAAAACTCTAAGATCCTCATTCTCTTGTGCAACACAGAGAGAGCCAGTCAACAGACAGACAGGTAATTTGCACGTGTCTGACCCATTGTCAAACGATATAAGAGAACTCAATATAATGCTAGCTGGTTAATATTGAGACAGTCTTGTTGATGCCAAATTCACAGATCTCTTTTTCTTTAATTGTTTAGCTTTAATAGGTTTGGGCCGCCCTTGCTAATGAAAGAGGAAAGGACCATGTCCTGGGACCAGCTGCAGCAAGGGATTCTGGGCAAGATTCATTACTTAATGAAGAATGATGCACAAACCATGGTATTTATTTACCAATACCTAACTAATCATCATTATATGAGGGACCCATTGAGGATATTACATTTTCCTGATACTATTGCACTTGTAACTACCATTACCATTACCAAGTTACCATTAACCAAGAACATTCTGTGAGTAGAGAACTACCTGATCATGTAGCCAAACCGGGTATCACATTACCCGAGAACATACACACACTGGATATTATATAATCTGAAAACCAACACACTCTGGACATTATGTAACTCAAGAACAAACACATACTGGACATTGCATAGCCTGAAAACCAACACACTGGACATTGCGTTGCCTAAAAATGCACACACTAGACATCACAGAGCTCTAGAACCGACACACAAGACATTGCATACCCTGAAAACCAACACACACTGGATATCATGTAGTTGGAGAACCAATACACACTGGAAATCACATAGGCTGAAAACTAACACAAACTGGACATTATGTAGCCAGAGAAATAACACACACTGGACATTATGCAGCCTAGGAGCCAACACACACTGGACATCGCATAGCCCTAGAACCAACACAAACTGGATATTACGTAGCTTGAAAACAATGCACCCTATACATTACATAGCCTGAGAACCAACACACAGTGGACTTCACATAGCCTGAGAACCAACACACAGTGGACTTCACATAGCCTGAGAACCAGCACACACTTTGTATCATACAGACTGAGAACCAACACACACTTTGTATCATATAGACTGAGAACCAACACACACTTTGTATCATATAGACTGAGAACCAACACACACTTTGTATCATATAGACCGAGAACCAGCACACACTTTGTATCATATAGACTGAGAACCAGCACACACTTTGTATCATATAGACTGAGAACCAGCACACACTTTGTATCATATAGACTGAGAACCAGCACACACTGTGTATCATATAGACTGAGAACCGGCACACACTTTGTATCATATAGACTGAGAACCAACACACACTTTGTGTCATATAGACTGAGAACCGGCACACACTTTGTATCATATAGACTGAGAACCAGCACACACTGTGTATCATATAGACTGAGAACCAACACACACTGTGTGTCATATAGACTGAGAACCAACACACACTTTGTATCATATAGACTGAGAACCAACACACACTGTGTATCATATAGACTGAGAACCAACACACACTGTGTATCATATAGACTGAGAACCAACACACACTGTGTATCATATAGACTGAGAACCAACACACACTTTGTATCATATAGACTGAGAACCAACACACACTGTGTATCATATAGACTGAGAACCAACACACACTGTGTATCATATAGACTGAGAACCAACACACACTTTGTATCATATAGACTGAGAACCAACACACACTTTGTATCATATAGACTGAGAACCAACACACACTGTGTATCATATAGACTGAGAACCAACACACACTTTGTATCATATAGACTGAGAACCAACACACACTGTGTATCATATAGACTGAGAACCAACACACACTTTGTATCATATAGACTGAGAACCAACACACACTGTGTATCATATAGACTGAGAACCAGCACACACTTTGTGTCATATAGACCGAGAACCAGCACACACTTTGTATCATATAGACCGAGAACCAACACACACTTTGTGTCATATAGACTGAGAACCAACACACACTTTGTGTCATATAGACTGAGAACCAACACACACTGTGTATCATATAGACTGAGAACCAGCACACACTGTGTATCATATAGACTGAGAACCAGCACACACTTTGTATCATACAGACTGAGAACCAACACACACTTTGTATCATACAGACTGAGAGCCAACACACACTTTGTATCATATAGACCGAGAACCAGCACACACTTTGTATCATATAGACTGAGAACCAACACACACTTTGTATCATATAGACTGAGAACCAGCACACACTTTGCATCATATAGACTGAGAACCAGCACACACTGTGTATCATATAGACTGAGAACCAGCACACACTTTGCATCATATAGACTGAGAACCAGCACACACTTTGTATCATATAGACTGAGAACCAGCACACACTTTGTGTCATATAGACTGAGAACCAGCACACACTTTGTGTCATATAGACTGAGAACCAGCACACACTTTGTATCATATAGACTGAGAACCAGCACACACTTTGTATCATATAGACTGAGAACCAACACACACTTTGTATCATATAGACTGAGAACCAGCACACACTTTGCATCATATAGACTGAGAACCAGCACACACTTTGTATCATATAGACTGAGAACCAGCACACACTTTGTATCATATAGACTGAGAACCAGCACACACTTTGTATCATATAGACTGAGAACCAGCACACACTTTGTGTCATATAGACTGAGAACCAGCACACACTTTGTATCATATAGACTGAGAACCAGCACACACTTTGCATCATATAGACTGAGAACCAGCACACACTGTGTATCATATAGACTGAGAACCAGCACACACTTTGTATCATATAGACTGAGAACCAACACACACTGTGTATCATATAGACTGAGAACCAGCACACACTTTGTGTCATATAGACTGAGAACCAGCACACACTTTGTATCATATAGACTGAGAACCAGCACACACTTTGTATCATATAGACTGAGAACCAACACACACTTTGTATCATATAGACTGAGAACCAGCACACACTTTGTGTCATATAGACTGAGAACCAGCACACACTTTGTATCATATAGACTGAGAACCAGCACACACTTTGTATCATATAGACTGAGAACCAACACACAGTGGGTATTATTTAGCCTGAGAACTAGATGGACATTATTAAGCAAAACCTGCATTTCTGTGTGGAAAAAACATAAATCGAAATCTAGATCACAGCTTTAATTCTAAATATTGTTAGCTTAAAGGTGTGATTAGAAGAGAGCCATTACCTTGAGCTTAATCTGGAGATTTCCAGTGTACTGATTAATTTAATCATTCAAGGTTTATTAAAGACTTTCACACTGTAATTCATTTAGAAAGAAAGACTTTCACTATACGGAAGCTGGTAACAGAATTAACCTTTTCAGGATCAGTGTGTTTTAATGCTAATTCACATGATTTCTTGTTTGTTTGTTTGTATGTATGTATGTATGTATGTTTGTTTGTAGGTTTGTGTTTCTTGTCAATGGGTTAAATAAACAGATAGGGTAGAGTTAAATGGATGGGAGGACAAAGTGAATATTTAGCAATATTTGCCAATCCATGTTGCTAGCAGAACGCCTTGGGAATATTACCAATAATTTACAAATATTTTAAGGATACACTGTGACGTTATTTTGTACCCAGTTCTGTATGTTATTACCTAACTTCATAATATTCATTTTATTGATCTTGGAAAGATGACAAACCGAGGTGATGCAAACAGGAAGAAAACGGTCAACCCCAATAATTAGCCTTTATTGTTTTAGCCAAATGAGCTATTTTACCAAGTACGTGTTGTTCCAAATAGGTGCTGCAGACTCTGTACAAATATTGTGAGAATATATGATGGAAGATGGAATTATGGGAAGTTAATATAGCTGGGCTGGGCTGGGCGATGCAATGTTACAGCTATGACATTCTATGGTAATGTGGGCAGACTGTGCTATGCAGAGTTTATCTGGTCTCTGATTGCTAGGGAGATGAAATCACTTTGTACTCCTACAGTCATATCCTCTGAACCAAGTGTATGAGGAAGCAAAGCAAATCCTTAGTATAAATAACTCGGAAGGGAGAAGGGAGAGGAGGAGATTATAACATGTATCAGACTGAGATCCCTTAGTGTGTATAGCTTGGAAGAGAGATATGATCAAATATGTAAGCCCTAAATGTGTATAAGCTGAAGAGGAGAAGGGCATGTAGAATATAATAAAATGTATCACACTGAAAGCACTAAATATGTATAAGCTGAAGAGCACATAGAGTATAATAAAATGTATTCGGCTGAAAGCACTAAATATGTTGTGACAAACTCCTTTCCGAGTGAGTTTGCCACAAGCTCCTGGAGGAGCTTGCTTGCCAGCCTCCTGCCCACAGACTATGTACCCTGTAATATGTAATGTAAAAGTCTCAGTTCGTGTATTTGGACTATATGGTTCGGGAACCGAACAGCCACACGAACCGGAGACCACCCTGGAGCTTGTTAAGCCTAATTGCTACTTTGTAGCAATTTCCACCGCAGTGTTCTAAGTGTTTGTCTGGGTGACCGCATTTCCTATGGATGACCATGAGGTGGCAGCCATCTTGTTCGCATGAACACAGGCAGCGGTGTTTGGTCGTCTGGTTCATGGAACTTTTTTCGGACACTGAAACGCCTGAACACCACTGGACTTCCATGATCACCTGTGTTCGGTTCTACAACACTTAGAAAGACACTGTTCGGTGGAAACGTTCCCACGAACAAGGGAAACAAGCTCCATGGTAAGAATATTGACTATGTTCAGTAGTTTGTTCGGTTTTTAAACTACCAAACTAGACCGACCGCAAGCCCTGATTCTCTGGAACTGTTTTGGGCATGGGACCATGCGTGCGTTCGGTCAAATTATGACTTCCATGAAATCCCTGAACCCCTGAATCGTAACTTTTGTTGGGTTTTATGTATTTTTAACGTACTTTTGGGGTGTTTGGGAAACGTGTGTTTTTTGTGCCTGGAGATAATTGAGTTTTATACAGTGCTTGACTCAATTATCTCCCAGGCACAGAGGAGGGATTATCTTGTTTTGTATGGGAGTGTCCTGGACCTGAGACATGGCACTCCTCCCTGGACCTGAGAGTAGACTACAGTAAAAACATATACATGATTACATTGGCTTTCAGGTCCAGGACACTCTCATACAAAATACGTCAATTCCTCCCCTATGTCTGGGAGATAATTGAGTCAGCACTGTATTAATCTCAATTATCTACAGGCACAGAAAACATACATTTTTACAAAACCCCAAAATTACATTTAAACACACAAAATCCCCACAGTTTCTTTCCCTGAGAGCCCCGATCTCGGTGACCAACATATCCAAAAATCATCCAGATCGGTTCAGGGATTCAGGAATTTCCTGGAAGTCATAATTTGACTGACCGCACGCATGGTCCTATGCCCAAAATAGTTCCACAGTTTCAGAGGAAGCAGTCGGTCCATTTTGGGTAGACTAAAAAACCCCAAACTATTCCCCTGGCTCATAGGTAGTGTTTGTTCCCCTAATTTGTGGGAATAAACCTACCGAATAGCGCTCTCCTGGCTGGTCGGTGAAAAGAAGCAGGTGTTCGCGAAGTTGACCAACGTTCTGGAAGTCGAGTGTCCGATTTTAGTTCCAGACACTCAACGACCAAGTCTCGCTGCCTCTTTTCATGCGAAGAAGATGGCCACCATTTTCTCCAACACATGGTGTTCGACCATATGAACGGTGGCCACACAGGGAGAGCACTTAAGCATGCAGTTTCCTTTGTAGTTAATGTGCCGGGGGGGTGGTTGGTGTTCCGTAATTTTATTTACCGAACGAGAAAAATCAAATTTAACAAACCAGGGTAGTTTTTTTTACACCTACCATTTCCCAGCAGCCAGTGTTTGCGATGAGAACTACAAGAGTGTTGGGTATGTTTATCTTCCTAACGGCTCACTGTTTAGAAATTTCAGCTACAACCACGAGAAATCAATAAGAAACCAAAAGTAAGGTTGGGACTAAAAATCTGTTTAAAAAAAAAAAAAAAAAATATCTGATTTTTTAAAAAGCAATAGAAAAGTAATAACACAATATACAGTAAAAATGTTCAAATACTAGTAGTAACAAATCTTAAAATAAAAAGTACAAACTTTGAGGTATCGTTGGTAATGTAGAAGTAACAAAATCAGGATTGGCTAAAAATCCGTACCCACATTAAAAGAGAAACAGAGAAAACTCTAGTGGTGCAGTGTTTCACAACAAAATCATAATAAATACTGTGCAGGTCTTTGTGGTCTAACTCACATTTGGTAGAGCTAACACAAGCTTTAGTATGATTCACCTTCACTGGTTTTGATCCCACTGGTAGGATATTGATGAGAATACATTCAGCAAAAAAAAATAAAGAACAATAGTTTCTCTGTATAATACCAAATAAAAGTATTTAAAAGGTATTGTACTCACATTTATTTGAGCAGGGCAAACTGCTCAATGTATATGGTGTAGGTGCTGTAATTCCCACTTAGGATTTATAGTGAGGTCCTCTCTGGAACTGTAGACAGGAAGCCAGGTAGACAGAATTTAAAAAAAAAATGTATATGGCACTAAAATTAAATTAAGTATTAAATTAAGTATTCAACTGCCAGAACTCGAGATGTTGTGGACTACATCTCCCCCGATGCTTTGCCAGCATGGCTGTAAAGAGCATTATGGAGTGCACAACAACCGGAATGACAAATGTTGCCAACACCTGTTCTATGTTTACATATAATGCAGCAGGGAGCAATATTATGATTTTGAGATAACATAGTAAAGTCTCGGCAATATCAGACCAGGCCTCATCTACTAACTGATTTCTCGCTATCCTCTCTCAGCAGAGCGGATCAGCCCTTTTCCGTATTCGAGTAGTAGGAGGACCAGCTAATAGCAGTTACCTCTCTCCAAAAGATGCACGACCTCTACTACACCCGGCAGTTGATCGGTGAGTTGTTCTATTGAGAATCTCTGCCTAACAAGAGTATGTGCCAGACATTATGGTTCCCACAATATAAGAGACTTCTTCACAAATGTCATTGTCTGTGAGTGGCATTCCTTTGTCCCCCTCTTTTCATTATCTGTCTGGTCTTTTAATTTATTTAGTTTGTTTGTGTTTGTACTAGCATCACAGTAATTACATTTTACAGTATCGTTGTGTTTATCTGTATATCACAAAGCTCCACAACAATAAAACTCACAAAAAAGTAAGTGTGTTTGAGTGTATCACAGAGCTCTGCAGCAATAAACCTTACATTTGCGTGCATTGCGTATAAATGTGTCACAGAGTTTTAATAATGCATGTATACATTATGAGTTTGAGTTGAATGCTCTTAAGCCCTTCTCTACCTACAACCATCATACAACGTACTAGAATGGATACTTTGTGTATTTCTAACATTACTGTTTGTTTATGACAGGGCTCTGCAGATGAGTGGGGCCGGTGGACCTCCCCATATAAAGTTGGCAATAGAATGGGACTCCAAAACCAAAGAGCGGTGAGTATGATTATCCTCCTGTATAAGTCCCTCCTAAAATGGAATTCACATCTCTATCAGAATGTTATATCATATAAATGGATGTTTGGACACACCATTACAAACCTCTTCATATATAATATAGTCATCCCCCCACTTCCTGAAAGAAGAGGTCCAATGGGCTCCTTACAATATACACTGACCAGCCACAACATTAAAATCACTGACAGGTGAAGTGAATAACATCAACTATATTGTTATAATGGCACCTTTTAATGGATGGGATATATTGGGCAGCAAGTGAACAGCTTGAATTTCATGGGTTTTAAGCAGGAAAATGGGCAAGCAAAAAGATATGAGGGACTTTGACAAGGGCCAAATAGTGATGGCTTAACAACTGAGTCAGAGTATCTTCAAAATGCCAAGTGTTGTGGGCTGTTCCCAGGTATGCAGTAAAGGCCAGTGCAAAAATTTTGGCTACACTGGTAGTCTCTTCTCCCCAGTCATTTTGTATGTCTCTTACTTTCCTCCAGCCACTTTGTGTGTCCTTTACTCCCACGCATCTTTGTGTGCAGCCCTTTTTTGTGTATCAGTGTTTTTCTTCCCCAGCCCCTCTCTGTATGTCATTGTTTCCTTCCCCAATTCCTGTCTGTGTCCACTTCCCCAGCCCTGATGTGTGTTTCAATGTCCACTTTCCCAGCCCCTCTGTGTCAGTCATTGTCCACTTCCCCAGCCCTTCTGTGTGTGTCATTGTCCAGTACTCCAATCCCTCAGTGTGTCTCTTGGTACCCTTTGCCAGCCCTTCTGTGCATATCATGTCCCCTTCCCCAGCCCTCCAGTGTGTGTCATTATGCCCTTCCCCAGCCCCTCTAAGTGCCTCTGTGTCCCCTTCCCCAACCTCTCTGTATGTGTCTGTTTCCCCTTCCCCAGCCGCTGGGTGTATGTCATTGTCTCCTTCCCCAGTCCCTCTGTGTGTCATTGTCCCCTTTCCCAGGCCCTTTTTTTGTATCTCTCCTTTTCCCTACACCTCTCTCCCCATTTGCGTGCCTGCTTACCTCCCTTCTGTGGAGTGGCCAAGCGAATCGTGGTAGAGGAACTTCTGCCTCCTCTACCTGGTCTGACAGGAAGAAGTTCATTGCTGTTAGTGGACACTTCCTGTCAGACCGGGTAGAGGATACAAAAGATTCTCTGTCATGGTCTGCTCTAGCACGCTGTGAGCCTGGATATTGCTCCCCCAGAGCCGTTGTGCCCTAAGGCGGCCACTTGTGCCGCCTTATGTTTGCACCAGCCCTGTATGCAGTGGTTAGTGCCTACCAAAATTAGTGCAAGGAAGGACAACTGGTGAAACCTAAAAAACACAAATATAACATAGTGTGATATTGTTTTAAAAAGCCGACAAACGCTAATTATCAGTTGCAATCACAAAAATCAGAGGATAAAAGCGCCTTATGGGTCCTTTGGATTTCTCTCCGGACTGGTCTTTAGAATCACCAAAACGATTTTCCAGAGGTTATTCCAAAAAAAGGATATTTATTGAACAAGATAAAAATAATTACACAATAGTGTTTATAAATGTAATGGTCCTGTCCATGCTCCCTGTCAGACCAGTTCCTGTCAGACTGTTCCAAGTAACGACTTAGATAGTTGGTGTGCGCAGGTCCCTTAATAATGCATGACAAGATGTGAATGGATGCGCAGATCCCAATTAGCTAATATATATGGAAAGCCAACAAACATATTAACTGGTTTAGAAAGCTGCAGGTGGTGCCTAGATCGGTCTGTAGAGCACCATTGAGCGTCCGACACAGAGTGGGGAGGGGAGAGGGAGGGAGGAAGGGGGTTTTAGGGTAGTGGGGGAGAGGAAATCTGCAGACTCCACCGTGAGGTTCCACGGTGCGTCCAGATTGCCATATATGCCTGAGTTCCACTAGCATGGTGAGTTCCTCCATAGTGCATAGCTCTTCCATGCGCCGAAATCAGGTGGCCATCGGGGGCTACTTTGAGAATTCTTATAGTGAGTGATTTCTTGTAGATTGATGTGCGAAGTTTGGTATGGTGTAAAAGTAATGTGGCAGGATGCAAAGGTGGTGTTCATCTGAGAATTTCTGTAGTATTTTGTGGATAGTGGCCCAGTATGGTCTGAATAGGTGGCAGTCACACCATATATGCAGTAGCGAGCCTGTGGCCTACTTACATCTCCAGCAGCGGTCCGTGACCAAGGGTTCTATAGCGTGTAGTAGTAGGGGTGTCCTATACCAGTGAACTAGCAGCTTCTACGACATTTCTTGTGTCCCACTGTATAGTGCACAATACAGTGTCAGGGTGCAGATTTAGGACCACTGTGTGGGTGTGATTTCAAGGGTGATTCCCCGTGTAGCTTGGGGCAGATAGTCTCCTGCGTCTCATAAGGAATTGGGAGAGAAGTGAGAATCCCCTCTCCATGGGCTCACGGTCCATACACAGTGCCTCGAAGTCTGTGGTTTCCCTTGAAACCAAGTGTGTCTGCGTTATTGAGGTGTGCTAGTTGTCTGTATCTAAAGTGGTGCTTGAAGTTTACTGTGGTGGGGTTTGGGAGGTCTGTCAGGGGCTTGATGATACTGTCTTGTGTCGCATGTCTTAGTTCGGGGAGGTTGTGTCCTAGTAGTGATTGAAATACTCACGCATCCAGTCCTGGAGGAATTGCTGTGTTGTGTACTATTGGGTACAGTGGGGAGGGGAAGGAGGTGAGCTCCAATTTGGTCGCCAGAAGGTGCCAGACATGTGTCGTGGCTTTGATTAGTGGGTGCGGGGCTGCTGTTCTCACGCAGTGTAGTGAGTCCAGCCAAGGGAGGACTTCTACTGGTCATCCCAATAGCGCTGTTTCTACAGTGTTCCAGAGTTTGGAAGCTCCCTGTTTGGCCCACTATCTTATTCTGTGGACGTGTGTCACCAGGTAGTATTGTTTAAAGTCCAGTAGGGCTAGTCCACCCTCTGCCTTTGGACTTGTAACAGTGTCTCTGGCTAAATCTGGCTTTAGTTTTGCGCCCAAAAAATTTAAGCACCAATGTGCGTAGGGAAGTGTAGAAGGGCTTGTGTCTTACTGTGTTCAGGAAGGGTTCAAGGGCAAGGATGAAGAGCAGAGGTGAAAGGGGGCATACCTGCCATGTGCCATTTAAGATCATGAAGGGTTCCCCAATTACCCATATTCTGGCCCTAGGGGTCGTGTATAGTTCCTTTATCCAGCTTTGCATGTACGGGCCCATCCTCAGAGACCTCAGGACCACAAACAGTTCCAATTGACTCTGTTGAAGGCCTTCTCCGCGTTCATAGAGAGCAGAAGAAGGCCCTCCCACTAGTGGATGAGGGACAGCGCACGGATCGTATTGTCCCACTCTTCTCATTTTGGAACGAACCCCGCCTGGTCTTGGTGTACCAGGTCGGGAGGGAATCGTTAAAGGCATGTGGATAAAATTTTTGTGAACAATTTGAGGTCACAATTTAGTAGGGATATTGGCCTGTAATTGGCACACTGCTCTGCGTCCCTGCCCTCTTTGGGAATCATGGTGATGTTGGCTGCCAGCGCGTCTGTGGGTATCTCATGGTGGTCTCTAATGGAATTCTAGGCTTTGAGGAGATGGGGGAGAAGCAGGTCTGTGAATTGTTGCCTGGTCTAATTAGTCACATTTTCTTTTAGATCAGGTGGATGGCCGGGTGCATGTGCATTGCTTACTTGGGGAAGAGATGGCAGTAGGATGTACTATGAGAATAATGCAGGCTGGGCAGTGTTATACTCTGGGCAATGTTTGGCTGGGAAACATTGGGTCCTAGTATTCACGCAGATGTTGCTTTGACACGTACCACCTATCTAGAGATTGTTGCAGATCACATACACCCTTTCATGGCAATGGTGTTTCCTGATGACAGTGGGCTCTTTCAGCAGGATAATGCACCCTGCCACACTGCAAAAATTGTTCAGGCCTGGTTTGAGGAAGGTGTTGACTTGGCCTCCAAATTCCTCAGATTTTAATCTGATTGGGCATCTGTGGGATGTGCTGGAGGAAGAAATCCGATCCATGTAGGCCTTAAAGGATCTGCTGCTAATGTCTTGGTGCCAGATACCACAGGACATGTTCAGAGGTCTTGTGGAGTCCATGCCTCAATGCATCAGAGCTGTTTTGTCAGCACGGGGGGAACCTACACGATATTAGGCAGGTAGTTTTTATGTTGCGACTGATAATTGTAAAGTCCCTCTAATGCTACCCTAGGATATTTTAAATATCCCCATAAGCAGTGTGAAATACAAATAACTTCAGCTGCATTAAACCACTTGGAGTCATTGGTTTAGTCTGGGTCAACAAGAAAATAATGGAGTTAAGGAGTATCACAAGGAACATAAGGAAATGTTTTTATCTTCTCACTGAATGTTCCTCTTAATACCTGCAGGTTGTTTGGTCCTATCCAGGAGGAAGTTGTTCAAGATGCAGAGTCTGTAAGATCCCAACAATTGGACCACCAGCAGCAGAGCTGCACCCTGGATGAGTGCTTTCAGCTGTACACCAAGGAGGAGCAGGTACCTAATGTCACCAGTGTTCCTCTAAAATATCTATCAAATGCAGTGGCGTCACTAGGGTTAGTGTCACCCAGTGCTTCCTGTTTGTTGATTTTTGTGAGCAGAGTTACAAACAGCCTCCAGAGAGCCTGTTCTACACCTGACCAGTAGAGATGTCGCGAACTGTTCGCGAACTTCCCGCGAACGGCTCGCCACGGTTCGCCACGAACCGTTCGCGGCGAGCTCTGGTCAACTGACACATCCCAGCCAATCTCCAGCCTTCAACATGGATGCTGTCCAGGAGGTGGGAGGGTCTGGGAGGGAGGGTCTGCTGGAGATTGGCCGGGATGTGTCAGCTGACCGGAGCTTGCCGCGAACGGTTCGTGGTGAACCGTGGCGAGCCGTTCGCGGGAAGTTCGCGAACAGTTCGCAACATCTCTACTGGTCAGGTGTAGAACAGGCTCTCTGGAGGCTGTTTGTAACTCTGCTCACAAAAATCAACAAACAGGAAGCCTCTCCATTTTTTGAGGCCCCTTACACAGCTCAAGGTCTGGGCCCCCAGGGCCTGACCGTGAATATGCCTACAAGGCCCGCCAATAGGTCCACCTACATGGCCCACACCTGAGTTCGCTCACAGGGAGTGGAGTGTGTGTGTAGGGGATGTGTTATGTGTTATTGTAGAGGATCTAATGTGTGTGTGTGTTCTTATGGAATGTAGTGTATAGGAATACCAGTTTGTGTGCGGGATGTAGTGTGTGTGTGTGTATAGGGGATGCAGTGTGTTTGTGTGTAAGGTATAGAAAGCAGTGTGTGTTTGTGTATAAGGAATGCATTACGTGTTTCTGTGTGTGTAAGTGATGAATTGTGTGAATCTGTGTTTGTATGTGTAAGGGATGCAAGGTGTGTTTCTGTGTATGTAAGGGGTCCATTGAGTGTGTGTAAGGTGCATTGTGTTTATGTGTGTGTAAGAGAAGCAGTGTGTGGTTGTGTGTGTGCGTAAGGGATGCATTGTGTGTAAGGATGAGTGTGTAAGGGAAGCATGGTGTGTTTCTGTGTGTGTGTGAGTAGGAATCACTGTATGTTTCCGTGTGCGTGTAAGGATACATTGTGTGTTTCTGTGTATGTGTAAGGATGCATTATGTTTGTGTGTAGTGTGAAAGAGAGGGTTTGTGGTCCTTCTGTGTGTCTTTCCCCTCCCACCCCCAGGCCTCTCTGTGCGTCTCCCTCCTGAGCCCCTCTGTGTATCCCTTAGTAGACTTCCCTCCCCTCCTGTCCCTTAGTGCTCTCCCTGGCCCCCTTTCCCTTAGAGTTCTCACCCCTCCCTTGTCCCTTAGTGGTCTCTCCTCTCCCCCCCATTCCCCTGGTGGTCTCTCTTTCCTCTCCCCCCCTCCCATGGTAGTCTCTTCTCTCTCCCCCCTCCCCTGGTGGTATCTCCCCTCTCCCCCCCTGGTGGTATCTCCTCTCCCCCCCTCCCCTGGTGGTATCACCCCTTCCCTTGTCTGCCTCCTACCTACCTGTGTACCTCCCTGTGTAGCGTGGACCGTGGTACACGAGCTTCTGTTTCCTGTACCTGGCCGGACTGACAGGAAGTGCTCACTGAGAGAGCACTTCCTGTAAGTCTGGCCGGGTACAGGAAGCTCCGGTACCGTGGTCCGCACCGCCTAGCCACGCTACTCAGGAGTGACTGGCAGAGGGGCGCTTCCCTCCTGCCGGGTCACTCGTATCCTGCGCTCCAGAGCCGGTGCGCTCTGAAGGACGTGCCAGCCCTGGTGTCAGCCCCCCTTGATGCATACCCTGGTTCGGTCCGCACCCCCTGCAACCCCTTTGTTACTGATCAAATACAGTTTACTAAAGGAAAACACATAATGAAGGAGGGTCTAGTAATTGTAGCAGGTGGCAGCATAAGCAATACCCTACAGACAATTAAGTATTAGGGATCTGCTGTGTGCCATAGAACCAGTGTGGCAATGGATATTGAAAATACAATTACCTTATTTAGAATAGTGGTGGATTACAGCAACAACCAGTGAGCTTTTTTTCCACTCCAAACTGACCTAAAACCCTCTATCATCAAGAGATTTTTGTTTTTATAAATGTTAGAGTTTATCAGCGTAGATCGGCAGTTTGGGAAATGCAGCATTGGTAATATATAACTTAGATTGCAAACTCATGGGCAATGTAGCTAAATACTTTTCATAAAAGACCTTCAGTTTTCAGATCTCAGCTCATGGGCAGTGCCCTCTATACCTTTGTAGTTGTGTGTATATATATTGTACTGTCTTTTTCCACAGTTTTGCCGTGCCATGGAATATGTTGGCGTTTTATAATAATAATAGCTGTAATTTTAACTGTTTTTTAGTTGGCACCAGATGATGCCTGGAGGTGCCCGCACTGTAAGGTCCTGCAGCAAGGAACTGTCAAGCTCAGCCTTTGGACCCTCCCAGACATTCTCATAGTCCACCTCAAGAGGTTTCGACAAGTTGGGGGCCGCAGGAACAAACTGTCCACCCTGGTCAGATTCCCTCTCTTTGGAATGGACATGACGCCCCATGCAGTAAAGAGGAGCCAGCGACAGAAGAGCATGTTGAACCCATGGGCATCTTATCAGATGGAGAATGGACAGCCGGGTGTATTCTATGATCTATACGCTGTGTGCAATCACCATGGAAGTCTACAGGGTGGGCACTACACAGGTGAGGCACTCTCATATTCCTAATGAGAAACCCTTGTATTATTTATATGTGGCTACACAGGTGAGGCACTCTCATATTCCTAGTGAGAAACCCTTGTATTATTTGTATATGGCTACGATTATTCCTAGCCTAGCCTAGCCTGCCCTAATCTCATAAAATTCTGTACCTTTAGGGCAGACATCACATGGCAGAGAGGTCAGAGAGGGTTGGATGTACCCTTGTGAGGAATGTACCCTTGTGAGGGATTATCATATGATTCTATGTCTTTAGGGTTGGCTATACCCTGGTGAGGGATTATCATAACATACTATGTACCCATTTATAGGGCTTAATTTGTAGATATAAAGAAACAGAGACCGTAACATTACAAATTGCCATAAACACTGACCCTGCTTAAGAGATGTTTTCCCTCGCTGGCTGATGTGATTATGGCCCGAACACTAGGAAGCAATAAATGGGCATTTACCACATTATTGTCTTGATCATTAACTGCCCATAACAAACCATCATCTTATCACATAAGGTGTATTTAGCACCGAACACACATGTCCCGTAATCTCAAATTGCCAATTTTGAGGAAAAGGGAATTTTCGCCTTTTTTTGCGGCTCAACTGAAAACTGATCGGTTTATATTCAGTGGGGATATATGATTGAACATAACAAACATGGGCTAGCTTTTTATTAATTTATTTTTCTTGTTTTTTTTTTTCTAGCATACTATGTAGCTACCTAACACATTAACTGGTGTTTTATTTATTTTTTTCATTTTATTTCATGGGGTTCCATACTTCCATGAGCTCTAGAGGATTTCATGATGAGACACGTTCTTTCAGGAAAATATCAGGCCCTGTGTATCATATTTTCACAGCTTACTGCAGGAATTCGCTGGATGCCCGCTGGTACAGCTACGATGACAGTAATGTAGACCATGTTGAGGACGACGATGTGTGCACCCGTGGAGCCTACCTCCTCTTTTACCAGAAGAGGAATACAATCCCAGCTTGGTCTGCCTGCAGCTCTGTCAGAGGTAAGTCACCTCTATTATTTATACACTCAGCTACAAATATACACAGGCAGGACAGACACAAACACAGTTATACAGTACAATTAGATCATCACTGAGACCATTTTCCAATGATCACCCTTTTTCTTTGATGGCTGTATGTGGCATGAGGTGTAGTCCCAACACTCGAAGGAACCTATCCATCTTGCTAAATGAGAGATTGTTTTTTTATTTTTTTATTTGCAGGTTCCACTACCTCCTCCATGTCTGATCACTGGGCCCTCAGGCTGAACGGCAGCAAGAGAGAGAGTGTGGTTTCCCGCACTGCCACCAGCTGCTCTCCTGTGCCCCAAACACCGGACTCCCCAGTCGACCTTAATAAGGAGACACACTCAGAGAATGGTTGGTTACACTCTTGGTTTTTGTAACTATTATTTGTTGAAATATTCTAGACACCATGTACTAAAGCAGTTTTATTAGTATGTGCATTATAAATACAGAGTTGCAAGTGAAGATATGTCACAGAAGAACATTTTACTCCTGATTTGATGATCTAAGTGTCACCTATCTAAGTGTCACCATACTCGGTACATAGAAACCATCCCTATGCATTCAGGATTATATAATAATAATAATACCAAGCCTGGCATAATTCTACCCATTAAATGCTCATTTAAATATCAGCACACTGATGTGGCAAGTTTCTAAGTGTATTCTGTAGTCAAATGTCAAATGTACAGCAATCACCATGGAAACTAATGGAATGTTTTTTTCTTGATTTTACACTTCATAAAAAAACATAAAACAAACCAGGATAATGATTTCAACATCTTCCTTCTTATTATTTTTCAGATGTTGGTTCAAAGTCATTTGTGCGTGGAGTGAAGGGACGCAGTGCAAGTATGAAGGTGTCATCAGCCACAAAGCTAAAACTGAGCATCAGTAAAGCAATGCCTCTACGATGGTCATTTGGATCAAAAGACAAGTCAAAACGTGGGTCTGGTGAACTGATAGAGTATTTGGAATCTGGAAGAAGACCCAAATATACCAATGAATCCATTGTCCCACTGATGACCAATGCTGAAAGCAAAGCCAGAGGAACTCAGCCAAAGTCTAACCCTTCAAAAGACCCCAATGTCAATGGCACAACTCCAGTGAGTTCTACTGGAAGTCCGTCTTCCAAAACAGACACACTCAGGGGAAAGCCAAAGGAGAAGGTGAACCTTCAAGAAGGTACCTTGACTGGAAGAAAAGAAGGATTTATGCAGACAAACACCAGAGATGCAAAATCATCTGGAGATAATCCATCACCAGCAAAACAATCAGGGAAAAAGGGAGATAATAACCAAAGAAGCCTTAGTAAAGATAGGGATAACAGGAGGACATCATCATCTGAGGCAGAAGGACAGCAAGCAGCCAAGTCCACTAAACCAAGGTCAAGTTTTGGGAAGGAGTCCAGGAAGCCATGTGGACCCGAAAATGCCAAAATATCCGAGCTCCCTAATGGTGTGTCCAGGACTTCTTTAGATAATGGGGTGCTGGGTGACAGGCGGACTAGTGGTACAATGCCAAGACGTCACAAAGAGGACCTGATCAGTGACAAATCAAAGGCGGAAATCAGACGAGCTCAGAGCTCATCCAATGTCCAGAACAAGTTGGAATGGACTCTAAAGAGGTCCACCTCTCTCCACAAAAATGGGAGTGCTTCCACCCAGCTGCCCGTACACGGGACTACAGACAAGGTGTTGTCTGGCACACTGCAAAGAATGAGGTACCAGACGTCCTCTTTGGGCAGGAAGAAATCTGTGCCTGAATCAAGCTTCTAGGGGAGGGTTATAGTGCAAGGTTCACGATTTCCATTTTTATGGTGATTTTCAAATCGTGAATTGACAGGAACTAAGTTCTTTATAGGGAAAATGAAGGCACATTCACCAAGGTCTTATTGAAATTTGTGAAATTATGGATATTTTAATACACAAGTACAAAATACATAGACTTTCAAACACAAGATGCCCTTTAGTGCCCTGTGCATGTATGTACACAAGTTATAAAGTCTTGACTACCCACATACACCCATTTATATTTTGTATACTGGAAAATACACAGATGACCCAGTCACACAGAAAAACAGAATCAATTTTACCCAAATCTTTCCAAATCTTTGAATAATGTGTCCCAAATATAGCTGAGTAAAAACTCAAGTTTCACCTTACAGTGAACCTTTTTGCTATGGCTCATTAACCCATAAAAATGTGTTCACTTCAGTTCTCCTCTCTATTAACTTAATGTGATAATGGACTGAAATGGTTGATGCAATGGAGCAAAAATGTCATATTTGTATTTTTGCCCAACCCTAGTCCAAAATTAGTGGACAAGATAAAAAAAAAATGTCACTGAATGATTTAATTCCTGCACATTTTTTTGTCTTCCAGCATAGATGAGTGATGGAAGCCCTTGTGGATTTAAAGTCGTGTATTCATTAAATAGCGAGAGATCCTGGAGATGTGTGCAATTTCAGTGCTCAGGGGCTTATAAACACTTTACTTAACCACATGAAGGGATATTCATTAAAATGGAATTTAAAATTTACAAGGGAATTGTTCATACAAGCCAAAATAGCCAACTTTGAAAACCTCTCGAATTTGGCTAACGCTGTTTTGTTAACACACTGTTTAATGGATAAACCACTCGGTACTAAAACTCCCTTGGCCCCTGGTTCTCCATGAAGTTTAGCATTGCCCACTTACTGCCATTAGTTCATCCTCCATAACTGCATGGTATTCCATTTTCTTTTTAGAGTTTAGAGTGATTCTAAATAAGCTGCAGAAAGGTTATTCCCGAACAGCGAATTGTAGTAAATTTAAAAACCCAACTGCAACATTTAAGCAAGAAAAACCATGTTGGCTTACTTCGACTTGTCTATGTTAAACTAAATTTCCCCATTTTGATTTATTTTTTACATTATTTGATGGTGTGTTCACCAAGCAAGGATGTGTGAAAAGGAATTTCAAATTTAAGGCCAGATCATCCAAATTAGAAAATGAATCCACAATTCTCAGTTTATGGTATAAACCCCCTAGGTTTAGTAACAATAAATATTTTTTTTTCTTATAAAATTGGAACTTTTTTGGTGGGGTATTGAACTGTGCAGTTTTCAGAATGAGGTATTGGTAGGGGAAAATGGTATCAGTATGTACATAAAAGCATAACAACAAAATTAACTATTAACACACATCTTATTTGCCCACACGCACATTTTTTGTGTAGTTTTATTTTTGGGGGAGGGAATTAGGTACACCATATGTGTGGGGCATAAGTTAGACCATAGCTGGTCCACAGCCACAAGTATCACCATAACAAAGGGAGTCTTATTGTTTATCACCAGCTATCCATGGACCACAATACCACATCATTCTGACCGCCTTGAAAAATTAGGATGGTGTTTTTCAGCAGCACGAAGAGATCTGGAATTAGACACCCTTGTCCTATAAATAGAAAGGGTTTATGTTTGGGTAGACAGTGTGGTTTGGGGTGGGATGATTGATTGGGCAACAATGTGCAAATGTATAAAGTCAAAACTGTTTACTAGACTTGTGCACAAATATTGTTCAGCTGGCATGAACGAATCAAATGTGTTTTAATCTGCACCTGAATAAATCGATTCTTCCAGAAATTACCTGTGGAGTCTTATTCATTGAATAAAGTTAACCCTGAATGAATCGATTTATTTGGGCATAGATTAAAAGACATTTAATTTGCTTGCGCCGCCCAAAAAGCATTTGTGCGCAAGTTTACGGTTTACCTTCCATGACATTGTAAAAAATTTTTGGATTGCGATTATCAGTATGCTTTGTGTAATAAACACAGTGTAGGCCTTTATCTGCCTTTATTACAGTATTAGGCTGAATTAAATTATAACGGTATTACATCTGGAATGTTTAGTAATCAGTCCTGCTAGGGATGTTGAAAGGGCGCATGCTGTGCCGAAGTGATCATGACAGGCATTTTATGAAGCCAATTTGCTAGATAAAATGTGCTGGCTAAAATTTATTCCTACATTAGTATTTTACCTTTAGTGTCTGCACCATCATTAAAAAAGGTATAAAGTGTGGTAGCTGCAATGGGTATGTAGAGATGCATTCATTGATATACTTTGCAGCAGAGCTTCTGAAACATATGTCCAGTAAATATAATTTAAAGTACCCGTTTGTTGTCGATTCTTCTAGGGAGCCTATAGATTGTGTTATAAATTATCTGAAGTAGACCTGGCTTCAACTTCACTTTAAGATACAGACAGACTCTGATTTACTTTCTCTTTGAATTCAGTCTTCAATTTTTGCAAACCTATTATAGGATCCTAGCTATTTAATGATGGATTGCCTCTATGACTTTTTCTGCATGAGATTTACTGGACTGACGGGAGTTTATTAGAGTGAACACAGGCCACCACTGGCTCTGATCACAATCAGTTGAAATATGCAGAAAATTAGTATCTACTTCAAAGGCTTCTCCTCTGCTTTGAACTCCTCTGAGAGACTCCCTCTTATATTGGATGGGTGCCACTATCTATCTCAGGGCTGCCCAGATCGGATAATGAGGCTTTATAGTGGAGGGCCAAAAATATTTCAAGTAAATAGAGTAGGAGGCGGTGATGGTTAACCTTGGACATGCAGGTATCTTAACAAGATCTCCCATGATTCTCAGACAGCTTTAGGCATCATGGGAATTTTAATTTCACAAACTTTCAGTGCCAAGGTTAACTATCTCTAGTCTATTCCATTATCAACCAGGCCGAGGGCTTTGTAAGTTAAAAGCTTTGTCGCGCATGGTCTTCACTTTGAACCTTATATTCCCTGATAAACAAGGAAACAGTTTCATCCAATGCACATATAGTTCAAGGTTCTAAGTAATACAGTGTTTTTTTTCTGTTTGTTTTTTTTATTTCATTTTCATGCCAGTTCAATAATAGCACAAGTAGTGACACACAATATATAAAGTAAAGTACAAAAGCCATGCATTCTATCCCGTTTTTAAATATTTTTTGTAACAAGTGTAATATGACTTTCTAACCAGTGGCCCAGTTTAAACAGAATAAGGATTTATGCAGATTAAAATGATTGCAGTATAGCTGATAATGTAACCTTCCGGATATCGAGCTGGTGGGCACAACCGGTAATACATTGTTTGTGTAGAAAAGCAGAGAATCTGTGATTCTGTGAATGGAGCTTGCTACTCTTCCCACATACATGACTTTTAAAGAGAGAGACTCTCACAAAAAACAAACACATTTTCATCTATACCCATTGTATCATGGTGCTGTATGGTTTTTGTAAGAGCCCCGATGTATATACGGTTATTTACTGAAGTGAGAATTCAGAGTGAATTTCAAACTTAAGGTCAAAATAGCCGAATCTGAAATTATATAAGTCAGCCAGACTTTTCATTTAGCTACTCTGCCCTTAAATTTCAAATTCCCATTAGATTCTTACATTAATGACCCTGATAGTGTTTAGGTCTGGGAATGTGTTTGTGTATAGGCCTGGGGTGGCAAAGTGGAGGGGAGGCAGAAACTAGGGCATTTATTTGTCCATAATTGTATTATTTAATAAAAACGCTATCTCCAGGCAGTTGGCACATTCACTGAATATGATGCTATATGATGGGCATCCTCCGTTGTACCTTACTGGTGTACAGCGTCCCCAATTAAAGGAGGAATCAGGTTACCCCCTTCGCCTGCTTATACGGCTTTCCAGCCATTTGGTACAGAGTCAGTCCATAAACTCCTTAGGTACAACACTGACTGCAGTCTACAGACAGTAGAGTATGATAGCATAATAGAGTGTCTTTGGGAGAAGCTGCACATTCCATTTGGTAGAATCCTGTGTGTAAGCACATAGAACGTTACGGAGCTTTAACTATCTTTAACAGATTGCCCCAACCCATTCTGCTACGTTATGGTCTGAAACTGAACAAAACGTAGACTTTATGTAAAATACCTGTATATTTATAATGCATCATTGTGCACATTGCTTAGATCGCACAATGAAATGTGCTTTATATTTTATTTTTTTTAATTTATTTTTTATAGGACAGCTTTTTTTTTTTGCCAGTGTAGAAACTAAATATGTAAATACGCACTGAGTGCAATGAGTGAGTAAGGAGTAGACAATTTATCCTCAAGCCATGTCTTCAGCCTTTACAGGCGAAGTTATATGGTGTATAATATTCTTAGGAGATTGAAGTGTGCAAGAAAAGAGCTCTTTCTCCACGCATATTCAGTCTTCAAAACCCTCAGGTGCAGGACTATTTTTAGACCAAAACTTAATGAAATTGCTTTTTTTCTACCGTTTCCTTCTTTTAACTCTTTAACAGCAAGACAAACAGAACAATGCGTAATTTATTCACCGAGCAATGAATGGTGGCAAATTAAAAGCGGAATTGCCATATTTAGGCTAAGATAACTAGTCTGTGAATGTAGCCTAGCTGAATCAATTTTCTGAATTGGCTATTTTTGCCAGTGTTTTTGCCATTAAAATTCGGTATTTATAGAATAAATACTAAGTATTTGGCATGTTTGAAGGATTACTTCTTTTGCGATTATGTGGGTAGTGATATGTTTGCACTGTGTCAGGTCTGGGATCCATGATAGGTGTCACTAGATTTCAACTATTGGTGCCCAAATAATAAAAATATATATTTTTGTCAGGACATAGGGGAGTGTATGTTTTAAGGAACTCTCCAAGCACCAAAACCACTACAGGTGGGACTATTGGTAAACCACATTCACTTAACTCACTGTTTATTGTAATTCTAGGCAACTGCCTAGATGGCGTAATGACAAATCCAGACCTTTACTGTATTGCCTAAAGGGGTTTATCCCAATAACAGAAGGTTTAATGTTTTCTAGGGGGGATGAAGAATTTTGGAACCCCGTAGTAAGCCTCTACAAGATAACTGTATATATGCTGCATTTCTGATGTTCTAAGGTAAAACGCAAATCTCTTACATATTTGGGAGATAAAAATTAAAGTATTTATAAAATCTGTAAAAAAACTAATAATTAATTGTTTTAGATCTATATTAAAATATACTTAAAGGCCTTGTGAAGGCAGCTATTTTGATAACTTCAAGAGAAAATATGATGTTTTTAAAGAATGTTCTATGCAAAAAATCTCTGTGTACGGGCAATTTGTTTTTACTGTTTTTAAACAAAATTAAAGTGTTTTTGGAAACCTACTGCCTGGTTTTGTTTTCTGTTGCTCAAAAATCTGTATCTGTAAAATGCTGTATCTCTTCAGTCTTGTTCCCCCATCATCCCCCATTATTAATTTGTATAGATTAATAACAAAAAAGTTTTTTTAAATCGATTTTTCTCGGAGTGGAAGCAGTTTTTTTTGTTATTTTCCCCTTTGACGGGTATTGTTCCGTTGATCATTCTATCTACAGAGGAGGACACGAGGTAAAAAACAAATTCATACATGCCTTCATTATATACATTAATCTTTCTGGTTTTCAACCATGACTTAAAAAATAGTACTTTTTGTTAAAATGAAATCAGGAAGTGAGGCACCAAGGGGAATCAGCCTTCCACTGTTATGTGATTTATTTACTTGATATTTAAACCATTAACAGTGGTGTTAATTCTCTAAACCAAAAATTAAGAAGTAATGACAATTGAAATTTTAGGACTAAATAACCCGAAACCGATTATCAAGTGAGTTGGAGAATTTTGTGAAATTTTATTATTTTGACTTGATATTTGCAGTTCCCTTGCCATTTCTGCAGAATCTGTAGGGTTAGTCTATGATCCCAATGTGTATCAAACAGCAAAGGTATTCTTCTGAAATCCAGTCTTTAAGATTTGGTAGTTGATACAATGTGGTTCTTTGCCATTTATTTTTTTCTTTTAATACTTGTAGACTAGAGCAATGAATTTGTACAGAAATATATTAGATGGCTTAATGTGTTATGAGAACAGACCCGTATTACTCATCCTGTGACCATGTCGGCCGCCCAGGGCCTGGGTTCAGACAAGTGCCCGGTAGTCCCCTAACTGGGCCTTGAGCTCTGGTGGGGTCATCCTCAAGCCGGGAGGAAAATAAAAAGATCAACCTGGGGGGCGGGGCCTGACCAGCATGGCTGACAGACGTGTGTGTGGTGAGCTCCTCACACAATCCTTACTAAACCGAGTACAAACAGAAATGCTACCCCTAAAACAGCACCAAATGAGATTACACACTGAAAATAACTGCTGGGGAGCACAAGCAGACGACTCTGGAGACTCGTCCGCCGTCCTGAAGCCAAATACTGCATTTGAGGCCTACACAGGCGGAGGGACCCATGGAGGGAGGAAACGGCCGATCCTCCAACCTGGGACCACCAGGCAAATGCTAGCAACCCGTTCCCCCCCCCTCTGGACCGGTGGGGGTAATCCCGGTCCCTGCTGGGGAAAAGAAAACCGAGAGCATCCCAACAACACATGCCGCTGCTTCCTGCTCCTGGGCCGCAACCAACATGGCCGACGGAGCAAGGGAACACCTTGAACCGACATGGGAAACTGTGTTTAATGCTGCCTTCGACAAGATATGTGCAACGTTCTGGGGCCAGATTGCAGCCCGGGCAGTGCAAACACAGCAGCCTATCACTTACACCACACAGCCCCAGGCGGAATTCCTATCAGCAAACAGCCCAACCGAACTAACACACCCAGCCATGCACATGGAGAATGTTGCAGTCTCTGCCGCATGCCCTTCTTCTGGGCCGGGTACTCACACGGAGGTACCTCTCCAACGCCAGCCATACACCCGGGGATTTATCCGAGAACTGGAAGCACCCCGGGCCCATGACCCTCAAAATAGGATCCATGGCACAACGGCACGAGTCCCATTTACAGCCGCAGGCCGAAGGCAGATGGCACGCAGACTCCGCAAGACCATGAGCAGCCGGAAACGACCCACGCCCAGGCCGGTCAAAAGACCTCCTGCCGCGGAAGAATGTGAGTGGAACGGACAGGGCCCCCCATCATGGCATGAGGACCTGGCCTCCCAAGACCACCGCGCTATCCCGCCAGGCGGAGTGGGCTGAGGACACTCACCAACACCCTCTCCTAGACCTGCACAGAAACACTCACTGTACCTAGTGAACTAGTGATGTAACTTGCAGCGTGTAACTTAACATAGCACTGTACAGCCTCTGATTTATATCGTACAAGTACCTTCATTACTACCCAGGCACTATAGTCATAGGGGAACTAGATATGTTTTACAAGCATGAGATTCCTCCCCAGCAAGCTACTTAAACCACTGTTTCCCCTACTTATTTATCTACTCGGTGGCTCTTAAATGTAAAACCGATGCAATATCCACCAGAATCTAATCTCTGATCCCAGCAGATATCACACACCGCATATATAAGTTTCACACCTAAGACATGTTTAAGCCTGACAGCTACTATATATATGTGTACTATCCAGCACACAGGGTAGAATAAAATGTTCTGTTAAACCTGTTTCTATCTTGCTAACTAACCTACTTAAAATACTTGCCTACCCAACCTGTGCTCCACTACTCTAGCCTGTAACATTTCAAGATTTATATTACAGCATATAATGAAGCATGTCTCTTTAACACATAAAAAAGTGCAATTGTTTCTCATGTCATGGCACTGAATGCAAATGTTTGTCTACATCATGGGTCGTCAACCTGGTCCCTACCGCCCACTAGTGGGCGTTTTAGGATTCCAGGTGGGCGGTAGGGATTTCTGAGGCTAAATCCTCTTTTTAAGAGGATTTCTCCTTTTGGGCGGGCGCGAGCGGCTCTGCATGCGCAAGTCTTCAGTGACCGGCAGGAGGAAGCGCTCCCTCCTGCCAGGCCACCTTCTGGACCCCCCGGCATGGCAGCGTTCTAATCAGTCGCGGCGAGGGAGCTCTAACCTCTCTGCTCTGCTCCCTCGCGCGATGTTTGCTGATGCCGCGGGAGCCGGAATATGATGTCATATTCCGGCTCCCGGCATCCGTAGACAGTCCGCGAGGGAGCAGAGCAGAGAGGTTAGAGCTCCCTCGCTGCGTCTGATTAGCCGCCCGCCTAAGTGAAGCCCCACTGGACCCCAGGGACAGATCCACACCAGCTCTCCAGGTAGGGAGGCTGGGTGGATATTTAATATTAATAATTTGTGTGTATATGTGTTTGTCTCTAAGTGTATGTGTGTGTGTGTCTGTAAGTGTATGTGTGTGTGTCTGTAAGTGTATGTGTGTGTGTCTGTAAGTGTATGTGTGTGTCTGTAAGTATATGTGTCTGTGTCTGTAAGTGTATGTGTCTGTGTCTGTAAGTGTATGTGTGTCTGTGGGTCTGTCTGTGTATGTGTGAGTGTCTGTAAGTGCATGTGTGAGTATGTGTATATTTGTGTGTATGTGTTTCTATGTGAGTGTGTGTGTGTGTGTGTGTATGTGTTTGTCTGTGAGCAGAGTACTTGTAGAATAGAAGAAAGAAGGTGCAGAGTACTTGTAGAATAGAAGAAAGAAGGTGCAGAGTACTTGTAGAATAGGAGAAAGAAGGAGTAGAGTACTTCTAGTATAGGGGAAAGAAGGAGTAGAGTACTTCTAGTATAGGGGAAAGAAGGAGTAGAGTACTTCTAGTATAGAGGAAAGAAGGAGTAGAGTACTTGTAAAAAAGGAGAAGGAAAGAAAAGGAAAAGGAGAGAATTGTTGTTGACTAATAATAGTAAGTGGGCTACCTAGCTCAGCCTTCCTATTGGCCATTGCTATAAGGAAGGTTAAAAAATAGAAAAAAGGGGAAAAAGGTGGGAAGGGGAATTGAGGAGGGAGAGGAGGGGAGCTGACGCACAGATGAGAAATCATTTTATGAGCAAACAAAGAAGTCTTCCGATTATCACTGAAAGAGGAGACCTTCGTTTGTTCCTTATGAAAATCGAACCAGATATCAAATATTTAGTCTCGCAGCATCAACCTCTAGTAAAGGTAAGTTCAATTTACTTTATTGCTTCCTCATTAAACTTTATAAAGTTAAAAACATTATAAACATGCATAAAGTAGAAAGAAAAAGATAAATGTACGTTCATTTATGTATTTTTTAAAACACCCTCCTTTCTAAAAAATATTCCGCGCTTGCGCGAAAACTGGTGGGCGGTAAGGAAATTTTTCCATCAAGAAAGATGCATTAGTGGGCGGTAAGTGGAAAAAGGTTGACTACCACTGGTCTACATTATCTACATTAAGCTTGCTGATGTTGTCGTGGCAATGCAAGCCTGTATGCTCATCTTTTGTTGCACACCAAAATAAAGATTTACAAAAAAAAAAAAAGATCAACCTGTGAGATCAACCACACTTGATGTGCCAGGACTGTGATAAAGGGATCACATTCAGAGCTAAGGCATCACTCATCCTACAAAATATTTTTTTTTCCTTTCAAAACAAAGCTTAATCGGGGGGCGGGGCCTGGCCGCCATGCTGACCGGTCGCATGCGGGAGAGGCTCCTGCACAATCTGGCCCTTTAGAACGCAAAACACGGCACATCGCAGCAAGAAATGCAGCACAGTGAACAGGCAGCTGTGGGCGCTACTGCTGGCCCCAAGATCGGGAGTTTTGAGGCCCCTGAAGGCTGCAAGAAACTTTGGGGCCTGCGGCCTACGCGGGAGGGGAGCGGGATGGACGGCCGCCGTCCTGTCTCCAACTCTAGCAACCACGCAGCAGCACTGAAACACTCCTCACGGGTCCCGTTCCCCCCCCTATGGACCGGCGGGGGTTATCCCGGTCCCCACTGGAGGGATCCGACACCACCGCTCACCGATCCCACTGCGCCTCCCATGCTCTCGGAACCCAGAGTTATACCACAAAATGGCTGCCTCATGGTCAGCCCTGGGCACAGACCGACCATCAATGCGAGGTACCGCCAGATGCACCTATCCCCGGGCTTCCTCACTACACCAGCGCCGGATGGAGCACATAGACACTCAAGCCTTGGCACCCGGAGATCAGGACTGGTCCCCGCGGCCGCCTGCGAGGTTGCCCCTCATACCGCAGCCCAACGAATACACAGACCGCTACGGACCACTAGAAGCGACAGAGAAGCGGACACAGACTGCAGACTCACGCGAAGCCTAGTACAAGCGAAATGGCACTCACCGGACGCCCCCAGTTGCGGGAGGCCTGAAGGCGGGCTGCGGTCGCTTCCCACAATGGAGCCAGCGGCGAAAGTGAAACCTGTTAATTGGCGGGACCAACAAGCATGCACATACCAGCCAACACAAAAGTACTGTGCTCGGGGGACTGTGGGGCTTCAATACCGGGACATCAGTGGTCTTCTCCTATTGCTAATGTCTCATTAATCGGAAGCTACTCTAACTCTAATCAAAATCTTGCTCTTAGCTAATGCCTTACAAATGCCTAATACGTATTGTCTCTCTAGCTAGTACCTACGTAACTAAGCTAGCACTTCATAAAAGCGTCTGTTATACTCTTGTTATGAATGTAATATAAACCACACCTGCAGACACAGGTTTTAAGCAAACTCCTATTATATTGCTCAGAAGAGGTAGTGAACCACTGAATGAATATGCATATGCTAAGCTAAATAATCGAAGTTAAACTTGAAAGTTTATGTTAGATACAGATGTTGATACTAGCCATAGAACCAACCACTTAAGCAAGGGACGAATCCAACAGTTTTGCTCACCACATAATTATAAAATTGTGCATGTTTTATAGCTGACCCAACTGTTATATATATGTTTCAAATACGCTTGAGGAATGTCGTTGGGATACCTCATGCGTGGATGTTAAACTGATATGCACTGCAAAAATAAAGAATTTAAAAAAAAAACAAAAAAAAAACAAAGCTTAATCAATGGCAATCTGGCAATTGCATTTCTAATAGCTTAAAGGAACACTATAGGGTCAGGAACACAACCCTATAGTGTTTAACCCACCATTTAGGTGGCTTGCCCCCCCTCAACTCCCTTAAAAGTTAACAAAACTCACCTTATTTCCAGCGTTGTGCAGGTTCGCGGGAGCTGGCCGCGGCCCCTTTGGGACATCATTAGAATTGACGATTTGTAGCCAATCCAATGCTTTCCCATAGGAAAAGCATTGGATTGGCTAAAATCGGCAAGGGGACGGGGCTGTTTTGGCCAATCAGCACCTCCTCGTAGAGATGCATTGAATCAATGCATCTCTATGAGGAAAATTCATTGTCCCCATGCAGAGCAGCACTGAGCCAGGAAACCCTTCCAGTGGCCATCTGAGTAGTGGCCACTTGAAGGTGTCCCTACCTCTGAAAAGGCAGTGTTTGTAAAAAAAAATGCCTGCATATAATGTAGTTGCCTGCATTAAACTGTAGTTGTTCTGGTGATTATACTGTCCCTTTAACTGTACAGAACTTGAAAAAGAGTCATGTCTGTTTTCCTAAAAATGAACAGGGTAAGGACTGGTATTTCATTATTTCCTGAAAAGGTCACTAAACCGTGAGTCGTTCTCTTCAAGTTAGCTGCAAAGGTAAACATAGGTCAGTTGTGAAAAGTCTTCACCCCCGGACCATATGCATGTGAGCAAAGGAAAATGTGGCTACAATAAACGTGCACCACGACCCAACAGCCTGAAAACCTACTCTGGCACTCATAGTCTTAAACACCCACTATAGAAGGTAGACACCGAACCCACTGATCCAACATTAAGGGGGGACGAACTGAGATATAAGAACTCTTAGAGGAGATGACCTAATGGGGGAAAATCCCATCTTCAAATGATACAGTCCACCACTTAAGCCAACGCAACCAGGGGCAATATTAACCGCTCTCTCAAATGTATTAAGATCAACATAGCTGCGCTGATGTTCTATTCTATAAATGTAACACCAATTATGTTTACTAGCAGATCTTAACCGTACATATGTGTAAAAGTGTTGTAATGTTGCACCCTTTCTTTCGGAGCCTGCGTGCTCCTATTATACTCTACTTTTACTTTAACTCAAAACATCTCAATAAAACATGATTTTCCAAAAAGGAAAAGTCTTCACCTGCAGTATTTTCAACGTTTGCACGTTTGCATGTTTGCACGCGTGATCTGAATTCACTATAAGGCACAGTTTACTAAATAAACCCTCTAATGGCGATGCTGGGGATTTCCTCGCCAACAGAAAATAAACAAAAGACAAAACAATGGTAAACATACAACACAGGGACTGTCACTTCAGAGCAAACTGCAATCTTTAAGTTTGGATTCCAATATTGTTGAATGGGTAAGGCAGTGGTTGAGTGACAGGCAACAGAGGGTTGTAGTTAATGGAATATATTCGAAGCTTGGACTTGTCACCAGTGGGGTACCTCAGGGATCTGTACTTGGACCCATTCTCTTTAATATTTTTATTAGTGATATTGCAGAAGGTCTTGATGGTAAGGTATGTCTTTTTGCTGATGATACTAAGATATATAACAGGGTTGATGTTCCAGGAGGGATAAGCCAAATGGCAAATGATTTAGGTAAACTAGAAAAATGGTCAGAATTGTGGCAACTGACATTTAATGTGGATAAGTGCAAGATAATGCATCTTGGACGTAAAAACAGAATATTTGAGTCCTAATCTCAACATCTGAGGAAAGGGATTTAGGGGTTACATAGTTACATAGCTGAAAAGAGATTTGCGTCCATCAAGTTCAGCCTTCCTCACATTTGTTTTTTGCTGTTGATCCAAAAGAAGGCAAAAAAAAAAACCCAGTTTGAAGCACAATTTTGCAACAAGCTAGGAAAAAAATTCCTTCTTGACCCCAGAATGGCAGTCAGATTTATCCTTGGATCAAGCAGTTATTACCCTACATTGAAAGATTATATCCTTGAATATTCTGTTTTTGCAAGTATGCATCTAGTAGCTGTTTGAACATCTGTATGGACTCTGATAAAACCACTTCCTCAGGCAGAGAATTCCACATCCTGATTGTTCTTACAGTAAAAAAACCTTTCCTTTGCCTTAGACGAAATCTTCTTTCTTCCAGTCTAAACGCATGGCCTCGTGTCCTATGTAAAGTCCGGTTTGTGAATAGATTTCCACACAATGATTTGTATTGGCCCCGAATATATTTGTATAATGTTATCATATCCCCTCTCAGGCGACGTTTTTCTAAACTAAATAGGTTTAAATTTGTTAACCTTTCTTCATAGCTGATATGTTCCATTCCTTTTATTAATTTTGTAGCCCGCCTCTGCACTTTTTCTAGTGCCATAATATCCTTCTTTAGAACAGGTGCCCAAAATTGCACAGCATATTCAATATGTGGTCTTACCAGTGACTTATTTATTTATTTATTTATTTTATTCTTTATTTTTGCAGTGCATATGAACATAACAAACTTGCATGGGGTACCCCAACGGCAATCCTCATGCTTTTTTTCGACATTAGTAACATTGGGGTTTGCGATAGTTCTTGCACAGTTTTATATTTAGTAGAGGTAATAGGTCTCAGGCTAGGTAGGTAAAATGCTATATAGCGCAGTCTGCAGGTTTACATAACAAGATACAAACAAGCATAACTCAGGATTCTAATCTAACCTGTGTGTGAGAGGTTATACATAGATAGATGGTGAACCTCAGGCGTACCTATGGGTTAGGTGTGAAATATACATGCAAAGTGAGAGAACCACTGGATTATAGGGCTTTGGTTATTTCTATATTGCTGTTGCATTTATGAGTCATGGAGCAAGTAGAGGAGAATATTATGTATACGGAGTATGCATGTCTAAGGTTTAGGTTAGCTTGTCAACAGAGATAACAGAGAAAAAGTGATTGGACACATTGGTTAGTATTTCGGGTATCCTTTCTCAGATGTTAGGTTCATGGCTCTCGCTCACTATTGCTAATCATCATAACCAGTGCATACTTAAACATGAACATAGTTAGGTTAACGAGTTGAACTACCGACGTCAACCCCCTGTGCTCCTCCCCTTATTGCACATGCTTTAAGAGTATGGTTAGGGAAATGTGAAAAGAGAGGAAAATAAATAAATAAATAACACTTAAATTAAGCCTTAATCATGTATCACGGGTCACTCGGGTAGTGTTGCCACAGGTAAACAGTGTCTGTCAGTGTGTGGTCAAGCCTTTCACATTCTGGGGGCCCTTTTCTCCGTTCATCTGATCCCTGTAGGTAGCAAGGTTGGTGCTGGGTGGGGAGCGAGTCCGAGGACCCCTTCAGTCGATGGAGACTGCTTCTAGGCTTCCCAGGGAGGCAGCGTGCGGGTGTTCCATGTGGGTGTTTGCACAGAGGTATGTAGCTTTTTCGGACCAGTCCCTGTAGCGTGTAGGGGGTTTGGGCTAGACTGGAGGTGGCTCTGGTGCTTTCCTCCTTGTGGGTACCGCACTCTTCCCCTTCGTTGAGCAAATTGGTGAGGTAAGGGGCGCTGAGGGGGTGACCATGTGGTGAGTCCACATTGAGGCATTGAGTGACCCACCACTGGTCGGCGATTAAGGTACTGGGGCTGCCGCCTACCTGCCTGTCTCCTTCTTCCCGCTTTCCAATTCTCTCCTGAAGACCGTCCCAGAGTCACAGGCTGCTGCTCGGAGTTTCGTGGGATTGCAGTCGGCAGGGTTTCAACCAAGGTGCACCTGCGGGTAGAGAGCCTGGCCCAAAAATCAGCGAGCAGATGGTCAAGCCGCTCCGATAGTGAGGGCAGCGGGGGCCCAGGTGCTGGGTAATTTATGGCGTCTGCCATTTTGTGCATCGTTGGTCCAATGGTGCAGATAAGCCGATTTTGGTTCCCCTGTCTCGGGCTGCAGGCTGTCATTGCCGGGATATCCCTCTCCGGCAGGGGGGGGGAATGGAGTGTGCCGGGGAGACCGTCTGTGATGTAGGCCGCAGTCAGTGGAGGGATCGGCCGCCTCCCTCGTGCTGTCTGGGTAGGCCCCATATAGGCCTCAGATCTATCCCATGGCCGCAACCACCGATTCTGGCCAAAGACCTGATTGTGCATCGCTGTAGCGGTGGACCCCTGTCTCTGGGGCTCAAAAGCAGGCATGGAGTGCGTCGTTTGCAGGATTTTTGATGCGTTTTTGCCCACTTTAGCCCGGAGCTCGTCTAATGTGCAGCCGCTCAGCTTGGCTGCCAAGCTCCACCCCCCACCAGTGATTTATAAAGAGGCAAAATGATATTCTCGTCCCGAGAATGAATGCCCTTTTTCATGCATGACAATACCTTACTGGCCTTGGCCACTGGTGATTGACATTGCACATTGTTGCATAGTTTGTTGTCTATAACAATTCTCAAGTCCTTTTCGTGTGTTGTTATCCCTAATTCGCTTCCATTAAGGGTATACGTTGCTTGTGTATTCTTTACGCCGAAGTGCATAACTTTGCATTTTTCAACATTAAATTTCATCTGCCATTTGAGTGCCCAGTCCCCCAGTCTATCTAAATCCCTCTGCAGCAAAGTAATATCTTGCTCACATTGTATTATTTTACAAAGTTTTGTGTCATCTGCAAACACTGAAACATGACTTTCAATGCTGTCTTCAAGATCATTTATAAACATGTTAAATAGAAGGGGTCCCAGAACAGACCCCTGAGGGACACCACTTGCCACCTCTGTCCAGCTTGAAAATTTACCATTAATGACAACTCTTTGTACTCTGTTTTTAAGCCAATGTTCTACCCAAGAACAAGCATTTTCATCTAGACCGATTTCCTTGAGTTTGAACACTAATCTATTGTGTGGAACTGTATCAAATGCCTTGGCAAAATCCAAATAGATCACATCCACTGCAACACCCTGTGGGGTGATTATTTCTGATGACTTAGAGGTAGGTAGACAATTTAATAGAGCAGCAGGAAATGCTAGCAGAATGCTTAGTTGTACATGGAGAGGTATTAGCAGTAAAAGAGGGAAGTGCTCATGCCATTGTACAGAACACTGGTGAGACCTCAGAAGGATATTGATACCTTAGAGAGAGTTCAGAGAAGGGCTACTAAACTGGTTCATGGATTACAGGATAAAACTTACAAGGAAAGGTTAAAGGAACTTAACATGTACAGCTTGGAGGAAAGACGAGACAGGGGGGATATGATAGAAACAGTTAAATATATAAAGGGAATCAACACAGTAAAGAAAGAGACTATATTTAAAAGAAGAAAAACTACCACAACAAGAGGACATAGTCTTGAATTAGAGGGACAAAGGTTAAAAAATAATATCAGGAAGTATTACTTTACAGAGGGTAGTGGATGCATGGAATAGGCTTCCAGCTGAAGTGGTAGAGGTTAATATAGTAAAGGAGTTTAAGCATGTGTGGGATAGGCATAAGGCTATCCTAACTATAAGATAGGGCCAGGGACTAATGAAAGTATTTAGAAAATTAGGCAGACTAGATAGGCGAATGGTTCTTATCTGCCGTCACATTCTATGTTTCTATGTAAGCTGGTAATAAGCCACACTAATGACTATTTTAAAAAATTCAAAGATAAATTAAAAATGCAGGCTAAAATAGTCAAACTAAAAACAAAGTTAATTTGGAGAATTTTACCAGCTTGGCTACTTTGGCCTCAAATTCACTTTGAATTCCCTGCAATTCACTTTTAGTGAAAACTCAGAGTAATGTGTAAAAACAATGTCTTTTACTGCAGTAATAGCCTACAGTCAGACAGTGGTTAATTGGCTTGTATTTAAAGAGTTACTGGGCAACAGACTTTGACCTTACAAATAATAGGAGAATCAAACAAAGCAGGCGTAGCTTTAAATTATAATTCTTTTGCTAAACCCTGTTACTAAGACACCATGGAGTGACTGTAAACAGCAGGTCCTGGGATGTCGGAGCTCCTCTGAATCTCTTACCCATAATAACTTCATGCTGTCTTCGCAAGGTGAGCTTTTTCAAATGTTTTGCAAATTTGCCCCTTTTTTTTTTTTACTTTTTAAATCTGCTCTTCCACAAATTAATGCATTTGCTGTTTTTTTTAAAAAGATGTAATTAGCCAAAGCTACCATATTCCTTGTACTTTGTGTCGAAATCATAACTCATTTAAAGCTGTTGCTATTTATTTTTGTTTTTTTTATTTTTTTTAAATACGATGTTGCTATTTTTTTATTTTTTTTTATTTTTTTGTTGTGTAGAAGATGGAGAATTTGGGGAAAGCAAAAGATCCGGAATGGAATACAGAGACAAATTTGGAGAAAATGGACAAGAGTTATTTTCATCTGCTTCTCAACAAGAGGATGGTCTTAAACCCACGAGATGATACGGTTAGTCTTATTCCTAACTATTCTCCCAAAGACCCTGAGAATCTGCCCATTCACTCAGAGAACTTGGGAATCTGCACATTCATTCTGATACTGTGGATATCTACCCGTTCATTCCAAGACCCTCGGAATCTGCCCATTTACCTCAAGCATCGGAAATTTCCCATTCGTTCTTAAACTGTGGGAATCTGCCTATTCAATCCCAAACCATGAGAATCTGCCCATTTAGACCAACATCCTGTGATCTGGCTCCATAAGGCTGTGAGACAAAGTAAAGATATTTGTTTTACTTAACTCAAAATTTACGGTTAAAGGTTGGATAATATTTTATGTCCTACTAAACAGGTTAGAATGAGGACTATGGGGGAAACGGCTGCAATTCTGAAACCAATGGCTGCGACGTGGCTTCTGGCCAAGTTACAGGACACCAGAATTGTGTTGATTTATTGTACAACAATGCAAAATATGCTGGTAAAATAGTAAGTGTAAAATAATTCCAGGTAGCTTACAGCAATAAAATAAGTCTTTTTTTTCTCTCTCTCTCTTTTTGTTTGTCTAGAAATCTCTTCTTCACCGGCTGATTTTTGTGTCCAAAATCTCCCCCGAGTTGGCTGATAAGAGAGATCTGGCAGGTACACCCATTGCATATCGGGAATGAGCGGAATGTTTGGTGATAACCAAAATTTATTTTTAATTTACTTTGTATAAGGACACCTGGTTGGTTGGTAGGTTTAGGATAGATGTTCAGCAGCTCAAGCTGGGTACCACAGGTAGACTGACAGGTAGGTTGCATGTAGAAGGCATGCTTAATCCAATGGACCCCATCCAGTCTATAAGAAACATCAGAACACGGTGCTAGCAAGATTAAACAAGTTGGTGATATTATTGGGCTCCATGGTAATGTAAATAGTTGATATAGAGTCGGCCTTTCAGATGTTTTAGACCATTACTCTTACAGCCACAACATCTGGAGTGCAGAAGGTTGCCTACCCCTGTCCTACATGATATGGTTGAATCCAATTGGTATGATTATGGTTGGTGCTATAGTTCGGCTAGAAGGTAGTGTTGGTCTAATTATTATGGTTATGGTAGATGACAAAATAAAATCCAGCGGTATGGCTACACTAGGTGGCATGGTAATGGTAGGTGCCGCGGTGATGTTAGGTGGTATGGTGACACTAGGTAGCATAGCTAATCCAGTTTGGTATGCTAGTGATATGGTAAATCCAGGTCAGCAGGGTTACATCAAGTGGTATGACTTCACCAGCTATTAAAGTTACAATTAAATCTTCAGTTTCTTGCAAATTTTGTCTTTCTCTTTTTATTAGCCCATGTCACAGATTTCTCTCTCTTGTCCTTCTCATCCCCTACAGAATACTGGGAGCAACAATTCCTGCTGTACAACCAGGGTGAATCTGTCTCCGGCCTACTGCTTCTTTATTCATCGTACACCATCCACATCATGGAGGTAGGTGGACTCACTCGCGCTCATTCTCTAACCTGTGTAGGACTGCTTGTTGGCCTTAGGACCACAGCTGCCATCTTGCCCAATGTGCTATGATGAGCCATGGGATATGAGAATTGTAATCTGATGAATGATTGCAGTTGAGAAATTTTAAATAATTTTGGACCAAAGATTGTCAAACCATTGGGCTCCTCCTCCATAGTTGCCCAAATCGAGCACTGATCTGGTGACACTAGAGAGATCTCTGCAGTGTGTGCTGGAGAGATGTTCCTAACAGCTTCTAGTTTAAAAAAACGCAGACTTCAAAGCAGGTTATAATTTGTTGTCTGTGTACTTTAATTTTTTTGCTCTGTTATATTAAAACGTTTCTTGTTTAAAACATTTCTCTTGCTCATTACATAAGCAGCATTACTGATGACATTGATAATAATATATACAAAATATGGGGCATGATTAATAGACATTATTGCTACTATTAAGTTCTGTCTTTTGTGTCCCTAAGAACTCCTTTCTCCCCTTTTCCCCTGAGCGGACATATATATATCTCGGATCTGATTGATTCTCCACCCATTCGGGACTCAGTGGGTTAATAACAGCGCGGGACACTACAGACCTCTATACCGATCATAGTATTAGCAACCATCAGTGCCTTAACTTGCAGTATATATATAATTTTCTCTTATTTAGTATAGCTTGAGTGTGCTACTTATCAGCATTAGTACTATTTGCTTTTTCATTTTCTATCCTATACTTGGTGCCCTTGAAGGCACTATTCCTACTTGCTTTAATTTGGTGTATACCTTATTATTAGAAATCTGATTTTCCACTAAGATTATTAGACATATACCAGACAACGTTGTCCTTCCAATTTTTTTATTTATTAAGTTTATTTATGATCGTTTTAATACGAATCTAGCATGCTGAAATACCTGCTCTCGTTCTTATACTAGAACTTTTGACGATATTACAACTGCACAAATTTATTCACTAATTGTGTTATAGATTGAGTTTGCATTTGATTACAGTAGAATCCCCTGTGGTTGAAATGCATTGATCCTTCGTAGTGTATCTTTTTCCTCATATATCGATACCATTACATTGAAGGGATTCTCTTAACTGTATCTTATTTTTTGATACCAATATATCTCGATGTAATTTACATTGAAGGTAAAAGTATCCCCTGTAGTTATATTAGACTGACACTTAGCATTTTATTTCATTTTTGACTTATAGATATGAGTTATTGAACGAAATTGTCAGCTTCACTCAGTGGGATTCTCTGTATTGTACCCTATTTTGGATTTACAGACACGATTATATATCCATTTATATCGTGATATGCGACGTATAAACTCTATCTATCATATTATCTTATTTGTTCATATTTATCTTTATTTCTTCTGTTTCTTGTGTGCTCCTTGCTTTGACTGCCGCAATTGACTTATGTTTAGTCAGGTAGCCATTGCTTGTTTTTTTTTATAGATTTATGTTCTCCATTTATTTATCTTCCAGATTTTTAACTGTTGTGTGTACCTTATATTGGTAGTAGGAACAGACTCCTCTTTCTCTTTTTTGTTCTATATATAAAATATACTTATAATAAATACATGAAGTTATTATGGTGCCAGGAGGCCCGCAGGGGCACTCTTACCTTAAGGCAGGGTTGGGCAATCTTTGGGCCCTCCAGATGTTACGGACTACGTCTCCCTTGATGCTTTGCCAGCATTATGGCCCGAAGAGCATTATGAAAGATGTAGTCCAAAACATCTGGAGGGCAGAAGATTGCCTACCCCTGCCTTAAGGGGTTAAACCGTTCTTTAACGGTTCAACCCCAAAGTGAGCCTCCAGCGCCGATCCTCATATCCCCAAGGCATTACCAGGCTTCTGAATCCGGAGGCCTCATAGAACCATAACAACTTCATTTAGATGAAGTTGTTATGGTGCCTAGACTGTCTCTTTAAGGGTTATTGTAAGAAGTCCTTTTATGTATATGTATTTTCTTGTATTAATGGCTAGCCCTAATATACTTCTATAGCACCCAAAAATATCAATCTAATGTACTTTATAAAAAATATACATTTATTCTACTCGCAATGCGAACAGCAATACATATGTAAAAACGTAACAGATGGTACCGCTTAACTGATGTTACAGAGAGAGAGAGAGATCTTCGATGGAGAGTAATTGTCTTTGTCCAGAAAATAAGGGAACCACCAAAGAGCAGTAGAACGTGGTCATTTGCCTACTGTTATAGACTTGACTTTAAGGACGTCAGAACTTTTAACAAAAAACTTTGGCCATATAAGGACTTGGTGAAGATTCTTGACCCTCAATCTTTTCTTTATACACCCACATTCCAGACTTCTCATGGTACAGCATAGTAAATTACCATCTGTTTCTTTTAACCCATTAGACAACCATACCAAATATGAATATAAATAGGAACATAGAATATGTAATATTCTACAGATAAATAAAGACATTTTTATATTTTAAAAAAAACAACTTAAAACAAAAAAATTAAGTTCATTTAAAAGAGTTTTATTAAATCATTACAGCTGTAATCACTAAGCCAGGATGCAGATTAACCTGGAAGAAACCGGGTTATTCACAAAAGTGTCAATTGTTGGGAATTCAAACCACGCAAACCGAAAAACAGCAGTTTTGGAGAATTGTTCTAGTTTTAGCTATTTTCCCCTAAAATTAGAAATTCACCCAGAATACCTTATCATTCCAACTTCAGCAAATAGCACTTTAGCAACATGGCATTTGACAAATTCTCGATCTATAAAGTCATACAAGACCGTTCCATGTCTTTTGCGTCCAATTGAATTGCTTCAAATTATACAATACGTTATTACCCTGCAGCATAGCAACAGCAGAAATATTTAATTTTAAAAGACGTGTCAGGTGTAAGGGAAGGCCTGAGGTGTTCTCGGTTACCAGAGAAGGATTAAGATCCCACAGGCCCTGGGTACCGGTTTTGGACACACCTCTCATTCTTCACATCTTTCCAGCCTTGTGTTTAAGAGCTTTTCTGAGAAACTCCTACCTGAACACAATGCTTTCCTCAGCTGTTCCCACTTCCTATAACTTCTGATCCAGTACCAGCACTTTATTTAATCTACCACAATACAAAAAGAAAACAGCCCGATCCTCCTTCTCCTACAGAGCGCCGCAATTGTGGAACGACCTCCCGCACACTTTAAAATCTTCCCTAAGCCTAAAGTCCTTTAAGAGATCCTTCTCTGCATACCTCAAAACAGAATGCATGTGTCATGGTTGATTATATATTTCCTGCCTGTTCTATGTTAAATTTTGTATTTATTATGTATTAATATTGTTTTTGTATTTTATTGTACCCTAATGTAACAATGCAGTGATTTGTGGACCCAGGACATACTTGAACTCTCAATGTATCTTTCCTGGTAAAATATTTTATAAATAAATACATAATAGGCATGGTGAATGAGGAGAGGCAATTTCATGGTGTTGGGGGGCTCCCTCTCAAAACTCGGTGCCCTAGGCAACTGCCTAAGGTCATCTTATGATTAATCCTGATCTGTCTCTTACAGTCCAGCAGCGATGTCTTGTATTGTGTTCTGCGAGAGCTGAGAAAGATGCAGAAACGTGAAAGCAGGTGAGTGGATGGAACTGGGCGAGGTAATTGGTTTTTGCTTCTGACACAAGGAACGATTTCCTAAACATGGAATTCCTGTGAAATGAAAACACCAGTGAAAAATGTGGGCTAAATAGCCAAGCTGTGACAATAGAGGAGTTATTGCAAAAGCCTACATTTAGCAATTGTGTTGTGTTGTAACCAGACAGATCGCCATTTCCTACAGTGAGGATACATTTAGATAGACATTAAAAGCAGTTACACAGTAGCCAATGTTACATTGCTGTTTGCTCACGTTCAATTATCCTACAGCGCCACCATGTGGTTCTTCTGTCGCACTAAAACAAGCCTAACATTTATCTGTAGCACTGGTGGAGGTGAACTTGGCATTCTCTAGACGCTGAGGACTACATCTTTAGTAATGCTTTGCCAACTAAAATTCAAGATTTTCCTAGTCTTCACGTCAGAAAATATAGATTTTATTAAAGACAGGAGGCGAGTATTATGCATTAACTTTCTTTACTTAACTACAGCAGCAAAGTTTAGTGAATAAAAAAAGATAAAAACAACAGAGTAACTGAAATGGAACGTTGGTAGCCAATCAGCATCCAACCTAGTCTATATAGTGAATGATCCCCAATATTCTCCCTCTTTCGAGCTGCGAATCTAACACAAAATGTGACGGCAGATAAGAACCATTCGGCCCATCTAGAAGTGTCTAGTAGAGTAACTCCAAGGATAGAATGACGGAACTCCAAACAGGATTAAGCTGAAATATAAATAACAGGGTGGGTTAATGGGAGGGATAATACTCGCCTCCTGTCTTTAATAAAATCTGCAGTTTTTAACGGATCTGATAAAGAGCCTCCTGCTTGAAACACTTTAGTAGTCATAGCTCCTCTGATGAGTGAGCTCCAAACATTGAAATATTAATACCTGCCATAGACATAGTTTGTCGTACCCATCTTGCTAAAGATGTAGAGGAGACAGGCAGAAAAGGTTTACGAAAAGAGATTAGTAATTGCGAGAAATTGGAATTTCGAATCAAAGAGGTTTTAAACTCATATGTTTGAAGACAACTAACAACACATAGAAGAGGATAGTCAGAAAATGAAGGCTATAATACAGTGCAGAGATTAGTTTTGGTACGTCTAACAATAGAAAAATTAACACCATCAGGAGTATATTGTCTATTATTTAAGTCTAAAACCTTAACGTCAAACTCTTTTGAAAGAGATGAGACATAGTAATGTGGTAAGCTTAAACAAAAGCAATTTTAAGGATAATGAGTCATTGGCACCCCATGATTCTATCAACTGGAGTACCAGGGTAACATCCCATGTGGAATTATATTTAGGGCATTGATGACGTTTAAATCTGATACCCTTCATAAGTCTGCAGACTAGAGGATGTTTACCCACAGGGAAAAATTCAGTAGGGTCGTGATTTGCTGAGATAGCAGATCTATAGACATTAATGGTGTGATAAGCTTTCCCTGAGTCAAAAGAGACTGACAAAAAATTTAGAATGTTTGCTAAATCTGAATGTATGGGATCCACTGCCCGTCCCATGCACCAATTAAGCCAAATTTTCCAGGCTGATCTGTAATTTGCATGGGTTCCTGGTGCCCATGCTTCAGAGAGAATGTCTCTAGTAGTGTTTGAAAATTCACTATGCGATTCGAATGACCCGAAATGAGAGATGCAATCAAGGGTAGTTGGCCCGACAGCACTAGAGGATGAAAATTTCCCTCCGGATCGCGAAGAGAATCCTGACGCATCTGTATGAGTCGTGGGTAGTTTATCAGCATGATGAGAAGCTGAGGGAACCATGGTTGTGATGACCAGAGAGGGGTTATAATTACTAAGGTCGATTTCTGGGACCATGCTTTCAGAAGTACCCAGGATATCATCGTAAACAGGGGGAAAGCATAATTGATTCCGTCTTTCCAACATTGGAGGAAAGCATCTTGATCTACTGCTTCTGGATCTGAGCGCCAACTAAAAAAAGTTTCTAGTTGGCGATTGAGGTCGTATTGAAATGGACCCCACAGAGCAAGTAGTCGTTGGAAGATCCAGTAGCTGTAATCCACTAGGAAATGGGAATTCGAATCTGCTACTGTATTGGAAAGGCCGGGAAGGTATACTGCTCGTAACGTTATGTTTCGATTGAGGCAAAAATGCCATAATTCTTTGGCAATGTCTGCCAGTTGCTTGGATTTTGTACCTCCTAAGCGATTTATATATTGGACTGCTGATATGTTGTCCATCTTGAGAAGGATACAACAATGAGATTTGTGTTTTGCAAAACTGCGTAGAACGAAAACCCCTGCCATGAGTTCCAGGCAGTTTATATGCATATTTGTCTCTTCAAGAGACCATTTGCCTCCTGTGGAATTGCCTCCACAACAGGCTCTCCAGCCTAATCGACTTGCGTCGGATTCTATAGTTAGGTCTGGGAATGACGTGAAAATGGCTTTCCCGTTCCAAATTTGAACGTGATCTAACCACCAGGATAGTTCTCTTCTTGTCTCTGAAGTTAGAGAACTCTCATCTGAATAGAGGAGACCTTTGCGTAGATGTTCTCTTTTCAATCTTTGAAGAGCCCGATAGTGAAGGGGGGCTGGAAAGATAACCTTGATCGAGGCTGATAAAAGACCTACAATCCGTGCTAAAGACCTGATGGAAATTAATTCCTTCTTTAGAACTGACCTGATCTCTTTTTGAATCGTTTTCAATTTCCGTGATGGAAGGCTGAGAGTGGCTAAATTGGAATTCACTAGAAATCCTAAAAATTCTATCTCCTGAGAGGGAGTTAAAATCGATTTTTCATAATTTATTACAAAGCCAAAGCTTGTTAACAGATTCAATGTAGTTGAAGAGTTTGCACACTCTGTGACGTAATCAATATGTCGTCTAGATAGATTATCATTCTTACTCCCCTGCTTCGAAGTAGGGATATTACTGGTTTGAGTAATTTGGTGAAACACCAAGGTGCAGAGGATAAACCAAATGGCAATGATTTGAATTGCCATTTCTTCCCTTGCCATAGGAACTGTAAATATTTCTGACATGAGTGGTGGATAGGTACTGTGAGGTATGCATCCTTCAAATCTATTTTGATCAACCAGTCGTTGAATAGCAATAGGTCTTTGAGGTAATAAATTCCCTCTATTTTGAAATGGTGGTATCTGACAAAATTGTTTAAGTATTTCAAGTTTATGACTGGTCTGTTACCAGAATCTTTCTTTTTCACCAAGAATAAATTGCTTATGAAGCCTGGGCTGCTCATGGGCACCTGTATGATGGCATTTTTTGAGCATAAACTTAATATTTCTTGATGCACCAGGGCCTGGTCTTGGGTCGAAAAATTTATTGGGAAAGGTATGTTTCTTTGGACGGGGCATGATATAAAATCTATTTTATAACCTAGAACCGTTTCTAGTATCCAAGAATCGTTTGTAATCTGACTCCAGACATGGAAAAAACTAGTGAGTCTGCCCCCTAACCCTACCAGGGAAGAAAGGGGGGGTTGTCATACTCACCGGATGAAGATCTGAAGCGAGACATTCCTCGATGGCCTCTTGATCTCCAAGGTCTGCCACGTAGTGGAAAGAATGGAGTTGATTGTTGGGTGTCATATGAGGGCCTGGTGGGTTGAAAGGTGTTCCTTGGAACCTGTCTAAGTTGAAAGGAACGGCTGGAAGAACGGTTCATTCCTCTTCCAGCCCTTCCGAAAACCTTAGGGTTGAAAACTTTCCTCAAGGATGACTGAGCCTTATCAAGGGAACTAAATAGATTGACATATTTATTAATGTCTTTAATAAATGATTCTCTGAATAGGAGACCTTCTGCAGCTGGACCAGGTTCGGAAGTGGCTAAATTTTACAGATGAGGGTCAATTTTCATTAAAATGCATCAGCGCTGCGTTAGCATTCTCCAAAAAGCATATCATGCGTTGGGTCCAGCCTCTCAAAGTATCAATGCTGGGAGGATTCCCAGAAGCTGCCGCATGTTCTAAAGTTTCAAACATTTTAGCCACAGGACCAGAAATGTCCATTAATTTATCTTGACAAAATTTTAGTGATCTGTCAAGACCTTTATTTGGGTTCTTCCCTGATTTTGTTAAAAATTGCACAATAGTGGGATCTAGATCAGGGGTCTGTGCGACTTTCTTTGACAAGGTCGGTCTAGGGCATTCAGCTCTTAGTTTATTTCTAGCCGCTTGGTCAAGGGGTTTCCTCAACCAGTATTCAAGATATTTGGCTATATGAGCCATAGGGACCCATTCAGCTGACCTGGGGTATTTAATATGGTCTGGGTCGAATAATGGTTTACCATTAAAATCCAAAATAATATCCTCTTCATCAGATTTAGAGATAAGCTCAGGTGTCTCTGAGATATATGAATAATTTGAGGCAGAATCAGAGTCAGATTTTTCATCCCCTGAGATTGAAGATGAGTCACTATCTGAGGAGGTTTTATAGGAGTCAGGTTTGTTTCTGTGAATGGCCTTCCGAGCTTGTTTGTCTTCCTCACGAGCAGAGGGACTTTTGAGTGATTGATTACACTCTTCAGTTTTGCGTGAGACACACATTGTGTTCTTGTCTTGGTCCTTCCCTATCTTAAGTGGCTTAGAGCCGCTAGGGGATTCTGCAGGACCGTCAAAGCAATGTTTGCGTTTCTGGGTGGCCTTCCCAGACCTCCTAAAACCTTGAGCTAGGTTCCGTTCAGACTCCACAGAACTGGTCTGAAGGAGTACTAATTAAATGAGTCTTCTCACTGGGTTTTGAGCTGCTTATGGCTTGAGCCACAGACTTTGCAATTGCTTCTTGCATAGAAGACATTGCAGTATAAATTGCAGAGGAAACTGACTTTTGAACGGATAAATCCACTATATTTTGTAAAGAATCCTCAGTGAGGATTCATGAGACACACCAGGTTTTGGTGACTCAATTTGTCTAATCTCTTTAGAATTCATAATTTACAAAATTGCAACAAATAGCAATTGTATCTACTATTCGAGAATAGTTGAATAATAAAAATGTTGCCAACTATGAGGGGAAATCCTGACAGGAAAATCAAATAGTTCAAGTTATAATAAGAATTACCAGTAAAGAGTAACAAGTTGTGAAGAAAATGCTGTCCTGAGGTAAAGTGGGCGGGAAAGTTAGCTGAGGACCAACTAACTGGTATTTCCGCCCATAAAACGTCATCAATGTATGAGGGACTAACTGACAGAAACGCGCGTGCAGTGGTTCGCATAAAACTGCCGAAATGACTGAACAGTGAATTGACCGTTCGTATACAAAAAACCCGCGAACGCGAGAATAATAAAGTAATATGAAAAGTAAATGGGTGGAATTCGTGTGAAAAAACTAACAAATGCGATTCATAGAAATAACTGACCTGTTCAAAGACAAAACTACCGAACGCGGATGGACCGCGACTTCATTTCCAGATAGAATGCATGAAAGACAGTGCACCAAATATAAATATATATATATATATATTTTAAAACAATGAGAAGACATAGAATTACTTCAGAAAAGTATATATTCCAAAGGAATAAACACATATGTCAACATATAACCAAACTAGAAGGTATGTATGTATAGACAACAGTAGCATAAGTGAATATATATGATACTTATCTCTACTGGAGCAGCAAAGAAAGAGGAAGAATATTGGGAATCATTCACTTTATGGACTATGCCGGATGCTGATTGGCTACCAACGTTCCATTTCAGTTACTCTGTTGTTTTTATCTTTTTTATTGACTAAACTTTCTTGAAAAAATGTCTTTGCTGCTGGAGTTAAGTAAAGAAAGTTAATGCATAATACTCGCCTCCTGTCTTGTTATAAAATTACAATTGCCCATGCGTAACTTTTTTTCAATTTCTTTCCTTATTTGCTTCATAACTGTCATAGAATCTTGAGGTGAAATGTGTACCAAAAATGCACTGGAAACAGTGACGTAATAATCTAGAGATTTTACAAAAATGCCCATCTGTTTCTGTTGTTGAACTAGTTATGAGTTTCTAAATATAGTATGCAGGTAAGTGTGTAGGGTTTGGCGGCTGAGCAGGTTGGTCCTTGCTAGGTGCAGGCGGTAGTGGGGTAGTGGAGCAGGTATGGCCTGGTCAGTGGGGTTAGAAAGCAAGATTTAGAATAAAGAGTGAAATTCAAAGTTCTAGAATATGAGCCGATTTAGAGTAATCACTTTGGAAAATAATGTGCAGTTTCTGGTCAGTGTTCTAGACTTACATGTCTGACATTTTATTTACCTATTGCATGACTTTTCACTCCAAGAGACCATGAATCATCTTACCTATAGGCAGCAATTAATAAAGCAAAGGATATTGGGCTCCCATGAAAATGCCTTAGTCCTGCCCCATGCAATCCTTATTAGTGGAAAGGTAACTCTAGATGGCCAGATGGTATAAAATATAATAATAAATAAGGCATTACATTGACATTCAACATTTTTATAATCCCATCTGGTTTTATTAGGGCTCTACTGCTAGAACCCAGAATCCTAGTGATGTCCCATAACCTCCCTTTCCGTCTGTTCACCCAATGGAGCTACAAAGTCTTGGATGTTCCTGCCCAGTACTTGGAAGAGAAATACGGTGATGAAGCCACTGATGGTATTATCAGTGAGTGCCTGACAAAAATCCTAAAGATTGGGAAGCACCTCACCAAGTATCCAAAGGCAAGTTAAGAGAGATAAGATTTAGGAGATGTTGATGATGGTTTGGTGGTATGTGTTAGTTTACGAAACATGATGAAGTATGCCTAAGCAGCATAGGCGTGCGCAGCCTATTGCATTAGGGTGTGCACCCTAAAGCACAAGCACACGCCGCATATATATATGTATGTATGTATATGTATATATATATATATATATATATATATATACACACATACACATACACATATATACACATACATACACTGCTGAGTGTGTGTGTGTGCTGTGTGAGGGTGCTGTTAGTGTGATATGTGTCTTTGACGGTGCTGGTAGTGTGCTATGTGGGTGAGGGTGTTTGTGTGTGCGTGCTTGTGAGGATGCTGTTAATGTACTGTGTGTGAGGGTGCTGTTTGTGTGTGTGTGAGCTTGTGAGGATGCTGTTAATGTACTGTATGTGAGGGTGCTGTTTGTGTGTGAGGGTACTGGTAGTGTGCTGTGTGTGTATTTGTTAGGGTCCTGTTTGTGTTTGTGAGGGTACCGTTAGTGTGCTGTGTGTGTGTGAGGGTGCTGTTTGTGTGCTGTGTGTGAGGGTGCTGTATGTTTGTTGGTGCTGTGTATGTGTGTGGGTGCTGTATGTGTGTGGGTGCTGTGTATGTCTGTGGGTTCTGTGTATGTTTGTGGGTGCTGTGTCTGTGGGTGCTGTATGTCTGTGTGTGCTGTATGTGTGTAGGTGCTGTAGGTGTGTGGGTGCTGTGTCTGTGGGTGCTGTATGTCTGTGGGTGCGGTATGTGTGCTGTATGTGTGCGGGTGATGTATGTGTGTGGGTGCTGTATGTGTGTGGGTGATGTATGTGTGTGGGTGCTGTATGTCTGTGTGTGCTGTATGTGTGTAGGTGCTGTATGTGTGTGGGTGCTGTATGTCTGTGGGTGCTGTATGTGTGTGGGTGCTGTGTGGGTGCTGTATGTGTGTGTTCTGTATGTCTGTGTGTGCTGTATGTGTGTGTGCTGTATGTCTGTGTGTGCTGTATGTGGGTGGGTGATTGTGGGGGTGGAGGTTGGGGTACATTACTTGCTATCCCCCCTCCCTTCTTACCTTTTGTAGGGAGGGGGGATCGTGCTGCTGATTCCATCCCTGGTGGTCCAGTGGAGAGTGAACTCTAGCCCCTGTGGGGCTAGAGTTCACTCTCGCGAGATTTGAGCGTTGCCGTGGCAACGCTCATATCTCGCGAGAGGAACCCGGCGGAGCTGCCGGCAATAGCTCCGCCGGTCCTCTCCTGCCTCCCTCCCTGCATGTGGGTCAGTGGGGAGGGAGGCTGAGAGCAGAGCCGGCGCTCGGATAGCGCCGGCTCTGCATGAGCCGACAGGGGAGATCCTGAGATCTCCCCTGCCGGTCTCAATATACATAGGCGTGCCGCAGGATTAGGGTGTGCCCAGGCACAACAGACACACCCCGTGCGCACGCCTATGCTAAGCAGTAAGAATTAGTTGGAGAGTGTTTGGATTAAGGAAAGGAACGTTGAGTTAGGGTTGAGATTGAGTTTAGGGTTAGCTTTTGAACAAAGTTGGATCCAGTGAAAACCAATACGTAAGATATTGAAAATCATGTCATATGGGGTGAGGAAAGAGTCAGAGTATAGTGCTGGGTTGATATATAAAGCAAGGACAGATGAGGTGACAATGAGAAAATATCTTGATGAGGCTGCTGGGTGAGAGAAGGTATATATGGGCTTCTTGGAGATTTGAATATGGGGAGATTTAAAGTTAGGCATCATATGGGGTTAAAGGGACATTTGCAAAGTTATTTTTGGTAATGAAGGAGGTTGGGTTTTTTTTCAGCAAAGTAGAGAAGGAAGACAAGGTAGTGTTGGGTCAGGTAGGGATATGTGATTGTGGATTCTGGGTGTAACGGTTAAAAGATGAATACCTTGAATTGTTGTAACCATAAGCTGATGGAATTCAGTAAGAACCTCTGGCTATCATCAAAACTGCTCCTACCACATACCAAAAACAGACAGACATTGACTGTAGAAGACAATGTGTTTTGACCTATAAAGTTATGCATGTAGAAGAATTTTGTTTTGTGTTTGAGTCTCTGTATTCTATACTATTTATTATTTCTGTATTTAGTAAAATCCTGAAACCCAGACAATGTACAATATAGAGTGAAGTAGGCACACTGTAGGTCTGCAGTATTTACAAAGAGGGAAGGCCTCTCATTTAGAGTTTGCTTATTCATAATATTGTTTCCTTCAGGGTTCTAAAGACATTCCGGACACAGTGTTTGACAAGGTTCCAGAACTAATCATTCCCCAAGGCTTCATTTCCCACCTCTTGCAGTGTAAGCAGTTATTCACCCCTGATCAATTCCTTGAGTTCTATGACACCCCTCTGAACATTCTTCTGGACTCTGGTAGGTAGTGCGTTTGAAGTTTTGGCCAACTTGCTAGGGATCAGTTGGTTGATAATATAAACATGAATGACCTGCATGCATCAATGCACCTTCTAGACCAGGGGTAGGCAACCTTTGGCACTCCAGATGATGTGGACTACATCTAACCTGATGCTTTGCCAACAAGGCCATAAGAGCATTATGGGATATGTAGTTCACAACATCTGGAGTGCAGAAGGTTGCCTACACCTGTTCTAATTCAATGGTGGAACTCAACTTGTGGTCATTTTCAGGAACGAGATGGTCTTCAAAATGACACACAACAATGGTTAATTGTTATAAAGGTGTTTACTGTGGTTTATCGACCACACAAATAGACTATTTGGAAATGTGAACGAGAGGAATCTTTGCATTTAATGTCCTAATATTATCTAGATTGTTTAATTATTTTGGTGCTGAGATACAGCCAAGGAATGTTTACTACACTTATGGTACACTAGGATCTGTGCAGATATAGGGATCCTGTCTAAAAGCTCCAGTTTAATTAACAAGCAGCAGGTGGCACCAAGGCAACAAATGAAAAGTATCATCATCAATTAGCCATATAGAAATGTTCAATTTTACTGATTTATCAGATCGGTATTCGGAATTGAATATTGGGAGCATTGTAGCAGCCACTTACCAAACAATGCCATTTAAAAAAAAACATTTAACGGAGCAATGTGCAAGTCTTCCAAAATGAAGAGTTAATCTGTTGAGTTCTGTTGCCATTAAGTTACGGGGAGAGTTTAGCTTTAGAGAAGCCCTGTAGATTAAAATCCTGGAGTTCCGTCTGAGTTCATGCAAAATCTGCAGTTCTCCATTAACTAATCTCTGAACCCCGCTGGTGATCGTGACTCCGCGCAGCACCCACAGTCAACACTGTACCCCTATTTGAACCAATCAGCTGTAAAATTTTATAGAAAGGTGCACCATTCAGTATTAAAAACGAATCGGAACATTCTCCATTAGGAGACATACCGCTGGTGGATTTGAAAAACTGTTTAACCCCTTAAGTACACATGACATGTGTGACATGTCATGATTCCCTTTTATTCCAGAAGTTTGGTCCTTTAAGGGTTTAAAAGGTTACTCCAATCATCATAACCACTACCACCCACTGTAGGGGTTATGATGCCAGGACATCTCAATGACACTGCCATAGGTGGACTTACACCTCCACCATTAGAAGGGTTAAACTTGTTTGTTAGTGAACACTTCATGCACCATTACCACTTCAAATCACTGAAATGTTCATTGTGCTTGTAGTAACCATTTAACACCAGAGGTATTGTACCAGGAGACTTCAGATACTATAACCACTTCAATGAGATAGATGTGGTTATAGTGCCTAGAGTGTACTTCTCACAACCTCTGTGTTAGAGCTGCATATGATTGTAAGTACTGGGGTCGGCTAGATTGAACGGTAATTAAAAGGGCATTGTGCAATCTCTCTGATGAATGTTTGTTCGTTTGGTTAAAGGACATGTATTTAGCAGTGTAAACCAGAACATGGTATAGACTGTCGTGGACCAAGGGAAGGTACAGTAGCATGTAAAAGTAGTTTAGTCTCTGCATGCCATATTCTCATCAGACCTAACTGTAGCATAGTAACCCCATCCATGTCCATTTCCTCCATGCATTTACTATTACCTGCCAAGCTCTGTGCTGCCGGCCTGCAATGGATTTAAAACGTGTACTTGTCTTCCTCTCCAGGACAGGTTACATGTTTAAAAAAAAACAAAAAACAAAAAAACTCATTCCTCCTCCTGCCAAGTCAATATTGTTTAACTTCAGAACTTTGTTGTAATAGAAGATTACACTTGCTGTCACCTTAATCTCAGCACATGCAGTTGCAATCTTCTATTTTGATTATGATAAACCAGCAAAATAACTTCATACCTTCGCTAGCATCCAGCAAAGGGAACATTATGCCAAAAGCTTGCTTATAGAATGTTCTGTCAGATGTAATATCAGTTAGTTTTATAAAAAGAAGGAAAGAAAAAAAACAACCAAACACAATATGTCCAGTCTCCCATTGCTCATTTAAAAACAATTAAATAAAAAAATAAACACCCTCCAACCCCCAAAAAATCCAAACCACAAGCCAACACCCACCTTTGCTTTCATATCCACTACATAAGTAAGATGGCTTTTTTATCTTTCTAAAGTTGTAGTATGTTAAACTCACTGGCATAGAAACATTTTAAACGGTTTGAAACAAAATTGCACCCAAATTTTGGTTACCACTTTAGGAATCATTTTACTTGATTGCATTTCCCAAATTAATTTTGATACACGTCTTGCTAGCGTTGAATTAAGGATTTAACAAACTAACTTGGCTGGAGGAGAAGCCATATTGTACATCAGATACTCCGACTCTATCCTTACATCACTAGCACAGCAAGTCTCATCTCCCAATCATCCCCCAGAATCCACTCATGGTCCTGTTAGATCCATCTAAACTTTGGCCATCAGATCCTAATAACCTAGTCTGTGCTGGTACTGGAAGATCAATGCTTATAAACCCGGGTGTACATTATGCTTCTGTAGACCTGTAGTTGGGAAATAGACCTGCTTGCTGGTTGAATGCTCCATCCTTATTTATCATCATCATCTTCATACTGACTAGTAGAACATAGTTAACCTGTAACATATAGATCATTATACAGATTTTTATTTTATTTTGCTGCAGGAGTGCATTCAATTTATTTTTGTATTTTATAAGTTGATCTGGTTACCCTTAAGCACAGTAACTATATGTAACCTAGTTCTACAGTGTGGCCAAGGCTATCCAGAACATTACTTGCCTTTCATTATGTCAGTAAGAATAGTAGAGACTGTTCCATGTACACCAATGGTGAACACTTGGTAAATTCCATTCACGGTTTGGGTCATCACTATAAGAAAGATTAAAACATTTAAACAGTTGTTTCTCTAAAATAAAGTCCTAGTCAGATACACACATGGTTATAAATTTCCCTTACATTCTACCAAGAGTGCAAAAGATAGCACTGAGTGCAAAGTCATGACTCGTTGTGCTAGTGGTGCTGGCACACTGGGTGCCCATTACATTACTTAATACAATTTAAATTTAACATTCCTAGTAATTCTTGTTAATACAATTTAATATTCCTAGTAATTCTTGTTCTAACACTAAAATCCTCAATTTATTTAATTGTATTTGTTTGGATGAGACCCTATGAGTCCCACGAAGTAGAATTGTGGGATAGAACCAAAATAAAACTGATAAAAATCTGCCTGGGATGTCATAGTGTTAATGTAGTAGTACATTATATCAGTTTTAATATAATGAAGTAGTTTTTTTAGCTCTATTATTTCTTCATACATGTCAACTAAATGTTGAAGTTCCCACACAGTGAATTACTAAACACAGATAATGCAAAGCTTTATTTGAGGACCCTATATTCAATTAATTATTTTTGGAGGTAAATGAAATCCATTAAAATATTTCATCTGTATAGTGCTTTGAGTTAATATACATCTCTTTAAAAATAGTTTTAATGAAATTATTTTTAATTACTTTCGATATTTACATTTTATTGTATTTACATTCTATACTTTTATTCTATTTTTTTTTTTAGATCAAGTGTGGCCTACAGCTGTTCATTTAACTCCTGTGCAGAAAAGATCCGTACTGTAAAAGATTTGTTCCTGTTCACTCGATCAAGAGATATCAAACTAGTGTTTATTCTCCTCTGTGCTTCAATTCCAATGTGAGAATTGAAAACATTAAGCCAGGTGTAGGTGCCCATTGCTGTACCATGTTCTGTAGACTAAATTACTCTAGGTGCTCTGGCATCGCAGCTGGGAAAGAATCTCGGGAGATAAAGTCCACAGCAGCGGGAATAGTATTGGATGCGGACATGTTACTTCAACTCCTAACCTAAATTGTACCGCAGACTGTGTTTATAGTGCTGAAGAAAAAGTGGTGAAGATTACAGGGCAATGTTTTACCATCATTTACATGCAACCAATATATAATATTACAGAATGCTTATTCTTATTAGAAAAATCAAAGCTGCGTTAGAATCCTAAGTTAATGTTTCCTACAACTGGATTCGAGCAATATTCCGTTAAAAGGGCACTTGGTCATCATAATTTCGACAAGTTACTGTAGTAGTTATGGTGCTCTCAAGCTGTCCCTGAAAATGAAAGCTCTGCCGATGATTTTCATTTTAACCGCCTGAACCACAAATTCTGATATCAAACAAGCAAATCCAGCCTTCTCACTGAGCCGCCCAAATATTCGGAGCACTTTGTGACAAGCAGGGAACAGTGCTATGTGAAAGTACACCAGGATATGTAGGAGTCTGATTTTATCATATGTCCCATACTGCTCAAGTAATGTTTGAGGCACTCCCCTTGTATTTTAAACATTACAATAAGTGTATTTTAGATATTTGAAAATGAGTTTTCTGGTGTTTAATTAATTATTAAAATATCTTACAAACAGCAGATCTAGATTTTTTTTTTTTTTTTTTTATAAATTGTTAAGTGTGTCTGTACTGACTGAAAACTTTGACATTAATCTGTATATCTAGTTGACTTAACAACTAGCTACTTTATCTCATTGAAGTGGCTATGGTGTCTGGAATCCCCTGGCGGCTTCCTTTCATTCAGCATTAAACCATTTTAATGCTAAATTAGAGCAGACCACCCCTCTGTGTTGCTTGGGATAATTAGCAAGCATTATGCTGAACAGCAACAGGTGATGGTGATTGGATGAGAGTGTCAGCTGACCACTTTCCGCCTATCACAGCTCCCATTGCTGGTATGATTTGGTATGGCTAAAATGAAGTGTGTAATCTCTGTCTTAGCCATACCTCAAGTGGGGGCCAGGCTGCGGGAGGCCAGGGCCTCTCAGTCAGTGTCATACTGCTCAAAAATAGTTGAACACTAAATAAAGGGACAACACCAGAGGACTGTAGACACTATAACCAATTTAGTGAGATAAGATGGTTTTAATGACTACAGTGTCCCTTTAATGAAGTGGTTTGGGTGTATGGACCATGTCCCTCCAGTTTGGCAATGTAAAATATTGAAAATGCAATGTGTTGCCAAGCACAAGCCTCTGGCGGCTCTCAGACTGACCATCACATTTTCTCAAGAAGACCTTGACAAAAATTACAAATAAATAGGAACTTTTTTTCCCATTTGTTGAGAATCTCCAACTGTTCAGTTTTAGGAGAACAACCTCAGCCTTTCACTTTTCTAAGGTCAATAAAATGAGTACAATTGACTTGGGTAACAGCAGCTATACCCCAGGATATACTTCAAAAAATTATCATAAACGATTAATTACTTTAATATATTGATATTGTAACATTTCCAACAGACATTTCAACAAGAAACATCAAATATGTAATTACCACAGATCCAAAAAATAATGGCAGAGAAATACTTTCTTACTTTATTTTAATTTTTCTTTTTATATTAAAAAAAGACATTTCAAGAGTGCTGGCTTTTGGGAGAAGCTATGGTTTGGACTGTTTGATTTAGTTACAGAGATACGCACAGATACAATATATTTATCTGCAGATCATCACATGTTCAGACACACGAGAGAAAGTCAGGGTGGACACGAGTGAAATCCATTGTTGGTGTTATGGGTTATGTATTTTGATTCTTTGACGGTTTTCAATTGTGCGTGAAGTTCTGAACTTTACAATGTTGAAGCCTTGGGTGGTTTTATCAAGGTTTAGTCGACTTGAATACGTGAATAGTACTGTGCAAAAATAAAATTTCTTTACAATGACAATTTGCTACACGTAAAGCCAGACATGGTTGAAGAGTACATACGATCCTGCCCTTCGTGTTCATAACCACCAGAAAAATAATTTTATGATGAGGAATAAATATTTTGTTTAAGGTCAATCAAGTGCAAAAGATTGTGGATCAAACCAAGGTCCATAAGTCACTAGCAGTGTGATGACTGACTGATCATGTGGTATTTTCCAATCTGTCATTGTGGTGGGGTAATGAGCCAAACAAGATGGCTGCTTTCTCCACTTTTAAAGGTTGCACATCAAAAGTTCTTAAACATTCTTCACAGGTCTGTTGGTTCCTTCCTCTACTGATCTTTCTGAAATATTACCCCATAGATGATGATAGCAGGGGGCAAAGGTCAATTTCCACTGCAGAGTCTTGAAATCTGTTGGATGAACTGGTTTGACGTGTCTGCTATAAATAGTGTACACAGACGTCAATGGGCTATTGGTGGTTAGTTTAGTTTCTTTTTGGACTTACAATGTGTCCACACCAATATTCTTGAGTTTATATTTTAGTTTAATTAGTTTGTGGTAAGTAAATATTCAATCAAATATGGCAGAGGAGGGTGAAATTCTTTTGAGAAGGTGTGGGAAAAAAACATTTTCTTAGAAGAGCATTTTGTATTTTTTTTTTTTATTAAAAAGCAAATACTACACTCTGTGTGTGTTTACCTGGCAGAATCCATTTTGAATGTTATTCTTAACTTTCTGTAGTTAATCAACGTCTTTTAAATGCTTTGTTAAATGCGAAGCACTAGAGATCTTCTTTTACCTAGCAAACAGGTCATGTTTTAATTTAAAATTTTGTTGTTTTGCACCTGTTGCCATCAGACAATTGTAAATATTTAAATTTGATAGAAATACATTAGGATGAGTTGAGGGAAAAATATTTAATGGGAATTAAATTGGAAAATTTAATGCAAGCTCTAGATATTTTGGACATTTGAGGAAAGCACAGCGAGGGGTATAATTTATCAGTTGAAGTATTTTCAACTCTTCACCAAAATACAGCTCTCTTCTCTCTGTATAGCAATTTGTTTTTACAATTGTACATCGGAATATAACATTGTACTAATTAACAAATACATATATGTACATTACCAAAAGACGCAGTTTCAATGGTCCCTACACACTTGCACATAAGCCAAAAAAAAAACAAAACAAAAAAAACAACAACTTCCATATACACCTGTCAATATATATATATATATATATATATATATATTTTCATATATAAAAAAAATTTGTTTAAAAATAAAAGATTTACAGAACTGCTCTACATATACACAGACAGTAAGATTCTCACCTTCAAGCCTAGACAACAGTGATTAACTCACTATTTTAAAATCAGTGTATGACCATTCTTACACTCACAAATGTAACACATGGTCATTAAAAGTTAAACCCCTCTGGAACTAAAATCTATGGCCTGGCTGTAATGGGGTTTATTAAACTAGCACACTTTTAAAAAATTCTGCTTCCTTAAAAGGACACTGTAGTCACCAAAACAACTCTAGCTTAATGAAGCAGTTTTGGTGTATAGGCCATGCCCCTGCAGTCTCACTGCTCAGTTATCTGCTATTTAGGAGTTAGCCACAACACCCCTGGCTGTGACTCACAAAGCCTGCATGAAAACAAAATGGTTTAATTTCCAAGCAGATGGTAGCTTACTTTAGACATTTTTATATACTGCTCTGTAAATTGAACATTTATCACATACAGGAGCCTGCTGCAAGATCTAGCAAGCTATTAACAGAGCAGGAGATAAGAAATTCCAAATTAAACAGAATGTGCAATAAAGGAAGTATAAACATTAGTTCTCTCTTTACAGGAAGAGTTTAGGAAGGCTGTGTACGTCACATGCAGGGAGGTGTAACTAGGGCTGCATAAAAAAAGCGATTTAACTCCCAAATGGCACATAATTGAGCAGTGAGACTACAGGGGCATGTTCTATACACCAAAATGTTTCTAAGCTAAAGTTGTTTTGTTGACTATCGTGTACCTTTAATCATTTGCATTTAACAATTCTGTTTATTTTTGCTTGTTTAATTGAAACATTATATTTCAAAACTGTGATAAAAATATAAAATGAATTGATGGAGCTAATACATAGGAAGGTACCTTGCAAAGTCATAATGCATTTGTTGATAGCAATTGGTTTAAGTAACTAAAGGCAAAAAGGCGGCCAGTTTGAATATAAAATATGAATATCTTATGTAGCAGACATACATAGCTCATGCCAGGATCGTGATATATAGATGATGTAATAAAATACAGTGACATTTTAACAATACACACAAAAATACCATAACAATGGTGAGGTTTAAAACAGGCTCTTTTATGGCTAATACAAACCATTTCTTTTTCTTATAATAATTTAACAAATTTTACTATAGACGGTAGAAATTTGAACACAACTCTGCATGGTCTGTTTAATGCTTTAGATTACTCCAACAAGTATTTAATAACTGCAACAATGTGTATTTATTTATACCAAAACTAGACCAGATGTTCGATAGCTGAATTTTAAGTTGGTTTACACAAATAATTTTATTATGATCAAAATAAATATATATCTTTTTTTTTTTTATTATTATTATTTTTGGAAACTGTCTTTGCCAATCTCTTAGAGAGCAGAAATCTGAGATAGCATACACTTTTCAGTGAAATGTATTTATTGAGATGAAATAAAAGTGCAATCAGGAGCGGAAAATGGTATCAAAGAACGTTGTCAACAGGGAACAATGAGTGTTAAAGGGGGTAGTTAATACTCTGCACATACTTCCAGCTGAAGTGATTAATTGTGAATTAATAGAGATTGCAGGGTACAACCCTCAAAAGAATTGGAAGTGTGCAAAAACAGGAAAAAAAAAACTTCCAAGTCTTTAATCGTTATGCAACAACATATTTTGTGCCAGCTGTGGCTTTGAAATAGACATTTATAAGTCCTGAAGTCCTTATTTATTTTTGCGCATGTACAACGGGACCACCAAAATATACAGCATAATCTATGTCACCAAGTAATAAACACAATTTACAGAATTGCCTTCTTGGACACTGGAAGGTTTTTTTAAGAGTCATAAATACAAATATATTTATAAATTAAAAAAATAAAACATAAATTTGCATTTTGAAAATTATTTAATAACCAGACTTCTCCGGCAGGTGTGCGCGTATTTACAGCTGGTATATGCAGTTTGGCAAAGGGTTTATGATGGGTAGAGACCTAAGAAAACCGCCTACAGATTAACCATTTTTTAAAGGGGCAATATGGAAAAATTTTGAAATTCTGCGATTTGCTTTAAGCTGTTTTTTTTCCCAACTTTAAATATTCTGATTTCGATTTGGTAAAGCCTTGATCCTTCTGCGAATTAACAGGAAATCCCTGCAAAATGCATATTTATCGTTGATAAATTTATTTTAGATAAATGGATTTCATTTTATACAACGCATCTGAGATAGCCCAGAGCCAGTAGACCTGGTGAGAAGCCATTCCATAGCTAAAACTGCAACAGAGGCTGGACAGCTGCTGGCTTTTAACCCCTGCATTAGCATGACACTTCCCAAAATCCTTTGCAGTGCACCTCTACGTATAAATTCAGTGTAAGGTGGTCTCCTCCATTATGGTGTCTGAGCAATACCTACCAGAGACTGTAGCGAGCAGTGTTGGACAAGATCATGCA